TTGCAGGACCACTGCGGCCAAAGAGTCTAACTGAGACTGTAATTCTAAGGTTGTATCTGCTAGCTGCCCAATGTCCCCCACCAGCTGAGCTGAAATTTTTTTGTAAAGGTTAACAGAGGTGCCAATTCCAGCAACTCCTGTACCTACTCCGGCCGCCACCCCCAGGCCGAGCAGTAGTGGGGCAATCACGGCCCGCTTATGTCCGGCAGGCACAGACTGGGTGAGCTGTATGGGAAGGCTTTGGTTGCTTGGGACCACTCCCACATCGGGCATGAGATATATTAAAGTGCACAAGCCCGACCAATCAGCAGGGAGTACGGGGTAGGCTGTGGTGCCACAGAAGAAAACAGTGCCCAGCGCTGGCGGGCACATAGAGGCAGAGCCATTAAAACTGGGCACCGTAGCCGCACTGACTACTGAACTGCAGAGCACCTTATTTACTTGACCCACTTTTTTTTTTCTTAATTCTATTTTTTTTTAAATAATAGATTTTATTTTTATATTCCCCATGCAATTGCAACCCCCCCATTTTGACCCCAATCCCTCCCCTCCCACCCCCCACCCCCCAAAAAGTGTCTCTGCTTCATAGTTTTTTGTTGATTTTGATTTTCACTTTCTTATAGTTATTCATTTTCCTGGTCCCTTATTTAAGTTTTCTAGATTCCTGCTATGAGTGAGACCATCCGGTATTTTTCTTTTTCTTTCTGGCTTATTTCGCTGAGCATGATCCCTTCCAGCGCCATCCATGTTGCTGCAAATTGCATGTGTTTATCTTTTTTGAATGCTGAGTAATATTCCATGGTATATATGTACCACATCTTCTTGATCCAGTCATCTATTTTTGGGCATTTGGGCTGTTTCCAAAGCTTAGCTATTGTAAACAGTGCTGCTATAAACCTAGGTGTGCAGGTGCTCTTTGGAATTGATGTTTCTGTGTCCTTTGGGTAAATACCTAGGAGTGGACTTGCTGGATCATATGGAAGCACTATGTTTAGTAGGTCCAGAAATCTCCACACAGCTCTCCATAGCAGTTGGACCAGTTTGCACTCCCACCAGCAGTGCAGGAGAGTTCCTTTTTCTCCACACCCTCGCCAACATTTGTTGTTGCTAGTTTTTTTAATATGTGCCATTCTCACTGGTGTAAGATGGTATCTCATGGTAGTTTTGATTTGCATTTCCCTGATTACAAGTGATGTTGAACATTTTTTCATATGCCTGTTGGCCATTTGCATTTCCTCTTCAGAGAGGTTTCTTTTTAGCTCTTCTGCCCATTTTTTGACTGAATTATTTTCTTTGTTTTTGTTGAGTCTCATCAGCTCTTTGCAGATTTTTGTGATCAGTCCTTTATCATTAGTGTTGTGTGCAAAAATGTTCTCCCAGTTGGTGGGGTTTCTCTTTGTTTTTGTCATTGTCTCTTTTGCTGTGCAGAAGCTCTTTAATTTGATGTAGTCCCAGCTGTTTATCTTTGCCTTCACTATCACTGCTTTGGATGATGTGTCTGTAAAGATGTCTTTGATGTGAATATCACGTAGTGTTTCGCCTATATTTCCTTCTATGTATTTTATGGTTTCAGGTCTTATGTCTAGTTCTTTAATCCATTTTGAGTTGATTTTTGTGTATGGTGTGAGGTAGTGGTCAAGCTTCATTCTTTTGCATGTAGCGACCCAGTTTTCCCAGCACCATTTATTGAACAAACTTTCTTTGCTCCAATGCATAGTCTTTGCTCCTTTGTCAAAGATTAGTTGACCATAAATCTGTGGGTTTATTTCTGGATTTTCTATTCGATTCCATTGGTTTGTGTGTCTGTTCTTGTTCCAATACCATGCAGTTTTAATGATTATGGCTTTGTAGTAGAGTTTGAAGTCTGGGAGTGTGATGCCTCCATTCCCTTCTTTTTTTTTTCAGGAGAGCTTTGGCTATTCGGGGTTTTTGTGATTCCATATGAATTTCATCAATAATTATTCTATTTCTTTGAAGAATGACATTGAAATTTTGATTGGAATAGCATTGAATCTGTATATTGCTTTTGGTAGGATGGCCATTTTAATGTTTATTCTTCCAATCCATGAGCAGGGGATGTCTTTCCATTTCTTTGTGTCTTCTATTTCTTTTAACAGTGTTTTATAGTTTTCTTTGTATAGGTCCTTTACCTCTTTTGTTAGATTTATTCCCAAATATTTGATTTTTTTGTTTCAATAATAAAAGGGATGGTTTTTTTTATTTCTTCTTCTTCAGATTTATTGTTTGTGTATAGGAAGGCTACTGACTTTTGCGTGTTGATTTTGTATCCTGCCACTTTGCTGAACTGATTGATGAGTTGAATTAGTTTTTCTGTGGAGTTTTTGGGGTTCTCTATGTATATTATCATATCATCTGCAAATAGTGATAGTTTGACTTCTTCTTTTCCTATTTGGATTCCTTGTATGTCTTTCTCTTGTCTTATTGCTCTGGCTAGGACTTCCAGTATTATATTGAAAAGCAGTGGTGAGAGTGGACATCCTTGTCTTGTTCCAGATCTTAATGGAATTGCTTTCAGCTTTTCACCATTGAGAATGATACTGGCTGTTGGCTTGTCATAGATGGCCTTTATGATGTTGAGGTACATTCCTTGTATCCCAAGAATTTCAAGGGCTTTTATCATGAATGGGTGTTGCACTTTGTTGAAAGCTTTCTCGGCATCTATTGATATTATCATATGGTTTTTATATTTCTTTTTGTTGATGTGTTGGATAACGTTGATTGATTTTTGGATGTTGAACCATCCTTGTGTCCCTGGAATGAATCCTACTTGGTCATGGTGAATTATCTTATGGATACATTGTTGGATTCTGATAGCTAAAATTTTATTGAGGATTTTTGCATCAGTGTTCATTAGGGAGATTGGCCTGTAGTTTTCCTTTTTTGTGTTGTCCTTGTTTGGTTTTGGTATTAGTGTAATGTTGGCTTCATAGAACGTGTTTGGTATTGTCCCTTCTTTCTCCATTTTTTGGAAGAGTTTGTGAAGGATAGGCACTAATTCGTCTCTGAATGTTTGGTAGAATTCATTTGTAAATCCATCAGGTCTGGGCTTTTGTTTTTGGGGAGGTTTTTGATTACCATTTCAATTTTGCTGCTTGTAATTGGTCTGTTTAGGTGTTCTATTTCTTCTTTATCTAGCTTTGGGTGATTGTAGAGTTGTAGGAATTTGTCCATCTCCTCTAGATTGTTGAACTTGTTTCCATATAACTGTTCATAGTAGTTACTGATTATTCTTTTGATTTCTGCTGTGTCCGTTGTGATTTCTCCTCTTTCATTGATGATCCTGTTTATTTGTGCTTTCTCCCTTTTTTCCTTTGTGAGCCTGGCTAGGGGTTTGTCTATTTTATTGATTTTTTCAAAGAACCAGCTCTTGGTTTCATTGATCTTTTGGATTGTTTTTTTAGTTTCAATTTCATTTATTTCTGCTTTGGTTTTTATTATTTCTTTTCTTCTACTGGTTTTTGGGGTTTTTTTGTTGTTCTTTTTCTAGATCTTTGAGCTTCAAGATTAGGTTGTTTCTTTGAGTTCTTTCTTGTTTCTTGATGTGAGCTTCTATTGATATATATTTTCCTCTTATTACTGCTTTTGCTGCATCCCATACATTTAGGATATTGGTGTCCTCCTTGTCATTCAATTCAAAGAATTTTTTAATTTCTTCTTTGATCTCCTCATTAGTCCAGTGGTCTTCCAGTAGTGTGGTTTTTAATCTCCATGAGGTAGGAAAGTTCCTTGCCTTCTTTTTATGGTTTATTTCTAGTTTGATGCCTTCATGGTCAGAAAAGATGGTTGGTATGATTTTAATCTTGGTGTATCTGTTGATGTTTGTCTTGTGCCCCAGTATGTGATCGATCCTGGAGAATGATCCGTGTGCGCTTGAGAAAAATGTGTACTCCGTTTTTTTTGGGTTTAGTGTTCTATAGATGTCTGTTAAGCCCAAATGCTCTAGGTCCTTATTTAGAGCTTTAGTTTCTTTGCTTATTTTTTGTCTTGTTGATCTATCCATTGTTGATAGTGGTGTGTTGAAGTCTCCCGCTACGTATGTGTTTTCTCTGATGTACTTGACCCACTTTTAAGGTCCCATTGTGACCAAGGCATGGCATCTGAGCAACTGTTGGGGAAAGCTTGACATTATTGATGGGCAAGGTCAGGTTACACTTATGGGTTGGGCCCTTTAGGTTTGTCCAGTTAGTCCAGTTGTACACAGCAGGGATCACTGTGTAACGGGGGGTCCTTCTCTTAGACATAACCAGCAATCGCTGACCAGGGTTGGGTTGGTCTTGTTTAAAAATTGTAGGGCTGAGCCTAACATGGCCTGTACTGTCTTTTCCAATTTAAGGGAACCCACCGGGCCTGGGATGCGTATCGGCTTGAACCACCGATTCTGTGTTTGGGCAATTTGTTCAAAAACACTCTGAACTTCCTGCTTTCATGCGTGGTCTTGCACCCCACCACCATCTGTCATTCCCCAGTGGGTTTGCAGAGTCCAACAAAAGGGTTTTCCTGCTTTGACAGGGCATACATATCCCGCATTATTTCCTAAGGATAAACCAGTCCAGAAAGTTCGATTGGACTCTGTGCACTGATAAACAGTAGACCTTTCATAGCACTGTGAATGAACAAAGGTATAGGCTGAAAAACTCCCCCCTGCTTTACAGTGATTGTAACTTTCATTTTTAGGTGGCATACGATTTATTTATTTATTTATTTATTTTAATAGAGGCATGTTTTATTTATTTATTTTATTTGTTTGTTTGTTTTGTTTATACATGCACTGGGTACAGTCAGAAGCGCGGGAGGGTGAGAGAATTCACCAGAGCCAGAGTGGGGAGCAGAGCAGGCAGAAGGACTGAAGTACACTGCTGAGGGGAGCAGCGGGCGGCAGGAGAGGTCTGCGCGCCATGTGGGATCCTCCGCCGGTGGCCGGGGAGCGGCCGGGGATCGAACCAGCGCCGCAGAGGCCGCGGGCAGCTTCGCAACCCAGCACTCAACCGCTGCGCCACCGGGGAGGCCCTAGGCGGCATACGATTTAAACGCTTCCAACAGACCACCCTCCCCACTATACCTGGACATCCCTGGGTGGTGCCCTTAATCAGGGTCACTGCAAACAGAGGAACTCCCTCAAGGCTGCAAGCATGCTTGCTAACATAGCACTTGCTCTGAATATGACTAAATACGCCTTTGGTGGTGCACCGTCGGCAGGGATCCCAGTCAGCCCCGACAAGGAAAAAACAAAGGAAGGACAGTAGGTAGCCAACATTACAGTTTGTTGTCATTTTTCACGGCGTGGGCAGTGGTTTGGGAGCGATGGGTTGCGGCCGGGAGCGCCTGAAGAGTCAGCTTGAGCGGATTGGTGGGATGCTTCCGGGCTCGCCACTGCAGCTGGGAGTCGTCAGTTGGTGCCGTCTTGACGTGCGAGTGATGAACCCAGGCTGCAATGCCGTCCACTTTGAGTGCGGTGGGTGTGGTCAGGAGGACGATGTAGGGACCCTTCCACCAGGGCTGGAGGCCACGACCGTCGGTCTTGTGTCGGCGGACAAGGACAAGATCTCCAGGCTGAAATTTGTGGGCTGTCTGAGAAGGTCCTCCCCCTTCATAGAGCGCTCTGAGGCGGGGCCAGACCTCCTGGTGAGCCTGCTGTACAGCCCATACAGAAAGAAAAAGTTCACAATCAGAAGGCAAGTTACAAGTTAACTGAGCACCGTGTGGTGTGGTTGGGGGGGGCGGTTCCATAGATAATCTCGAACGGAGACAGACCCAGACGATAAGGGGAATTGCGAGCCCGGAAGAGGGCATAGGGAAGGAGAGTCACCCAGTCCCCGCCAGACTCTAAAGTTAATTTAGTTAAAGTTTCTTTTAAAGTTCTGTTCATTCTCTCCACCTGCCCTGAACTCTGGGGCCAATAGGCACAATGGAGCTTCCACTCTGCTCCCAGGGCAGAAGCCACAGATTTCAATACCTGAGAGACAAAGGCTGGTCCATTGTCTGACCCAATGGTCACTGGAAACCCAAACCCAGGAAAAATGTTTTCCAACAGGATTTTGGCTACCACTCGAGCCGACTCACCTCTTGTCGGGAACGCCTCCGGCCATCCGGAAAACGTGTCCACCAGGACCAGCAGGTATCGATAGCCAAATTTACCTGGTCTTACCTCGGTGAAGTCTATTTCCCAATGGACCCCCGGGCGCATTCCTCGCGGCCTCATTCCTGGTTCACCGCTTGTCTTGGTGGCGTTTACCATGGCGCACGACTGGCAGGATGCCACTACTCGTCGCACGGTACAGGTTGCGTCCCGGATATGGAGGTTCCATTGCCTGATTAGATTTAGAATTTTTTTCTCTCCCAAATGCGTGGCTCGGTGCAAGCGCTGAATGAGATCAGTGGCCAAGTGTGCTGGCAAGATGGCCTTAGTTTGTTGGGTGTGCCACCAGTGTTCCAAAGGAAAAGCACCCGGTAGAGACTGTATGTAGTCAAAGTCCATAGTACTATACTCCGGCAGCTTTAGTACTATACTCTTTCGGCAGCTGCGGGTCCCCTGGGTCTGGGAGTTTTACCGTCAGGGCATCTATCGGCATCAGGGCAGCTTGGCGTGCTGCCTCATCCGCCTGCTTATTACCTTGAGTTGGAGTCGAGGAGTCCTTTTGATGACCTGGATGATGCACTATAGCCAGCTTGCATGGTAGCCACAGCGCTGCCAGGAGATCCAGAATTTCCTGAGTGTTTTTAATGCCTTTGCCGTCGGAGGTTAAGAGCCCGCGCTCTCGATATATGGCCCCGTGTACGTGGGCCGTGGCAAATGCACATAAGCTGTCAGTATACACAATTAAATCTTTTCCTTGGGCCAAGGTGAGAGCTTTGGTTAGGGCAATTAGTTCAGCCTTTTGAGCGGACGTCCCGGATGGCAAAGGCTCAGCCCATATGACTTTCTGCATGGACACCACTGCCGCCCCTGCCGCTCTTCGGCCCTCGCGGATAAAACTGCTCCCATCCGTAAACCAAACCAGTCCGTCTGGCAGAGGGTTATCTCGCAGATCAGGGCGTAACCCTTGGACCTGGGCCAAGATATCAACACAGTCTAGATGGGCCTCCAGGTCAGGGACAGGCAAGAGGGAGGTGGGGTTTAGCCCTGTGGGTGGCGAAAAATTGACCCTCTCTGGGTTGAGCAATAGGCTTTGGTAGTGAGTGATTCGGGCATTACTCATCCACCTCTCTGGCGGCTGCCTGAGGACTCCTTCCACCGCATGGGGGGTGGTTATGGAAGTAACTTGTCCCAGAGACAGCTTTTGGGAGTCCTTGAAAAGGAGGGCAGCCGCCGCCACCATGCGTAAGCACGGTGGCCAGCCAGACGCCACCGGGTCTAACTTTTTAGACAGATAAGCCACAGGACGCCTCCAGGGGCCCAAGGACTGAGTGAGCACCCCTTTAGCTATGCCCTTTGCCTCATCTACGAACAAATGGAAAGGTTTTGTAATGTCCGGAAGACCCAGGGCTGGTGCAGACAGTAAAGCCCTCTTTAAGGACTCAAAGGACTGCTGCATCTGGGGAGTCCACTGAAAAGTCACTTTTTCCCGGGTAGCCTCATACAAGGGTTGGGCCAGGTCTGCGAATCCAGGTATCCATAGCCGGCAAAACCCAGCAGATCCCAGGAACTCACGTACCTCCCTTTTGGTGGTGGGTGTCGGCAACTGTAAGACAGTAGCTTTTCTGGCTTCCGTCAGCCACCTATAACCGTTTTTGAGGCGGTAGCCCAGATAGATTACCTCAGGCAGGCAAATTTGTGCCTTTTTTGTGGAGACACGGTATCCCATCTGGCCCAGTTCCGTCAGTAATTCGGCTGTTCCTGTTTGGCAGGCATGCTCACTTTCTGCTGCAAGTAACAGATCATCAACATACTGGAGCAAAGTTAGTTTGGGAAATCGGCTGCGGAATTTTCTCAAATCCTCATGAAGGGCCTCATCAAAAAGGGTGGGAGAGTTTTTAAACCCTTGAGGCAACCTTGTCCAAGTTAATTGTCCACTGATGCCCCGTTCCGCATCCTGCCATTCAAAGGCAAACATTTCCTGGCTTTGGGGTGCTAGTGGTAGACTAAAGAAGGCATCTTTTAAGTCCAATACTGTGTACCACACATGAGTAGGTGGCAAGGCACTCAGCAAGGTATAAGGGTTTGGGACTGTGGGGTGGATATCTATGACCCGTTTATTTACTTCCCTGAGGTCCTGTACCCGCCTGAAGTCTTGCAAATGTGGTTTTCACACTGGTAACAAAGGGGTGTTCCATGACGAATGGCATGTTTTAAGGATACCACTGTCCAGGGCCTCCCCGGTGGCGCAGCGATTGAGCGCTGGGTTGCGAAGCTGCCCGCAGCCTCTGCGGTGCCAGTTCGATCCCCGGCTGCTCCCCAGCCACCGGAGGAGGGTCCCACATGGCGCGCAGACCTCTCCTGCCGCCCGCTGCTCCCCTCAGCAGTGTACTTCGGTCCTTCTGCCTGCTCTGCTCCCCACTCTGGTGAATTCTCTCACCCTCCCGCGCTTCTGACTGTACCCAGTGCTTGTATAAACAAAAAAAAAAAAAAAAAAAAGGATACCACTGTCCAATAGCCTCCGAATATGAGGCGTTATTCCTGCCTTGGCTTCTGCGGGCATAGGGTACTGTTTTACCCGAATGGGTTCAGCTCCAGGCTTTAGCTGGACTATAATGGGTGGTTGTGGGACGCCGGGCCAACCCCCGCGGTTTCTGCCCAAACATTGGAGAAAGATTTCATCCACCACCCGGAAAGGGGTGGGTGATCTGGCGCCACCCAAAGGCGGTACTCATCTGGAAGGGAAATCGTGAGGACGTGTAGGGGAGAGCCCTTAAAGTCCTTGATTTCGACACCTTCCTGTCCAAATGAGATTTGCGCTCCTATCTTGGTTAAAAGGTCTCTTCCAATTAATGGGTACGGGCATTCAGGGATTACAACAAAGGTGTGCGAGACCTGACCTTTTCCCAGGTCTACAGATCTTTTTGTGGTCCAGGGATACTGCTTGCATCCCGTAGCCCCTTGCACCCACGACGTTCTGCCGGACAGTTTACCCAAGGGTTCCGTGAGGACTGAATGCTGTGCCCCCGTGTCCACAAGGAAATTAACAGGTTTCCCCTCCACTTTTAAGGTTAGCCGGGGCTCGGGGAGGGTCGAGCCCTGACGGTCCTAGTCACTGTCATTTCTTGTGCCCCGGAGCACCAGGACAGGAGTGTCAGAAATGGCGGGGTTGTTTGAGGTTATTCCCCGTTTCTTTGGGCAATGTTTGGCCCAGTGTCCTTTTTGAGTGCAGTATGCACATTGATCACGCTGTAGGGTCCTGCCTGTCCCTGAGGAGCTGGGGCGGCGGGAGGGGCGTAGCTTACCCGGGTCGTCCTTTTGAGTGACGGCGAACAGGATTCTGGCCATATCCCGGGTGTGGCGTGCGTTTTCAGCCGCCCTTACCTTTCGTTCTTCCTGATGGATACGGTCTTCTCTTTGCTCAGGAGTTTCACGGCGATTGTACACCTTTTCTGCCACCTCCATAAGATCTCGAATAGATTTTTCTCCCAGCCTATCTATTCTTTGTAGTTTTTGTTTAATGTCAGGAGCCGCCTGGTTAACAAAGGCCATTACCACCGCGGCCCTGTTTTCCGCTGCCTCTGGATCCATAGGAGTATATTGCCGAAAAGCTTCCATGAGGCGTTCTAGAAAAGCCGCGGGGGTCTCCTCCCTTCCCTGCTGCACATCTCCTACCTTGGCCAAATGGGTGGGCTTGCGGGCTGCTGCGCGCAACCCTGCCATTAGAGTCTGGCGGTACACCCGGAGTCTCTCCTTACCTTCAGCCTGGTTAAAATCCCAGTCAGGTCGGGTCAAGGGAAACACTAAGTCTATGCAGGCCGCGTTCGTGGTGGGCGTGCCATCCTCTCCAGGGACTAACTTCCTGGCAGCCGTTAGTATACGATCTCGCTCCTCAGTGGTGAAGAGGACCTGCAAGAGCTGTTGGCAATCATCCCAGGTGGGCTGATGAGTAAATAGAACAGTGTCTAGGAGATTAACAAGGTCTTTAGGGTTGTCAGAGAAACGTGCATTTTGCGCTCTCCAGTTGTAGAGGTCACTGGTCGCGAACGGCCAGTAGTGCATGGGCTGGTTGCCCTGCTCATTAGGCAATCCTGCCACGCGCAGGGGCAGGACGGTGGAATCCGGGGAATTCGCCTTCACTGAGCGAGTGCCTGCCGCCGGACCCTGCCCACGAGCCCCGCCCGCCTCTGGGAGAGGGTGGTCAGCGGACCGCAGGGGTTGGAGAGGGTTACTACAAGGGTTATGATAGGGTGGTGGAAAAAGATGTTCCTCCGGGGTAGAGTCTTGGAAAACCGCAGGTGCCGACGGGGTGTTGGGGTGTGACCCAAGCAGTTTAGCCGGCAGTACCGGCTGTGCCTGAAATGACAAAAATGGCTTTAACCAAGCAGGGGGGTTCTGGACTAGATCTTGCCAGACTAAGATATACAGGAGTTGGTCAGGATGTCCGAATTTTCTTTCACGGGTAACGATTTCCTTCACGCGACGGACAATCTGTAAATCAAAAGTTCCCTCCGGGGGCCAACCAACTCCGAACTTTGGCCACTCTGAGGAACAAAAGGTGATTAGAGGGGATTTTTTTATTTTTACACTGAGGTCAGACCCTCTGGACCTGACATCTTTAAAATGCTGTAAAACCACAGATAGAGGGGTAGATGGTGATTGACCCATGATGACAAATGCTAGAAGTACAGTGGCTGTCGAAACAAGAAACAGACCAAAGACTAATTTCTCAAAAGGCCCCCAAAAGGGGTATCTGCTTCCCCACAAAGGGTGAGGCCTTTCTAACATGTGGTCCGGGGACGTCTCCCGCGGTCCACGCCGGGGGCTTTCAAGTGCGTCCACTTAAGCCTGACCCGGCTATTAAACAGATTTTCAGGTTTGCAAACAATTACAGCTCTTACAGGTACAAAGTACAAAAGATACAGGTACTACGTACAAAACAGCTTCTACAGGTACAAAGTACAAAAGATACAGGTACTAAGTACAACTACAGGTCTGCAGACTTGAAGCTTACCTGGGCGAGTGTTGGAACTCACCTGCACGCTTTAGAACTCCTTTCGGTTGCTCGGTAGTTGGGGTCTGCACTCGTCGATCCCGGACGAGCCCCCAAATGTTGTGCCCACGTCGACCAGTGCAGCCCCCAAGGACACAGACAACCGATGCAAGGGCACAAAGGAGTTTATTACGGGCTCGAGACCGGGCCCTCGACATGCACCGATGCAACGGCAGAGGTCGAGAGCCTCGAACAGAGGAAGCTGGGGTATCTTATAGGGTCGCGAGTGGCGCGAATTTTGAAAGAAGCTGGCAATTACTCATTGGCTACTACAAAGGCATTTTGGCGCGCGCGGTTACAGTTTCAAACTGATTGGACGGTTAGAGATGCTGTCCCATTTATGGACAGGACTGCCCTCATTGGCAGCTGGGGTGGTCTGCTTTTTTGTCACCAAGTGGAGTGAGGGGTGTGACTGCTGAAACTATCTCCGGAATGCGGCTGGACAAGGACTAACATACCAAGGTGGAGGATATACAAAATGGCGAAACCTCGGCTAAGTTTGGTTCCACACTTCTCATTTTCACAACCATGAGGGGTTTAGTGTGTGCCCCTGTCTGCGCTGTGGGGTGTCTTTTCTTTTCTTAAAGGCCAGAGGTTTGGGGGTTTCTGAGAGGATTCACCACAGAGCCCGGAACAGAACAGGCAGATCGACTGAAACACACTGCTGAGGGGAGCAGAGGGTGAGACAGGAGAGGCCTGCTGCCCATGTGTGTCACCTCCCTGGTCAGGGATGGAACTCGTGCTATTGCGGCTTGCGGACAGCTCCATGGTGTGCGACTTTAGACCCTCCCCCGCCTTGCCAATAAACAAAATGCTAGAACCGGAGCTTTAGAGACTTCAATGGGCGTAATTCACTGGGTATATCTCTCAAACACTGAGTCACGTATACTGCAAAAAATTAGAAGCCTAGAGAACTGTACCCTTAAAGCTTTAAGAGGCTTTTCAGAGTTGGGAGACAAGAAGCATTCCCGCACTCTAGAAAAACAATAATCACGAACGCAAAACCAAAAATTGTGCAATCAACGCGTTTACGAGATACTAGAAGCATCCAAATCTTACCTTAGTAACACAAAATCAGGGGAGAGCGCGAACGCAGTCCCCCACTACCACAAATTATGCAGTCGAGTTTCCTACATTTGGGGAAATCGCAGGGGTCAGCACCTCCGGAGTGCAATGGATAAGCCTCGCCCTGGGAAAACCACCTTCGTGATCATGGTATCTCCCCTGCCAGGTAAGTATGAGCTGCTCGCCGCGCCGACACCCACACCCCGATCCGCACCTCGCTCTTCACACACGGTCGCTCGCCTCGCGCCGCCCGCCCGCCCCGACGCCCGCGACGGCCCTCGCCCCGACCTCGCCCCGCCCTCGCCCGGCCCGAAAGCGCTCCAGGGGGCACGGGCGCCCCCAGACCAGCTCGCGCAGGGCCCAGCGCAGCAGGCCCAGGCTCCTCCGCGCGCTGCTCATCTACATACGCCACGCCCCACATGCGCGTGGTCGGGGTTCTTTCCACAACCAGGCTGTAAAAGTAGAGCGTGCCCGGGAGACGTCCCCCACTGTCCCAACCAAAATGAACATTAGGGGCCTCCCTGGCGGCGCACTGGGTTAAGACGCAGCACTGTGAGGGCACCCGTGGCCTCGGCAGCACGAGCTTGATCCCTGGCGGCCAGGGAGCAACCCCCAAGGCGCCCCTGACCCCTCCTGTCTCCCCTGCTGCTCCCCTCAGCAGTCAATCCGCCTGTTCTGCTCCCCACTCTGTCTCTGGTGAATCCTCCCACACGTACAACCCCATAGCTCTGGCCTGCACCCAAGTTCTTGTAAAAACAAACAAACAAACAAAATCAGGGTGTTATAGGACAGGGAGAGGGGCAGCCCAAACCCCGCAAACCTGCCTATTCTAAATGGGTTCTGCCATCCGCCGCATCAACACAAAACAGAGGAGACTTTAATGGGAAGGAACTTTAATAAAACTAGGAAAAAATACAGGTAAGGCAAAGAGTCTAGTTTCTAAATCAAGAACCCAAAGTTACCCATCCCCTCGTGGGTAAAAGTCCATCCATATGGGAATGGCGCAGAGCAAGGCCCCAAAGCCTGCCACAAGTCTAAAGCATCTTCCAGTGGGGACCCACAGAAAAGGGTCAGAAACAACCAGACAAGCCCGGAAGGAAAAGAGCAAAATCAACATCAAGATAAAAGCTGCCATTGTCATCTCTCCACGGGTCTCACCCACATCTGTGTCACCCAGTCCATGACCAAAAGACAAGCACAGTTTCTTCACGTGTCTCTAGGCTCCATGCGCCTCCTCCAGGTCTCCTGGCTCCATCCTGCTTCCTTCCTCAGTCTCTTCTGCAGCTTCTCCTCTTCCTGCTCAGCTCCACCCTCTCTTGGGTGGGGCAGGGAACCTCCCCCTTTCCTGGGGACCACCCTATTACAAGGGGACAAAGTATCATACCTAACTAAAGGTAATAATGGCCATATAAGACATAATCACATAAAAAAGAATAAACTGTCTAGGAATAAATCTAACAAAGTAAGTAAAGGACCCATGCACTGAAAACTGTAAGACATTGATGAAATTGAAGAAGACACAAGGAAATGGAAAGATATTCCATGCTCCTAGATCAGAAGAATCAGTATTATCACAGTGGTCACTTTGCCTGAAGCAATACATAGACTCAATGCAATCCCTATTAAGATTCCTATGGCATGCTTCACAAAAATAGAACAAAACAATCCTAAAATTTGTATGGAACTATAAAAGAACTCAATAGGGCCTCTCCTGGTGGCGCAGGCGGTTGAGCGCCACATGTGAAGCTGTCCGCAGGCCCTGCAGCGGCAGTTCCATCCCCGCCTGCCGGCGAGAGTCCCACATGGCACAGCAGACCTCTCCTGTCGCACCCCGCACCCGCTGCTCCCCTCAGCGGTGTATTTCGTCAGTCTGCCTGTTCTGCTCCCCACTCTGTCTCTGGTGAATCCTCTCAGCCCCAGCACCTCTGGCTTACATCCCAGTTCTTGTATGCATAAATAAAATAAATATTTAAAAATAAATAAATAAAAATAAGAGTGAGATTCACTGTGGGGGGATGGGGATAGGAGCCAGAAGGGATTGCCCAAGGGTAAGAGGAGGTAGAATAATGCAGTTCTATTCTCAACTAGATTTTCATATACCTGTGGATAAGTTAGGTGAAATCATCCTTGAGGCATAGGGAAAGAACTTCCTATCCCACTGAACTTGGAAGAGATCCAGATCCACAGGGAAAAAAAGCAGAGCAAATTTGCCTTTAACCTTAAGGCAGTGGGCAAGGCATGACAAAAATACTGAAAGGCTCCCAATGCAGCCACCCACTCAGCCACAAGATGGCATCCGAGCTAAGCTGTAGGAAGTAGGAAGAGTCCTAGTCAGACCCTAATTAGATGCAGCAAAGCCATAACCGTGTGGTATTCTAAGTTTTGCTTGTCGGCAAGTAAGCTCAATCACAGGAGAATATGACTGAAAACAGAAATTTGGAACATTCTAAAACAAATTTACACAGACTCTAGTATGATCTAGGCATTGGGAATGGTGTGTGATAAGCAGATAACAAAAGAACTAGAAAGTAAGACGAGTGTTTAATTTGGACATTAGGGGGCTATGAGTTGTGTACTTTAGGTGTGAGGCTTAAATTTGAACCACAAGGCATGAAAACTGGTCTAAAAGTTAGGTCAGTTGACATATCAGTCAGAAACAATAACACAGACACTAATATAAGTTTGTGCATGACCAAGCAGGACTCCAAGCTGTACTCTAGTTGAAGAGGCCCAGGTACCTCCTGGTTAAATTTCAGATCTGGCCAACCTGACCTCCTGACCAAAACAACACAGTGCAGTGGCTCATGGTGGAACTAGTTGAGTTGGCAAAAAGATATCAAGTCAACCACAGAATCGCAATCCTTTATGCCCAACCTATTTTGTAGGAATAACCCCAGTGTGCAGAGGAAATGGAAACAGCAGGACTAGAGAGATATTTCAAACACATTCCCAGAGATTGGGAAGGACATAGGATATTGTGGTTTCTTTGAGTGGCAGAGACCTTCAGGCGGCAGAATCAGTCCAAGATGTTTTCAAGGTTCACTATTTAGAGAAAGTGATGTTTCTAGACCATAGCTGGAAGCAGGAATGAGAAATTTTTCTATTTGCTTCCTAATAGTTTGAAACTTTATTCTAATCTTGAATCTCCAATTGCATTCAGTGCAGCTTCTATACCTATTAGTATGGACTGACAGAGAGCACAATAAAACTGACAAACTAACATATTTCAATATTAAATCATAGGTTCCCTATGTCCCTACCTCACTTTGCTTTTAGTTATAACTAGAATACCATTTATAAATGGAATCACAAACATAGACTGTTAAAACCATCAGGCCTGGGTCTCCCTACTGGCACAAGGGTTTAAGTCTCAGCACTATGAAGCTATCAGCAGCCACTGCAGCACCAGTTCGATAACCCACGGGTCAGGGAGCTAAACCACATGGTGCAGCAGACCTCTTCTGTCTCACCTGCTGCTCCCCTCAGCAGTGTATTTCAGTAGATCCGCCTGTTCTGCTCCCCACTCTGTCTCTGGTGAATCCACTCACCCCCCCCCACCTCTGGCCTACACCCCAAATCTTGTTTGCATAAATAAATAAATCTTTAAAAAAATATAAAACCATCAGACCTCCTGTGTGACCCTACCCTCAGCCTACATCCAGTTGGACTATCCAAACCAATAACTATTTCTTAAAGTTTATAGTCACTTAGGAATGTCCCATATCCCTGAATATTTATTCTATAATATCTCACGTGGTTACCACCCAACCTTCTAGTTCATTTATTTGCTTAATTATTGTGTCTGGGGACCTCAAATCTTCCCAATAACTGTCTCCTGCCTTTATTTTATTCCTGTTCAATGAAAACAAATTAAAAAGTCTATCATTTCAACCACTCTTAACTATAACATTTATGCCTTGAGTACTTTTCCTTCTGCTAGACCACTCCAAAATAACCCAGCCTTTAACTAGTAATTTTTTTCTTCAACATATTTTAGAAACAAAATTACCAGTACTGCAAATTGGTGCTTCTAAACCTTGACTCTAACTTCAGCTTTATTCTCAATATATTCAGCAATCTTTTCTGTTTCTCAAGTCAGCTCTCTCACATTTTCCATTAATGTTTCTTCCAAAATTGTCCTACTCTTCTCACAGGTGAATCATAGTGCAATTATATACTTCAATACCTCCTACTTAACTCTTACTCAGTGGTCTTTCTTCCTACATCACAGACCAAAATGAAGGCCATGAAATTTTAAGACTATTCCCTATCTTAAAAAATCCACATGTATATCTATCAACCATTCCTTTCTTACTTCCTGCAAGTCATTCTCAACACTTTTCTGGTATTATCTACTTTTCTGAATGGTACCTTATCTATCAAATTGTTTACACACACACACTTCATTTGTATAAGGCTAATAAATTAGCAGTCTTTGCTCCCCCACAAAAAATGTAATCTGCCTAAATCAAAGTCAAGTCTTTCCATTCTTGCAGGGAAAAATTTCCATGACCCTAGATATTCTAACTCCTCTTTCTCCTTTCTTTTACATATTTAGGGGGCAGTAGGAGGGGAGAGCATTGTCTCTCTGGCTGTATTCATGCATTCTCCTTCCAATCACTCTCTGACTTACTGTAACCATGCTTCTGTCCTACTGCACAGACTGCTCCCAAGGCCTCATCATTGCTAGCTCTAAAGAGTGCATTTTACCCCTGATCATGTTTGTCTTTTGGACATAGCATTAGAGAGAAAATGGTTCAAAATCTCAAATCTATAATAATAATAATAGCAACTACCATTCCTTAAGTGAATGGTGCCAAGTTAACTTTGTCTTATTTAATCCTCTCATATTGAGGAAAAGTAACTTTCCAATAGGTCCAGAGAAAGTAAAATAAAGAATTGGAGTTGGATACTGAGGCTCTCTGACTCCAAAAATCCATTCTCTTAATAACTGGGCTATTTTCAGACAAATATAGCATGCTCCCAACTGGCCAGTTCCATTCAGATGTCACACAGGAACTTTAAAATCACCAAATCCAAAACTAAAGATATCTTCCTAACCCCAGACCAACACTTTTCTGGTATTAGCTACTTTTCTGAATGATACCTTATCCATAAAATTGTTTACACACACACACACACACTCACTCAGTCTGGGACAATTTAAACACAATTAATCCAATACAATACATTTTTGGGATGCAGAAGGAAACTGGGGTACCTAAAGAAATCAAGGGAAGAACATCAAACTCCATACAGACAGTGGCCCCAGCAGATACTTGATTTTTTTCCTCATCAACATTAAAACAAAATATTTCAATAATGAAATGATGTCACTTAAGGACCTTCTGTATTGACATCTTAGATTGATCATTGCAGTGGAGGGGCTGTTCTGAGCATTGAACCATGTTTTGTAGCACTGCTGTCCTGTACTCACTAGATGCTAATGGCATCCATTACAGTTGTGACATTAATAAATGTATCCAGACATTCCCAAATGTCCCTGGGGGGGGGGAGGTTGGAGGGAGAAGTTAAAATCACTGATTCAGAATTATTGGCCTGGAATAAAGAGCATCTTTTTTTTTTTAATTCTCTCCAAAATGACTTGAGGTCAATCAGTACCTCTACTAAAACTTACCATGGTCCTGGGATTATTTTTTCAGGTTGTGAAGAGCCAGATGCTGTGGCGGCAATTTCCACACAGTATGAAGTTTCCAGTCCCTTCTCCTATATTTGTCCTTTGAATCCTAAGTGGATTCGCATGTATTCCCATGTGAAATGCGTCTAGACTAAATTCCCCAGGTTACTGTGACTAGGAAAAGATCTCCCCTCCAGGCAGTCAAAAACCTAAATGAAGGGACATCCCATGGCCACATGTTGACATCCAATGGACACATAACATTATCCGTGGCCTCTATGTCTTCTCATCACACTTTGTTATCAATTAACTGTTTTTAAAGTCTTTTTTTTTATATAGAGGCATGTTTTATTTATTTATTTATTTGTTTGTTTGTTTGTTTTGTTTATACATGCACTGGGTACAGTCAGAAGCGCGGGAGGGTGAGAGAATTCACCAGAGCCAGAGCGGGGAGCAGAACAGGCAGAAGGACCGAAGTACACTGCTGAGGGGAGCAGCGGGCGGCAGGAGAGGTCTGCGCGCCATGTGGGACCCTCCTCCAGTGGCCGGGGAGCAGCCGGGGATCGAACCGGCGCTGCAGAGGCCGCGGGCAGCTTCACAACCCAACGCTCAACCGCTGCGCCACCGGGGAGGCCCCAATTAACTGTTTTTAATCCAGTTTTGCTTGCAAAATTGTTAGCTGTCCTTATGCAATTCTTTTTGCTGTTCACCCTGGAGCACACTGTACACATGATACTTCTCATACGAGAAGTAATTAATTACAAAAATGAAAGTTGGGCCTTCCTGGTGGCCAAGGGTTTAAGTCTCAGCAGCACCAGTTTGATCCCCAGCCGGCCAGGGAGCTAACCCACATGACACAGCAGACCTCTCCTGTCTCCCCCACTGCTTCCCTCAGCAGTGTATTTCAGTCAGTCCGCCTGTTTTATTCCTCACTTGTCTCTGGTGAAGCCTCTCACTCCCCTACACCTCTGGCCTGTACCCCAGTTCTTGTATGAATAAACAAATTTATTTTTAAAAAGTATTATTCTGAGTGTCTCCCCATAATATTTCCAGGTTCCAATTTTGTCTAAATGTGTGAACCATCATCAGGCACATATATCTCTCAGCCCTCAATTTCAGATGTTTTGGGGGATGAATGCCTTGCTCTTTAAAGTCCCTCTATCCCATATGAATGAGACAGGGCAAGTTAGGATTATTAGGCAGTTTTAGGGATAGTGCAGGAGAGGACCTCTGAAGAAATCAGGAAGGCTTCAGAGAAGGATAACCAAGGAAATGCAACCAATTCCACTGGGAAAAACAAACACCATTGTTAAACAATAGGGGAAAACAAACATCCTAGCACCACAGGTAATCTTGTTATGGATGGTCCTGGTTTTCTTCAGATGATAAGATGAAGTGTAAAGATGCTCACCGGGAGGGCTAGACCATAAAGGTAAAGCGATAAGCATAACAGATGGGGAAAGAAAATACTGTTAAGGAATGTGAAATTCCTTGCTTAGTACCCTCTGGGAGTTAACCAATCAGGGAGAGAAAGAGTAAAATTTAAACATAATGAGGGAGAGAAAGTATATATTGCCAACATAATATCCCATACCGGCTCATCTTGGCCCCTCCCAGGTACTTTATACCTGGGAGTCTTTCTTCTTTGTCTCTTTTCTTCCTAAATAAACTTTTCTTTCAAAGACAAAATTTGTCTCTCTCTACTTACTTACTCCAAAAGTCTGTGAATTCCTTTCTACGGAAGCGGCAACAGTTGTTACACACGCCGGCAACATAAAGATATTGCATACATGTCAATTAACCCATATTTTAAACCTGGCTTTTCCCACAAATTTGATGCAAATCTATGTCTAGACATTTTCTCATTAAGTTGCACAGACACTTCATTTGATATATGTAGACTAGCTTCCCACATCAATGATTCCTTTTTCTTACTTAGATCCCTTTCCGTGTTTTACATTAATATTTTGGGTTCTGAACATTCAGTCTGCATTAAATTTGGCGGATACAGGATTTAGAAGATGGGATTGCAGAAGTCTCTTTAAAAAAATAACCCATCTCAAATACCCATCTCAGTCCAGTACCGTAAGTCTTAATGGAAAAATACATTATGATTCTAGGATTTTGAAGGATTTTCTTGGCTGACGTACAGAATAAAAAGAAACTTTCTGTCCACCTTTCTTTGATAAAGTGGAGGGCAAAGTTCAGGGAGAGAAGATGTACGAGTGAAGTCACGAGGGGGTTCGAGCTAAAGAGACTTGTGACAGCCCAGGCTCAGCTCTCCACCCACAGTTCTGAACACGTTGCTTCCAGCCAGCCTTTTTAGCCGAGGCGCTGAGGTGAAGGATACCGGTGGTTGGCTAGTCAAGGCATCACTGAATGCTAAGGTGGGTCACCAACTGCACCATAAACCGGAACCGTCGAAACTAATGCTTTTAGAATTCAAAATGATCAGGTATTTTTTTCAAAGGTGGGGGGGGGGCACACAATTGAAGTGGGAGCGCTCAAAGTAATCCTATTGCCAAATATAACTTTGCGTTCAGTCCATTATCCTCTCGAAAACAAAAAACACTTTCTCAGTCTCTAGTATGTGACGGCCTGAAAAAACTAATCGTTCTCTTAAACGTCTCCAGCGCGCCCTCGCCTCAGTCACGCCAGAATGGGTAACCGCACGGCCCCGGCGGGCGCGGCGGGTAGGGACGGAAGGCGGCCGGGACAGGCCAAACTTCATCCGCCGCGGCGCCCGAGCGCGCAGGCGAAATCCGACGTTGAACTTTCTGTCGCGGAGCATAACAGAAGGAGCGGCCGGAAGCGAGGTGGACGCGCATCTCAGAGACAAAACAAACTCTGCGGACGACTTGTAGGGCGCACGGGGGTGCACCCGTGTCAGCTTGGGCCGGGGGGGGGTGGGGGGTGGTCACCACTTTCTGTGGAAACTGCATTGCGGAAGCCGCGCTCCGTTTTCTAGCGTCCTCGTGAGACGCGCGATGACGCAATATTCGGTGCGCCAACCCCGGACTGGCGGCAGGGCGGGCTCTTCAAATTTGAATTCCCAAACTGGTGTAGTTGTTAGGGAACCTCGCCGAGGAGGTGAGGGTCCGCTGGGGCAGGCTGCGGTGTGCTGAGGGGGCCAGCGGGCTAGAGGCGCGGGCCCTGAGGCGCCCGGCCCTCCTCCGCGAGGAGCCGAGTCGGGACTGTCGCCCCGCCAGGCCCTGCACTGCAGGTACGAGCCCCCACCCCTCCCTGGGCCCCTGCCGCGCGGGTCCCCCGGCGCCGAGTCGCGGCCCTTCCGCATTCCCGGCGCTGGCTGGCCGCTGCGCCTTGCTAGCTGTAGCGGTGGTTTCCCAAACACTCTCTCGGTGTGTTCTTGTTGCGTGCCTGCTCTGGTTATCAACAGAGTAGAACACGTTTTTCGTTCAGATTCGTGTTGCTAGTCAGCGCTCTCGGCCTTTGTTCTAAATTCACTTTCTGAAAACCCCCTTTACGTTAGCGTGATCAACAATTAATTGATTAATTAGAAAATTGTTGGAACCTCTCTGCCTGCTAACCCGGGGTCTACGGTAATGTAGAAGCAATTGATCTATCTAGCGTGTTTTCTTCTGATTAAATAACGTAATGGTTGCAGGCATTTTCAGGTGTTAATAAAATTATTTAGAAAAGAGAAGGCCGGGCCTACCCGGTGGCGCAGCGGTTGAGCGCTGGGTTGCGAAGCTGCCCGCAGCCTCTGTGGCGCCGGTTCGATCCCCGGCTGCTCCCCGGCCACTGGAGGAGGGTCCCGCATGGCGCGCAGACCTCTCCTGCCGCCCGCTGCTCCCCTCAGCAGTGTACTTCGGTCCTTCTGCCTGCTCTGCTCCCCGCTCTGGCTCTGGTGAATTCTCTCACCCTCCAGCGCATCTGACTGTACTCAGTGCTTGTATAAATAAATAAACAATAAACAAACAAATAAATCTTTATTAAAAAAAAAGAAAATAGAAGGCCCCTTCACGCTACTCTTCAAAGATACTGTTTATGATTTTGTTCGCTTCCAGATATTTTCCCCTATACGCGTGTGTGTTTGCTTTTATTCAAGTGTTCGTCCTGATCTGTTGCTTCCTTTTTTAAAGTTTAGTATCTCCTAGTTATTTTCCATGTTAGTTTATATCTGTGTGTCTACGTGTGTATTGAATGCATAGAATTCAGTTGTGTAGTTGAAGCACAATTTCATCCTTTATTGGTGGGCATCTAGCAATAGTTTGGTTTTTTTTTTTTTTTTTTTTTTACAGATTTATTTACTTATTTATACAAGCACTGGGTACAGTCAGAAGCGCGGGAGGGTGAGAGAATTCACCAGAGCCAGAGCGGGGAGCAGAACAGGCAGAAGGACTGAAGTACACTGCTGAGGGGAGCAGCGGGCGGCAGGAGAGGTCTGCGCGCCATGTGGGACCCTCCTCCGGTGGCCGGGGAGCAGCCGGGGATCGAACCGGCGCCGCAGAGGCCGCGGGCAGCTTCGCAACCCAGCGCTCAACCGCTGCGCCACCGGGGCGGCCCTAGCAATAGATTCTTTTCACATTTCCCCTGAACTTAAGTGAACGTTCTTTGTATAGTGGCTGTTTAAGAACTTGGACTTTGCAGTTAGATGGACTTGAATCTTGCTCATTCTCCTTGGCAAGGAGATTTTAGGCACTTTAATTACCCTATGCTTTGGTTTCCTCGTCTGCAAAATGGGGACAATAGCAGTTTATAACTCCTATTTATCGTTTCTTTGGTTTCCCGGAATTGATGTTGTATAAACCTATGTATATTTTCCCATTTTTTGGTGCAATTTTCCCAATTTATTCGCTATTGGTTTTGAGAGTTTTAAGTCAACAGCTAGTATTATAACTCACAGCACAAGATACTTGTCACTAACATTACTGAGCACATGAATATAAGTATTAATGCATATTTGTGAAATAGCATTCTTTGGAAGAATTCAGGAGCTAAACTCACCATATTCCTTTTGTCAGCTCTTGATATGGAAGAATGTTTCCTTCTTTTTTCTCTTAAAAACTAGTGAATAAGGGCCGCCCCGGTGGCGCAGCTGTTGAGCGCTGGGTTGCGAAGCTGCCCGCGCCCTATGCGGCGCCGGTTCCATCCCCGGCTGCATCCCCGGCTGCTCCCCAGCCACCGGAGGAGGGTCCCACATGGCGCGCAGACCTCTCCTGCCGCCCGCTGCTCCCCTCAGCAGTGTACTTCGGTCCTTCTGCCTGCTCTGCTCCCTGCTCTGGCTCTGGTGAATTCTCTCACCCTCCCACGCTTCTGACTGTACCCAGTGCTTGTATAAATAAATAAATCTTTCAAAAAAAAAAAAAGAAAAAATGTTTAAAAAATAAGTAAAGTCTAAGATCTTGTATACGTAAGTACATGATTTCCCTAAAAATTATAAATAGCATTAATTTTTAAAATTATAATGAATATAATTTGATTTTGACTTGAGGGTTTTTCAACTGAAACCTCATCATTAAAATTTCTATAGGGCCTCCCAGGTGGCGCAGCAGTTGAGCGCAGGGTTGCATGCTGCCCGCAGCCTCTGCAGAGCCAGTTCCATCCCTGGCTGCCAGGTGATTGTCCCACATGGTGCGGCAGACCTCTCCTGCCGCCTGCTGCTCCCCTCAGCAGTGTATTTCGTCAGTCTGCCTGTTCTGTTTCCCGCTATGGCTCTGGTGAATTCTCTCACCCTCCCACGCTTCTGACTGTACCCAGTGCTTGTATAAATAAATAAATATTTAAAAAATAAATAAAATTTCTGTAGCAAAACAAAATTTGGATTGTAGATTACTTGACTAAAAAATTGTATAGCTTTTTCAGCTTTCATTAGGCTATATCATTTTAACTATTAAAATATTAATCTTTTAAACTTAATAGCATCATAAACAAATGTCATTTAATGCCTTTTCAGGCAAATAATGAATTGGAAACTTCAGGACTTAGGGTTTCAAGTAAATGTAACAAACAGATATTCTAAAATTTAATTCTTACAACTATTAAGTAGATAGTTTAGTAAATACTGCTTTTTTGTAGAGAAGTAAATTTAAAGACCAAAGTGCTCATCTATTGAAAAATAATGAGATTTTGTCAAAAATGTAAAAGTTTATTCTGATTTATGAATTTAAGACTATTTAGTTTTGAACCAATTAAACCTTTTAACAGGTATAATATTGTTATGGAAAGCAAATTTAATTTTTTCTGTACCAGAACATAACATATCTTGATTTCACATTGAACTGCAGGTTACTCTGGGCCCTTGCCGAAGGTCTGTTCTGAAAATTGTGTTTAACTGAATTTTCTGCTAGAGGAATTTGTTGCTACTGTTTATCAAGATGATTGCTACACCTTTGAAACACCCAGGAATTCACTTGTCTTCAGAATTATCTTCTCAAAAGAGAAATATGCCCGTGCATGCAATCTTTTTTGACAACATTCCTTCAGGCACACTAACCCCCGTGAAAGATTTAGTGAAATATCAGGGCTCCTCTTTAAAATTTAATGACAATAAAAAGAATCAATTCCTAGAAATGACAGTTTTTAATAATAAAAATGTATTTCAGTCTACCATGCTAACAGAGGCTACTACCACTAACAGTTCTCTTGATATCAGTGCTATAAAGTCCAACATGGATATATTACAAAATAAAGCAAACTATGAATCACCAGGAAAAATATTTCAAAGAATGAAAGAAAAAGTACTACGTGATAAGCAAGAACAAGTATCAAGAAATGGAACTTTTTTGGGATCACCAAAAACTGAAAATAATAAAATTTTCAGTCCTGATGAAACTGAGAAAAGAATATTGCGGAATACTTACATCTCTGAAGAAAAGGAAAACAACAAAACCTTCCAATCAGGTAACACTTCACTAAGAGGTTACCATTTATTATGTATTGGTTATAAAGGTATGTGTGTGTTTATTGTGTCTGGCATAGGTTTAAATACTCAGGATATAGTAATGAACATAATGGACAACCTGCCCTCATGTAGGTAGTAGCTCATTCTCAGGATGTGGGAGACAGATAGATAATTAAATAAGTAAATTTTATAGTACAGTAGAAGTGAGTGCTATGGCAATAAAAACAAAGTACAGATGCCAGGAAGAGTGCACATTGTAATTTTCAAAGGAGTGGTCAGGGTACGCTTCAATGAGAGGGTAGCATTTGACCCAAAATATTTAATGAAGTGATAGGTATAGATATATATCATCGGGGATAGGAAAGGATGCTCCAACTTATACAAATGCTCTGAAATGGCATACCTGACAAATTGAAGGATTAGCTGTGAGATTAGTGGACAGAGTTAATGGACAAATGAAGCGAGTAGACAGAACTGGGGCGGAGGGGATAAATGAGAGGGCAATGTAAGAGTTTGGACTTTTACAATGAGGAAACGAAGGAGCCATTGGAGGGTTTTGTGCAAAGGAATAACAGGATCTCACTGTTTTTAAAATATCACTCTGGCTGTTGATTTGAAACAGTTACTACAGTTGTCCAGGTGAGAGATGGTGTTAACTTGGTGGATGGTAACACTGAAGATAGTAAGAAGTGATTGGATTCTGAATATATTTTGAAAGAAGAGCCAATAGCATTAGTTTATAGATTAGGTATGGAATGTCAGAAAAATATAAATGATGACTCCAGGGTGGGTTTTTTTTGTTTGTTTAGTTTTGGGGTTTCTTGCCCTAGCAACTGGAAATGCAGCAGATGAAAAACAGTGGGTTGGGCTTAGTAATTAAGTTTCATGATCATATCAACTTTGATATATCTATTAAAAAGTGAGATGAAGATGTGAATGAGGCTGTTGGAAAAAAAAAACAGTTGGGGTCTAGGGGAGTACTCTAGATGAGGAAAATCTATTTGGGAATATATAAAAGCTATGAGATTAGAAGAGATCAAGGAGTAAGTACAGAAAGAGAAAACACTGAATAGGTGATTCCTGAGGCACTCCAAAATTTAGAGATTAGAATAAAGGGTAGAAACTAGTGAAGTCCACTGAGAAGAAGAACAACAACAACAAAAGAAACAGCAATGAGACGTTGAAAACCAAAAGAACAAAATGCTTTAAGGAGGGAGTTGTTAGCTGTGTCTAACGCTGCTAATCAAGTCCAGTAAGATGAAGACTGATATTTGATCATTGGATTTAGCAATGTGGAAACTATTGGCTACATTGATTAGGGCAGTTTTGGTGGAGTGATATGAGCAAAAATGTGATTCAAGAGATACTGAGGAGAGAAATTGATGAATATATGCACATCATTTTGAGGAAAGTGGAAAACATGGGAAAGTTGACTTTAAAAGATTTTATTGTTTTTAATGATTAGTGAAATAGAATGCTTGCATATTTTGGAGAGTGATTACTAGCAGAAAAGGAAAAGCTTTTGATAGTGTGATACCCTTGAGATGCTGAAGGGAAGAGGCTCTAAAATGGATGTTTGGCTTTAGCTAGTGACATAGATCATTAGTTAAACAAGAAGGTATGTAGGCAGTTTTGTGTGACTTAATCTGCAGTAGGAAGTGAAGTCATTTGAGAGTGAGTATTGAAACAGGTATTGAGGTTTGAGGAAGTAGAGGCTTGAATAATGTAGGTGAGTGGAAGAGTAAATGATCTAGGACTACATTTGATTTCCTGGACAATATTAAAGACCTACTTGAGATCTGTGGGCATTAATTTAATTAAGACCAAACACCATACTTGAGAGTTTCCACTACCCTTACTTAGCTGCATAGCTGTTGCTGGAGAATTAGCAGAAAGTTAAATTTTATCAGGATTGTAATTTTGCCAAATAGGATGATGTGAAAGAAGGACAAAGAGAGCTGGGTGTATATGCAAAGGGGTAACCATAATTGGCCATGACATTTTAATTGGACAGACAGGGAAAAGAAGTATAGGTGTTGCTGGGATAGTTAATGGATTTGAGAGAATGATCTGAAAAGACAAAAAGTGGTCAGAAATTGTGACACTTGAAGTTGAAATTCTAATGAGATGTAGTAATTGATAGAGATGTTTAACATGCATTATCTTGCATAATACTTTCAGCAAACACTGGGTAAATGTTCACTCAATAATGAAGGAAATGGGGATTATAAAAAGGTTATGTATGCTCTATGTCACTGACAGGCTGAGAATTAGTTAAAGGCATCTTAGCAGCCTGTGCTCTTTACTACTATACTACACAATAGATTTGTAGGGATATTGTTGAATTTCAAAGACAGTGATAAGTTTTCACACACAAAGCAGTTTTCTAGTTTAGAATGGAGGTGGTGGCATATGCAAAATAATTTATTTCCCATACATCCTGGGAGAAAAGAGAGAAGCAAAGAAATAATGTACATTAAAGCACATTTTATATATAAGGTAGAATTACAAAAAGAAATAACTGACTGCTTTGAGAATTTGATGACTGTCTCCAGAAAATACACATATATTCAAGCTCAAATTTTGTGTGTAACTTCAGAGATTTTTTGGAGAGAGTCTGAATGGACTTTGGACTTTCAAATAAATGACCCAGTTTATGCAGCATGTTATATTTGATCAAATTACCTACTTGTGTTTATTGCATTGTCCTGCCATTTCTAGTTAAATGAATTAAATAGAAACTTATCCTTTTATGACTATGTCAATCATAAAATCTTTATATTAAGATTTCTAAGGCAAGAGTGGGTATACTTACTAAAGCATAATCACTACCAATTTTTTTCAAATACACTATTTGAAATATCAAATATCAAAGTATCAAGTATCAAAGGGTATAAACTATCGTTGAGTCTGCGGTTAAATCTCAACATTTTGGTTTTTAAAGTATAAGTTATAACTCTCCAACTATTTTTTTTTTAAAGAATTTTTTTTTTTTTTTAAGATTTATTTATTTATACAAGCACTGGGTACAGTCAGAAGCGCGGGAGGGTGAGAGAATTCACCAGAGCCAGAGCAGGGAGCAGAACAGGCAGAAGGACCGAAGTACACTGCTGAGGGGAGCAGCGGGCGGCAGGAGAGGTCTTCGCGCCATGTGGGACCGGTGGGAGTAGCCTCCTCCAGTGGCCGGGGAGTAGCCGGGGATTGAACCGGCGCTGCAGAGGCCGTGCGCAGCTTCGCAGCCCAGCGCTCAACCACTGTGCCACCGGGGAGACCCTATAACTCTTCAACTATTGTTTCATGCTTTGGAAATTTATAGCAACCAGTAGCAGAATCAAAATTTCCAAGACTGGATGGCATATCATATATAATCTTAAAACACAAATTTGATTTGGGTCAGCATCAGAATTTTATTACAGCTATCTAGGCTTCTAAGTCCAAAGGTATACTTTTGTTGTTAAAAAATTCTTTCCTAACATAATGTGGACTTAGAAACTGGGTTAATAGCGAAAAATGATAAAGGGAAAATATAATCTAACTGTCATGCATTATAAAAGGATACTATAATGATCTGATCATTACTGAACTTAAGTCCTTATTTCAATTTTTAAAAAGTCTTTTTCTTTTCAGTGACTAATACAGCTCAACTTTTTCTTTCTTTAAAAAGTCCCAACCTCAGTCCCAGAAGCTCCTTTCAAATCAAATAATACTTTCCTTCCAGTCAAGCAGAAGATTGGATGTCAGGAAAATAAAGCACCTCCGCACAATTTAACTTATGGTAAACTGCTTTTTTTATTATTTGTTATTTGAAGTGTTGGTTAAATGTTCTAGATAATTATTGTAATTATTTTTATTGTGTTGGCAGTTAGCAGTGATTACGGATAAATGATAGGATCCTAAAAACCAGAGGCATTCAGAGAAAGACTGGGCAGCAAGTTAGAGGAGGAGGGTGCCTTGCCTGAAGACCATTTAATATAAACAGTTTTATCTCTTAATTTTTTTTTTCTTCCCAACCCCCCTCTCTGAATTTCTTATGGTCCTTCAACAGCTTTATTTTTGTAATTTTTGCAGAGCTTTTGGTTCTGAATCCTGAACAGGAAAATGTTGCAGCTTCAGGTACCTCCAACAGGGCATTAACTAGAGCTCAGCTGGCTAAACAGATTCTTCACTCAAAAGAAAATGCAACTGTAACCACTGAGTCCAAAAAGAACACCTTTGTTGTAGAAGGCAATGATTCCACCTATGAAAAATCCCAAAATACTAGTATTGAGACTCTCACTACTAACTGTGTTCCAATTAAAAATGGCATTCAACTAATGACATCTGATTATAAGGTGACAACAAAAGGAATCTCACAATGGGAAGTAAAGGAAGAGAAAGAGAAAGCAATGCCCAGAGAAACCGATCTTTCAGCTTCCATGAATGATAGATGTAAAATTGTGCTTGCAACGCCAAGATTTCATACAACAATACCTCAGAAAGCAAAAAGAAATGCTTCAAGGTGTTCTCTTCAAAGTACATTTCAAACTATTACAAATGAAGTAAAAAAAAATAAGGTATGAAAACATTTAAGTAAATGTTTCTATATTTACTCCCATTTTTCAAGCTCTTAAGCCCTTTCATTATTAACAGTAGCTCATTTTTGTGTGCTATATTATTTAGTATAAAGGTAGTGTGAAAGAAGACCCAGGTGTTAAATCTTACCTTATATTACTAATCTTGATATATTTACAAGAAATTACAAACAATTTTAGATTTTGCCTTAAAAATGTCTAAGGTGGGTTCTGCCAAAAAGTTTGAAAAACCCTGTTTTTAAAAGCCCTACAGTATTCATTCCATCATCTCTACTGTCTGTCACACTTAACTCTAAGTCTCCTACGACTCATTTCAATACCTTTCTATACATCCCCTAATTCTGACCCATCTCTTATTCCTGTCTTACTCTCCAGACATATTGTGTCCTATGGAACTTAAGGTATCATCAGCAAAATCTTCTAGTCTCAATTTTCTGTGGATATTTCTTTATCTTGCTGTAAGTAAAACATGACTTCTTAAATGGTGGCTCTTTTTATTGGCCCTAGAGATGATAACACATGTGTCTCACATTCCTCATTACCATTTCAGACCATTTTTCCTTCTAATACCACCCTTTCCCTTTTCCCAGCTTCTAGATTTTACTTGTCCCTGCTCCCTTTTGTATATGATACAAACTCCTAGTCATCCCCTTACATTTTTGTTGAAGTATTTGATAACACCTGTTATTTTTCCTGTGCTACTTCTGTCATCATCTGTGGTGACACCAACATCCATTTACATGATCCATTTAGTCTCCTTGAATTCTTTTTTTTTTTTTTTTTTTTTTTTTTAAATCTTTTTATTTTTTTTTTTTTTTTTATAGAGGCATGTTTTTTTTTTTTATTTATTTATTTTGTTTGTTTGTTTGTTTTGTTTATACATGCACTGGGTACAGTCAGAAGGGCGGGAGGGTGAGAGAATTCACCAGAGCCAGAGCGGGGAGCAGAGCAGGCAGAAGGACCGAAGTACACTGCTGAGGGGAGCAGCGGGCTGCAGGAGAGGTCTGCGCGCCATGTGGGATCCTCCGCCGGTGGCCGGGAAGCAGCCGGGGATCGAACCGGCGCCGCAGAGGCCGCAGGCAGCTTCGCAACCCAGCGCTCAACCGCTGCGCCACCGGGGAGGCCCTCCTTGAATTCTTGATTGGCAGTGACCTTTTCCTATTCATACCCATAGCATGTCTTTACTAGTGTTAAGTACCAGATTCTCACATCCATGCTGTAGGGTAAGGAAAAATGTCAGGCTTTTCTGCCCTCCCGCCATCAGGACAGATGTTGGATCCTTGCGGTCCTGAATGCATGCCTGATGGCGGGCACCTGGAGTAGGATGTGGGCCTAGGTAGATGGGATTCACCTGGGCTAAGACTGGGCTTTTAAGGTTGGCGTCATGGGGACGCCAGCAGAAGCCCAGAAGCCGAGAGAGAAGCAGAGAACGCCAGAGAGCCCAGATAGAGTGAAGACTTGCTGGGGGCTGGGAGGCCTACCAACCTCACGGCCCCCCAGCACCTCTGCCTACTGTGTACCTGGTAATCCCAGTAAAAGACCTGCAAAAAAACCACTGAGGACTCTGACTACTCCTTTACCCGGTCTGCTGGATCCTAGAAAACCTGCCCTGTGGTCTTCCTGACCTTACACATGCTCACTACCAGCTCTTGTTTTGCCAGATCATTCCACCTTGAGTACTGTTCCCTCCTCCCCATCACCCCACTAAAACAGTTTTCAATCCATCAACTCTCTCCTGTCCTTATTTCCCTCAACATAAATTCTCTTGTGCCTAATAGCCAGTCCCTTGACTGAACTCTGAGTTTTCTTTATTGGTTTTCCCTCTGTCCTCTTCTGGCAAAATTATAACCTTAGTTAAATTTTTTTTCTTTGCTACATACCTGTACCTGAGAAGCAGAAGATAGCTGGAGTAAAACAACATGGAATTACGAAAGAAAGAACTTTACTGCTTCTTCCCCAAGTTCTACCTATAACTTTTTAAATGAGCATAAATGAGGAAAAGTACAATATGTTTTTGGGGTTTTGTGGAACTTGGTTTTTTTTTTTTTTGTTTTTTTTTAAGATTTATTTATTTATACAAGCACTGGGCACTGTCAGAAACGCGGGAGGGTGAGAGAATTCACCAGAGTCAGAGCGGGGAGCAGAGAAGGCAGAAGGACCGAAATACACTGCTGAGGGGAGCAGTGGGCGGCAGTAGAGGCCCACGCGCCACGTGGGACCCTCCTCCGGTGGCCGGGGAGCAGCCGGGGAACGAACCGGCGCTGCAGAGGCCGCGGCCAGCTTCGCAACCCAGCGCTCAACCGCTGCGCCACCGGGGAGGCCCAGAACTTGGTGTTTTAATGGACATCATAGGATTTTAGTTGATTTCTTTTGTCTAGCGGTTGAAATGTTTATTTAAAGTATAATTGATTCTGGATTGTAGAACATACTAGTACAATCTCAATTCAGTCTCTCCCTTCATCTTTTCTATCTCATTTTATCTATCTATCTATATATACACACACGTATATATTTGTGTGTTTGTATAAGTTTTTACCTTATTGCTATTTAAAATAGCGCTGGGGCCTCCCCGGTGGCGCAGCGGTTGAGCGCTGGGTTGCAAAGCTGCCCGCAGCCTCTGCAGCGCCAGTTCGATCCCCGGCTGCTCCCCCGCCACGGAGGAGGGTCCCACATGGCGCGCAGACCTCTCCTGCTGCCCGCTGCTCCCCTCAGCAGTGTACCTCGGTCCTTCTGCCTGCTCTGCTCCCCACTCTGGCTCTGGTGAATTCTCTCACCCTCCCACGCTTCTGACTGTACCCAGTGCTTGTATAAATAATAAATAAATCTTTAAAAAAAAAAAACAGATGAGCACTAAGGAATCATTTTATATTTTTTTCTTTAAATGTAAATTGGCTTTATAATGATTATGCTACAAGTAATACAGAAAATATATGCTTCATTTTATGCTTTATTAGGTAGTTCAGCTGAAGGATTGGATGATTAAAAGCATCAAGGATAACACTGCTGTATGTGTAGAAGGAAAATTGATGTAAGTATAACATTTCCATATTATACATTTTATAAAATTTATATTAAGATACTTATGTGTGAAGGCTTAAAATTGAGGTTTGTAAGCCTCTATGTACCACTTTCTAATAAGTTTACAATTCAAAGGCAAAAAGTAAAACGACTGTAGATCCTGATTGATTGTAACTAGCCTTTTTATCTTTGCCTGTTCTCTCAAGTTATTTTTAAAAATAATGACAGCTCAAATGTGTATTACAGTCCTAATTTTTCTCCAGAGGTTCTCATAAGTGAACTGATATTATCTGCTTAATTATAATATATTGATTAGTTAATATTTACTAAATGCATCTCAGTCCATATTCTTACCTCTAAATTGGAACAACCAGATATAAATTACTGATCCAGAGAAGGAATCAAAATTACTTAAACCTTTGCCATACAGCTACATATTAAGTAATCATTGAGCACTTTCCTAAAGTTAAATCATCAGGTGAGTGGGCTTTGCCTAATTCTAATACTTTACTAGCCCATTTCCCATTCTTCAAAACCAATTTCTTAGTGGTAAAAATTTATAAAAAAATATAATGAGGGGCCTCCCTGGTGGTGCAAGGGGTTAAGCACCCCACTATGAAGCAATAAGCAGCCTCTGCAGCACGAGTTCGATCTGGCCAGGAAGCAACCCATTGGCGCAGCAGACCTCTCCTGTTTTTCCCGCTGTTCCCCTCAGCAGTGCATTTTATTCAGCCTATTCTGTTCCCCAATCTGTCTCTGGTGAACCCTTTTGCCCCCCATATCTCTCGCCTGTACCCCAGCTCTTGTATGCATAAATAACTAAATCTTAAAGAAAAAAAATAATAAAATAAAATATAATGAAACAATATATCACTATTTGGGTTACCTACCTAGAAGTTTTTAAGTTGAGTATATAAAATTTGTCTTGCCACTCCATTTCTGCTTGCCCATTGCTCAGTTCCTTAATATCCCAGAGGCAGCTTAGATTGTCTTTGTTGGAATTCCATTGCTCCTGCTTACTGGCTTTATGACATGGGCAAGTTACTTATCTTCTTTCAGTCTCAGTTTGTTATCTGCATAATGGTAATAATAGTATTTATCTTTTGGGTTATTTTGAGAATTAAATGAGTTAATATTTGTAACACTTGAGAAATAGTACTTTCAGAGTGCCTTTTAAATGTTTGTTAAATAAAATAAAAAAGAACAGAGGATGAGAATGTATTAAATCCCATTTGACCAAATTAAAGGAACTGAACTTTCTTATGCCTCGCCATGTGGGTTGCTCCCCAGCCGGCCGGGGATTGAACTCATGCTGCAGAGGCTGCGGATTGCCTCATAGTGTGATGCCCAAACCCTTGCGCCACCAGGGAGGCCCCTCAACACCAGAAAATAAGAGAGGGTAACATCTGGTGCTTCCTTGGTAATGATGTGTTTTATAGTAGGGGTATTCTTTGACCACAGTATACGTTCTTGGCACATACTCTGAGAATCATAATGGCAACATTTGAGTTCTGCTCTAATGTTTGGCCCTCAACTGTTTTGTAATTAGAATAATAATACTGGTCATGTAGTAGGGCACAAATTTATTATTTTCCATTATAAATGTATATACTAAGGTTCATTACAGTAACTAGTAAAATGAATATTTTAGCCTTAACTAAGTTATTTTTTCTCCTAGAGATGTCACTAACATATATTGGCACAGCAATGCAATTATAGAACGAATTGAGCACAACAAACTTAGGACTTTATCAGGCAACATTTACATATTGAAAGGAGTAATAGACAGGAATTCTATGAAAGAAGCAGGTAATGACTTACTGATAAATTATTTTACTAGGTGAAGCAGTTAATCATATTTGTATGTGTTGATCATTATTCTCTGATTTAGTAATCACTTGTTGAAATCCTGCAATTTAAAAATTCAAGTGAAGTGTGTCTTATTAGTAAGGAATTGCTTTATAAGAATACAGTCTAACTCCCTAGTTCCTCTCTTGGATGAGCCTGTTTGGCACAACCCCAGTCCTGATATAATCTAATTTTCTGCCTGTGCATTGCACACAGCTAAATGTGACTGAAGAAAAACATACCTGAGTACTCTACTTTAAATTTATGATTAACAAGTTGTGGTTCATTCATGCCACCTGATATCCTACCACAGTTCCCTAATCCATTCACTCTCCCATCCTCCTTGATGACCTATTTCACATTTTTACAAATCTTTAGCACCCTCCCTCATTCAGGTATGGGAGAAGGAGGAGAGCGCATGAGCAATAAGAACAATCAAAAGATAACTTCTCAAATACATCTACCCACATGCTTGCATCTATACCTGCCTTTATTCTGGATGAACTGTTTGTGTTCCTATCTATGTCACCCTCTCCATTTGTACTCTAACTTACATTTCCCTATTATTCAGGGATATCACTCAAATAATTTTGCCTTCTATCAAGAAGAAACAAAAAAAACCCTCTGAACTACACTTTTCTCAGCCACTATTTCTTTCATCTATAACAAAGCAACTCAAAAGATCTTTATATCTAATTCTTCTTGAATTCTTTACCATTTTTAAAAAAATTCTCTCTAATCATGCTTTAACCATAAATTCTTCATGGAAACAGCTCTTTAAAAAGTCATTAGTGTTCACCACATTGCGAAATCCATTATATACTTGACTCAATCACACCTACCACCTTGAAACACTGTCTTTTCCAATTTTCATGCTGCTCCACTCCCTGTTCCTTCTTGGTTTATTTTTTTCCTTCTTCTAAAAATGGATTAGACTGGGGCTCTTTCTATTCTCAGTACTCTACTGATTTCTTTTAGGCTTTAAATCTCATATAGTGATAAAAAACAAATTTATATCTCTAACCAGGAACACTCACCTAGCCACTCAACTCATTTGACATCTCCACTGTGTAGTGCCCCCAAGGCCTTATAAATCTCATGCTCCCAGCTGCCTGTATTACCCATCTGAGTGGCCTCCAAACACTAGCCGCTCATTCTACCTTTACTACACTGATTCCTTGGTTTTACAAAAGGGCCAGGCACACTCTTGCCTTACACCCTTATATGCTTCCAGATTTTAACCCCATTACAACACGTAGTTCATCTCCTTATTTCCATGGCTTTACTTAAATTGAGGCTATTTAAGTAAGAACTTCTTGACTTCTTTTTAAAAATGCTACCTACCTCACTTTTCCCCATTATGAATACTCTGGTATCCCTATCTCCCTTTACTGCATAATTTTTCTCCATAGGGAAATAAATGACTATCTAATAAGCAAGATGGTTTGCTTTCTGTTTCACATTAGAAGGCAAGTTCCATAAGGCAGGGATTTTTGCTTGTTTTGTTAACTGCTGAATTGTTAGTATTGATGACAATGACCAGCATGTAGTAAACATTAAGTGTATGCTTTTGAGTGATTGAATGAACTAATGACATCTCTGTAAAATTCTAAGTTTTCAGATAATTGTTTTTGTTTATCATTAAATAGGATATTCAAATTATTTCATAAGGAAGTTTATGTTTGGATTTCCAAAAAAATGGGAAGAGTACATTGGTAGTTTTCTAGAACAATTAAGGTAAAGTAATTTTTAACTTTTTAATAAACAACTTTATTCAGGTATAATTTGCTTTTGATAATATATACATTTTAGATATAAAACGTGATGAGATTTTACAAATGTGTATACTTATATAAACAATATAAAGTGGTCTGTTTGGGTTTTTTGGGGGGATTACTAGTGTTTTGGTTTTTTTTTTTAAAAGATTTATTTATTTATACAAGAACTGGGGTACAGGCCAGAGGTGCGGGAGGGTGAGAGAATTCACCAGAGAGAGCCGGGAGCAGAACAGGCAGATGGGCGAAAGACACCGCTGAGGGGAGCAGCGAGCGAGGCAGGAGAGGTCTGCCACGCCATGCGGGAATCGAACCCATGCTGCAGAGGCTGAGGACAGCTTCATAGCGCTGTGGTCAGCCTGCTGCGCCAATGGGGAGGCCCAGGAATGCTAGTTTTGAAGTTATATTTGACCTTAGACTTTCAGAAGGCAATAGCACTTTACTAGAATTTCTGTCACGGAGTAAATCTAAAAGGAAAATAATACCTTTGATATATTTCAAGGAGTCTTCCTTAGTCACCTACTCCTTAAGAGGCATGTAGTTGTTAAAAACAAGTCTGAAGCTCTTCATCCTTTTTTCTTTCACGCATTCCCTCAGTGGTTATTGAATGTCAGCTGCTTTGCAAACAGTGTCTACACCAAAGAAGAATTTGATTAATTTTTACCTTAAGTAATTCAAGTGATATGATGATATAAGTTAATTAACAATGTAATAGGGGTTGGCAATTTTTTTCTGTAAAGCATGAGATAGTGTTTTATGTACATGTTGCCTCCATAGAAGGAACAGAAAAGCAACCACAGAGAGTACTTGAACCAATGTGGCAATGGTTCAGTAAACTTTATTTACAAAAGCAGGTTACTGGCAGGGTTTATCTTTAATTTTCTTATAATATTGACTTCAGTAGGAAATATAAGAGTATATAATAGGAAGCACTTAAGAGGTTATATTTTAATCTAGAGTTTAAATTTTAATCTTTTTACTTAAAATGTTATATACTTCAGTTCTTTGTTGGGGTGAGGAAAGGGATAGAAGCCATGGAGGATAAAATAATGTAAGTTAAGGGTAATCTTTGCTATGGGGGGAAAGGAGCTTTATCTGAGGGAATTTCAATTATGGGTTTTATGCTTTGATAACCAATATTGGGGAGGAAAAAACAATACTATATTTGTTTTTAGGGCTTGTGAAAAGAAAGGGGGAAAGACCAGACAAAAACAGAAAGTTGGACTATTTGTCCCTGATGTTAAAAAATCAATGAAAAGTGATGCAGGAGAAAACCAGTCAGATGTCCTTCAAAGAGCCCACACCACTTATGACCTTGATTGTGATCATTTGGGTATGTTTGCTCTTTTATTCTCTACTGGTATAGTGGTAAATCCTTGTATATGCTCAACTTTATGGTTTAGTTTTAACATTGATGAGGAAAAAAAGTAATCCCAGTCAAGCTGAGTGAAAACACTTTGAGGACCTGCTTTCTTTAAATCATTCCATTTAAAGTAGTCACAGTTTCCAAGAACCTATTAATGATGTTACTGTATATAGTGTTGATTCCTTTTGTCATATACTGCACTAAAATTCCTGCTTTTTTACAACTTAAGGAAGAGAAACTGCAAAGCAAATTGCTTATAGTCAGCATTCAGCTTCCTTCACTAAATATTACTTATTAATCAGGATACCAAAAGAACCCTGATAGACATATCAATAAAAAATGATTCTTTCATAAGCCAGAAAGAAAAAGAAAAATACCGGATGGTCTCACTCATAGCAGGAATCTAGAAAACTTAAATAAGGGACCAGGAAAATGAATAACTATAAGAAAGTAAAAATCAAAATCAACAAACAACTATGAACCAGAGACACTCTATGGGGGGTGGGGGGCGGGGAGGGGAGGGATTGGGGTCAAAATAAGGGGGTCGCAATTGTATGGGGAATATAAAAATAAAAAAAAATTTATATATAAAAAAATGATTCTTTCAATTTCCTAGATCAGAGGTATTTAGGAAATTGCTTTTTACCTCAAACCTATGATAAAGATACCCATTATTTTTTTTTACTGTATTTTATTCCTGTTAATATACAAAAAAAAAATTGTTGTCATGGTTTTTTGAATGAACATTTCTATAAAGGTACTGGCAGAACTGTTCTGTGTCAACTCTATCAAAACTATAATATGTCCAACATCCTACCCCACCACTAGGGTACTACTCTAACATCCACCAAAAAGACCAGGAAGTATGAACATTATTTTACTGTCCTTTCTAGATAATATAGATGAACAAAAGTTACTAGGAATCTATTGTAGAAGGAGCCCAGTGGCTTAGTAGGCTAGGCAGACCCAGGTTCAAGACGCGTCAGGGTCAGGCTAGGCACAGGCTTGAGGTAGGACTGGCAATAATCTAGAATGGGGACTCCCTGGTGGCGCAAGGGGTTAAGACTCAGCACTATGAAGCTATCTGCAGCTACTGAAGTAGGAGTTCAATCCCCCCAGGGAGCTAACCCACATGGTGCAGCAGACCTCTCCTATCTTGCCCACTGCTCCTCTCAGCAGTGTATTTCAGTAGATCCTCCTGTTCTTCTCCCCACTCTGGTGAATCTTCTCCCCCCTCTCCCCCACACCTCTGGCCTACACCCCATTTTTTGCATGCATGCATAAATCTTAAAAAAAAATCAGCTTCTTTTACTATACTATAATAATTTTAAGAACAAAGACCATCTACTGTGTATCTTCTAAAACAGTAACAAAAACATTTTTTTAGTTTTAAGTTCATTTTAACTTATTTAGAACTTTTAACACCAAGAATTTTTGCTGAATAACCATTTGCTCAGCATTTTAATTAGCATGGATTTAGTTGGGTTTGTTCAACTAATTGAAGCATAAGAATACCATATACATTAAGACATATAAGGGAAATAGAATTTGCTTTCTGCTTACTTGATGTGCAGTTAGGATAAACAGGAATTTGCATTTATAGATTGGGTTAATCCTACTATTTTACCTTCAGTTGTGACAAAGGAGATCCAGAATACATAGTAATGAGTAATATGACTGGCTTTTCTATGTCTTTTTTTTGTCTTGTCTTGTTTTTGAGGAGAATAAAAGTGATTTGAACAAATCAGGCCCTCTGTAGAGTGCTTCTGTCCAAATAAAATTGCTTTTTTTTTTAAGATTTATTTATGCACACAAGAGCTGGGATTTAGGCCAGAGGTGTGTGTGGAGGTGTTGGGTACGGGGGTCGGGGAATGAGAGGATTCACTAGAGAAGAGTGGGGAACAGAACAGGCAGATCTACTGAACTACACTGCTGAGGGGAGTAGTGGGCAAGATGCTGCAGTGTGATTAGCTCCCTGGCAAGGGACCAAACTTGTGCTGCAGGGGCTGCTGATAGCTTCACAGTGCAGACTTAACCCCTTGCACCACCAGGGAGACCCTAAAATTGGCTTCTATCATAATCATAACAAGTATTTGTAAGAAAATGAAAGTGATTTCTTTAATGTGGAAAGGCAATTTTCTCTTTTATTGAACACTGATTTATATTTCTGTCTTTGTTTTCTTAGAACTGAAGAACAGTAAGCACAATAGGTTGCCAGGAGCTACAGAATTAAATGTTTGTCACAGTAATCACCAAAATAAACCAACATTAAGGCTTCCAGATGATCAAATAAATAGTACTGTTCAAGCTGGAGGAGAATATGACTTATCTAATCGGGTAAGCTTTTTCAGTACAGTGATATGTAGAGGGTTGGTGTGATACTACTGAAAAAGTTTGTGACCAAGTCAGAAATCATGAGTCAGTTTGCTAAATAATAAATCTTCATTAGTTTGGCACTTTAAGAAGATGACTTGATATTTATTTTCCAGCTGTTAATTGGTAAGTGCAGGCAACAGTAACAAAAATTTTAACTCTTAGAGTAAGCTTTAAGTGTCTGTGTGTGTATGCTCTTGAATACAAGTATTAAATCACTAAAGGAAATATGAAAGCTAAACGATACCCACGTGGTATTTCCAAAGTTCAAGCTCAGGCCGATAAGTTTCTGAATGCCTCCAGGAATGAAATTTGTAAGACAAAATTACCTAGAAATTATATCCTTTAAAGATGTGGTGAAAATGTTTGAGGTAACGCTTACAGGTAGTAGCAGTTAAAATAAAGTTTTCTCTTTGTCTTGAAGGAAATAATTAGAAAAGGAGTATATAAAAAGTTGTCTTCAAAGAAACTTGAAAATTATGACAGAACAAATGAAAGAATACATAAGGAAGGTAATACATCTTTACTGGCTTTATAATGAGTAGAAAGCTACTATATGAAATATTTTTAATGGAATAAAAACATTCTTGTAAATTTCTAAATCTAAAATGGGAAACTTAATGGTTATAAATATTCAGGGTTTTTTTCTTAACATAGAATAATTGCATGACAAAATAATTATTACTTTAAAGACCAGATTTACTATAGGTTTGCCTCCTTTAACGTAGGTACTAAATAATTTTAAGTCACAAGATTATACATTATTTTATTTATTATTTTTTTTAAAGATTTTATTTATTTATACAAGAACTGGGGTACAGGCCAGAGACATGGGAGGGTGAGAGAATTCACCAGAGACAGAGTGGGGAGCAGAATAGGCAGACGACCAAAAATACTGCTGAGGGGAGCAGCGGGCGAGACAGGAGAGTTCTGCTGCGCCATGTGGGTATCTCCCTGGCTGGCAGGGAATCGAAGCAGCACTGCAGAGGCTGCGGACAGCCTCACAGCACTGCAATCAACCCGCTGCGCCTCCAGGGAAGCCCTATACATTATTTTAAATATAATTATAGGCATATTTGGAAACTACATCTTTTTATGAAGTTAATAGCAAATTTTAGTTATGTGTTGTGTGGATTTTCAAATTGTAACTAATTTGAGATCTTCATCTTTGATTTTGTCTTATGAAATTAAAGAGAGAATTGAAGATTTGAATGTACCCATTGATATTCTAACTTCAAGGGAAAAATTTTTCTCAGACAAAGGAAGAAAACACATGACTGTTAATCCAAGGGATGCTTATATTTCAGTAACACCACTTAAATCTAAAAAGGTGATTGAGCAAAAATGTATAAAGTATAATCTGTCCTCTAGCACCATTCAAGCAGTAACAGACTATGTCCTGCTAAGGCACCAGGAAAAAAAGGAATCAGATATAAACGAAACTGTAAGTCCGACCTATAAGCCCACAGAGTCTTTAGAAGATGCAACTGAGAATAGTATGGGACTTAAATATAAAAACAAAGAAAGTTGCAGTGAATGTCATATACTCACTGTTGGTCCTAAAAAGGAACAAATGATCACTTCTGACTTTAAAAAAAATCCAAAGTTGTTACCAAAATCGAAGAAAATCAAAAATCAAGTAACTATGTCATTTTACAAGCATGAATCTTCATCAGATTTGTCTAGTGAAGAGAGTGAAACAAAAAAGGAAATTAGAAGGAAAACTCAGGTTAAAAAAATCAGAACAAGAAATACCAAAGAAACAGTGATTCAGCTGAGAAAAAGCACAACAAACACAAGGAAAATACCAGTGATTTCTGAATCTGAAACTGAAGAGAGTGAAGATGAATTTCACATCAAACGAAAGAAAGCCAGATGTTCTGCCAAAGAAACTGAGCAGAAATCTGGTGTTAGGAATGAACTTCCAGCTATTGAGGCAATGGGATATGGTAAGATGAATAGACATTCCTTAAAATGTTTACCTGCTGTAATTCACACTGAGGACTGGAATGAGGAGGAGTTACAGAAACTTCATTGGTAAGTAGCTATCACTCTGAAATATCTGTAAACTCCAAAAGGGAGCTATGTAATGACTTCTTAGGATTGATATGGAAGATGTCATCCAAAAAAACATGGAGAAAAAAATCACAATATATACCAAGATGGAGAGAGAATACAGGCAGGTAACTTGCAACTACATATGAACATTTTGTTGTCACCTTTAGAACCTACTTATAAGGAAAGCAAAAGCAACCTTTTCGTTAATTTGTTGGTTATCCTACTTACTGTTTTGTTTGTTTATTTGATTCTCAGTTGCAGCCCACTGCTTTGTGCTACTCATCATCCTTGTCACCTACTAAGGCAGACAATTAGTAATAATCACTGTAAGAAGTTTACAAGAGTCTCAGAAATCCAGACTTACCTTAGGCAGATACTTGAAATAAGATCTCAAGTATTACGTAGGCCAAAATTCATGATAAGTACATTTTAATTGAACAGGTTATATAAAAATAGGAAGAGAGCATATTGAGAAATATTGAAAGAAAATATAACTGGAGTACAGAACAGTACAAGATGAGATAAGACAAGCAAGGAACAGTGTGGGTTTTTATGCTAAGAATGTTGAAGCAAGTTTTAAATAGGACTGGAATACTATGAAATTTGCCCTTTTAAAATTACCTGGGATAAACTAAAGGAGACTGTTAATTATAACCTAATTTCTTTTTAACTGCCTTAACTATTTCCATCATGACAAAATAGTTTTTATTTTTTTTAAAGATTTATTTATACATACAAGAACTGGGGTACAGGCCAAAGGTGTGTGTGGGGGGGGGTGAGAAGATTCACCAGAGACAGAGTGGGGAGCAGAACAGGCAGACTGACTGAAATACACTGCTGAGGGGAGCAGCGGGCGAGTCAGGAGACGTCTGCTGTGCCATGTAGATAGCTCCCTGGCTGGGGATCAAACTTGTGCTGCAGTGGCTGCGGCGAGCTTCATAGGTTGCATCTTAACACCTTATGCCACTAGAGAGGCCCCCAAATTGCATTAGTGCTCCAGTTTAGAATACCTATGGAGTATTAAATAAAAGAGTAGAACATTTATTACCAGTGCTCTAATGTTAATAAGTCTCCTCCTTTTATGCATGGAGTGAATGGTATTCTGTAGTTGACTTTTATCTTTTCATAAGAGCTAATTCTTAAATTTTCAGGATTTCAAATTATTTAAGTCATTAAAAATGAAATTTATAAACTTAACCATTAATAAGATTTTTTAAAAGCAAATACTTAAACATCACTTTCTAATTTTACCACATTTTACTATGTATTCCCATAAGATTATTAATATCTATTATATCTGTGATGGAATTTCTATGTAATCTTTTGATAATTACACATTTCTTAAAAATTCCATATTCAGTGATGTTATTAGCTTGAAATCAGCTATAACGTGTATATGTGCAATGTGGAAATTAGCAAACACTATAAATTAGGACTTTTAACCCTAGATTGCTGGTTGTTAAAAATTACTAGTGTTATACTACATATGTTACATTATTTGGTGAATTGAATAGATCTTTTCAGTCTAAACTATTAGCCTAGCCACAATATATAAAATCAGGCTTTTTTATTTGGGGGTGGGAAGTAGAGAATGGTGGAATAGCAATAGGTATGTCAGGTTCTAAATAATCATTTGTAAATCAACTTTTAGAATTTAACTCATTTACCAATGCATTGGGAATGACCTTATATTGACTTAGTTTTTTTTATTCCAACTTTTATATCCCTCAGTTAGGTATTATATGTAAAATACTGAATTCTATAAATTATAATGGAATGAAAGCAAATGTAACAATTTTTTTTTTGGCTTTTTTAAGGATTTTATATAATTCTTACATCATTTTTCATTGTTGCACAATGTATGCATTTTCATTTTGGTTATATTCCCCCTACATTTCCCACCCCCCTTATTCTGACCCTAATCCCTCTTCTCCTCCCCCCGCCCCCCACTGTAGTGTGTCTCTGGTCTATAGTTGCTTGTTGATTTTGATTTTTACTTTATTGCAATTAGTCTTTTTCCTGGACCCTTATTTAAGGTGTAACAATTTTTTTTAAAGATTTATTTATTTATTTGTTTATTTATTTTATATATACAAGCACTGGGTACAGTCAGAAGCACGGGAGGGTGAGAGAATTCACCAGAGCCAGAGCAGGGAGCAGAGCAGGCAGAAGGACCGAAGTACATTGCTGAGGGGAGCAGCGGGCGGCAGGAGAGGTCTGCCCGCCATGTGGGACCCTCCTCCAGTGGCCGGGGAGCAGCCAGGGATCGAACTGGCGCTGCAGAGGCTGCGGGCAGCTTCGCAACCCAGCGCTCAACCGCTGCGCCACCAGGGAGGCCCAAGGTGTAACAATTTTTAATAAGAGTATATGACCTGGTGTATATAGGAACTGAGAGCTTCTCTTTCAATATACTTGGCATTGATAAAATTTGAGAAGTGGTGTGGAAAAGTTACTTATATTAGAGTCCCCCAGAAGTTCAAATCATTGATTATAGTTTGACATGAAAAAATGCTGAAAGAATAGGGATGATCTTTTAGGTTTAATAAAATACTGAAAAATAGAAAGCATCTATTAGATATGTAAATGTACATCTTCATATTTTAAGCACTAGAGGAATTGAATGGAAGGGAGTAGTATCTTCTTTCCAGATAGTTGTCTTTCTGAATAGTTATCTAGAATGGCTTTGGTAAAATTCCTTTAGCTCAATAAATCTCATTCGTTTCATGCTATGCCTTTAGGATATATTTTTATTAATTTGAATTTCTTATTCTTTTATTGGTTTTGATCTTCCTTAGTGCTTTTACATCTCTTCCAAAGCACAAACCTGGGTTTTGGTCAGATGTAGCTATGGCTGTAGGTTCTCGATCTGCTGAAGAATGCCAGAAGAAATACACAGAAAATCCCCGAGGAAAAGGATCCCAGACACATGTCACTGAGAAAAAGCCAGTCAATCCCAAAAACCGAAATGGTAACCTTTGTAGTTTTTTTCCTAGTTATCAATATTAATTTCTAATCACGTACTACATATATTTTATAATTACCCATATGTCTTACATAGGTAAGTGTTTTCTTACAAAGTTAGAAAGAACTTCAAAGATCACCTGTTTAATTTTTAAGTCTTGCCTAGACAGTTACTTCCTTCAATATAAGTCTTAGCGGCTTTCAGTTTGTTCTAGGAAATCTGCAGTTGGAACCAGAGATTTCAAATTTTTTTTTTTTTTGAGAGTGAGACCCACTGTTTTTCAGTCTCTCTTTTTTTTTTTAAAGATTGATTTATTTATGCATACAAGAACTGGGGTACAGGCCAGAGGTGTGGGGGGTGAGAGGATTCACCTGAGACAGAGCAGGGAACAGAATAGGCAGAGAAACCAAAGTATACTGCTGAGGGGAGCAGCTTGTGAGTCAGGAGAGGTCTGCTGTGCCATGTGGGTAGCTCCCTGGCCAGGGATCAAACTTGCGCCACAGAGGCTGTGGACAGCTTACAGTGCTGTGCTCTAACTCCTTGCGCCACCAGGGAGGCCCAAGATTTCAATATTTGATTGATTGTTCTAAGGATCTAATTTAATTTGAGGCCACTTGGGTAGAGCCTCCTAGTAATTCATAAGAAAACTCAGACTAAATTTAGTTTTTGTAGTCCCTAGGAATACAAACTTTTGCCAAGGGTTTATGCCAAAGAAGTCCTGTACCAATATTCAGAAAGTATCCAGTATCCCTTTTATTTAATACTTTTATTTCTAATAGGTAATTATATTTTACTAAATCAATAAGTTAGACACTGAGTAACGGGGTTTGTGGAGGTTAACATTTCTCACAGGATAAAAGCCTTTCAACCTTACCCTATCTAATCTTAAGTAGTTTCTTCCTGAGTATCTTCCCCACTAATTATATTGCATAGATGCCATTGTAGAATCATTTGTTATTTAGATTTATAAATATCTAATTATCAATATACACTAAGTATTGATATTTATTAGTATCTATTGATATCTTAATATCAAAATTTTAGTATCTATTAATATCTTAGTATCAATATTTACTAAGATACTAGTAAATACTGTTTATTTAATAGTAATACACAATTTAGATTTTGCATGTACTATAAAATTCTTATGAAAATGTTTTACTGTCTTGCTGACTCTAGGCAAAATTGGTGATGCTGATAAGACACAAACAATTAAGATAACTGCCAGAGTGGGAACTCTTAAAAGGAAGCAGCAAATGAGGGATTTTCTGGAACAGTTGCCAAAAGATGACCATGATGATTTCTTCAGTACAAACCCTTTGCAGAATCAAAGAGTACTGGTAAGAGATTTAAATATTTGAAATCACTGGGGTTTGGGGAGTTTTGATTTTTATGTTGACTTTCATACTCCATTTTTACATAGGCCTTTGTTCATCCCTACTACTTAGACCCAAGGATTGATAGCTTCCATAGACATGACCAAAATATAGGACAGGAAGTGACCTGCTAGTACACGCCATTTTCATGGGATTACAGGGTGTACCCTTCATTGGGGTTCAAAGTTAACATTTGTAGAACCCAATAGAAAACTCAGAAATAGACCAAACATATACATTTAAAATTTAACATGCAATTAGGCAAACTTCAAAAGAAAAAAAAAGATTACAAAACATTATCTGTATCATAAATTGAATGGAGGGGTTAAATAATAGCACAAGATTAACAGACTTGAATGTATAAAATATTTTTTATAATATGAAAGGTAGTATAAAAGTTTCAGTGATTGGGATAAAATATTTGCAACATACAAAAATTTTTATGAAGTGAAATTTTTATATTTATGAAATGAAAAACTAATTCAAACATTATTGTACTAATAATGTCAAGATAATAGGGGAAAAATGGGCAAAAAAAAATTCATAAGCCTAATGAACACTTAGGGAAGTTACTTTAGTTACCAGTCAAAGGAAAGTAAATTATATACATATCTTCTAAATTACAGAATCATTTTTTAAAAAATTAGTTAAAATATCCACTAACCAAAAAAAATGATGTTGATACAGTCACACATCAGTGGATGCATAATTAAGTCATACCTTTTAGAAAGCAGTGTGGCATACTGAAAGGAAGCCAGAAATCTTTGCAAATATATATTTAATGAAGGTTTATATTTATAGCAAAAATAATCTGTAGACCCAACAAGAGTGTCCTTTATAGACGCAATGAAGTAGAGTACAGATTTGAGATTTTCCAGATTTAAATATAAATGTTCAGAATATTAAGGTTAAAGTAACAGGAAATGGATGGACATAAACAATTGGACTATTAATTGTAAAATTAGAAAGGATTTTTTGTGTATACTAAAGGTTTTTTTTCATCCATTTCTTAATATTAAAATGGCTATATGGTACACTACAGAATTAGTAATATAACCTGGGCCCCTTTTTTGTCTACATAGATTGTAAAAGGAGGTATTATAAGGGAGTCATCTGAGGGTCTTGCTGTATTTTCTGCACAACACCGTGGACTTTTAGGGGTTGTACCCTTTATATTATTTGACCATTATTTAATTCATTATGTTTTGGCCTAAATGCAATAACAACATTGCATTAAAAGATTATTAAGATAGATAATAAAGTAGAAATAGAAAGCAATGAATGAGTTAGTTCATTTTCTGAGGCATGTTCACTTTCTTTAAGTTTCTGATATAAAGGTAAGTAGAGTCTTAATGACTGAATTGTCTTTTGAAAGTATACACACACACATTTATAATAGAGTTCCTATTATGGGCCAAGCAAAAACAGTAAATGAACTGCAGTTTTGTTCTGTGCACAGAATCAGTAAACTCTTGCCTATGGGCCAAATCTAGCATTCTACCTCTTTTTGTAAACAAAATTTTATTAGGACACAGACATGCCCACTGTTTACATCTTGACTGTGGCTGCTTCCATGCTGAAACACCAAAGTTAAGTAGTTGAGACAGAGACTTTATGGACAGCAAAGCCTAAATATTGTATAGGAAATGTATACTGAATACCTCATCTACACACTTGAGGAATAGGTGTCACTGTCTCCATTTTACACAATGAAACTATGTTTTCTAGAGGCCAAGCTCTCCTCAACCTGTTAGCATTTTTAATTATCTTGGTTGAAAAATTATGAGGAAAATACCTTGTCAAACTACCAAAAATCATTTTGTGTTAAATTCCATTTTTAGTGCTGCCTGCTGTTAACAAATATTTGCTTTCTAGTTGCCAAGTTTCCGGGACAGTAAAGAAGAGGATGATATTCTGCCAAATATGGACAGAAATCCATCAACTCCATCATCAGTTATCTTTCCATTGGCAAAAACTCCTCAGTGTCAGCATGTCAGTCCTGGCATGCTAGCCTCTATAAATAGGTAACTATTTATACATATAATACTGTAATTCTCTGTATCATTGTTTAACATTTCATGAGTTAAAGAGAGTAGATGTCAGTAATGAGAACAGTCATCATCACTAAAAATAATCAAGAGTAGTTCCCAGAAGTCAAGGATGGACAGTTTCAGGAAGTAGTAGTGTTAATCATTAGCTCATACTTAGGTTCCAAATAGATCAAAGTTTTGCACATAAAAAATTAAACTATAAGAAAATACCTGAAGAAGTCTTGGAGAATTACTTTATAATCTTAGAGTAGTGAAGGTCTTTGTAACAATGAGGCAAGACCCAGAAGCCACCTACAAGAAGAATGATAAAGTCAACCCTATATAAAAATAAAGTTTTATATGATATCAACCACTATAAATAATCAAAAACAAACCTACAACCTGAAAAAAAGAATATGGAATTAACCAGAGGAAAAAGCTCATGTCCCTAATGCAGCATTCCTACAAATCAACAGTAGAAAAGCCATTCTCATACATTACTGGTAAGAAAGTAAATTAGTACAATCTTTGTAGGGACAGTTTGTCAGTAATTATCACAATTACAAATGAACTTGTGATCCTACTTCTAGAATTGTATGTACAACTTATTTATTGTAGTATTGTTTATAATAGCAAAAGATTGGAAACAATTCAAATGGCCATTGATAGGGGCTAAACAAATTCTGATACATTATAAAGTCATAGAAATTAATGAATAAATTATTTACTATCATGGTAAAATGTTCAATATAAAATAAAAAATGTTAGATGTTCTACTTAAAAAAATGAGTTTCATAGATTTCTTTACTATTTTTTTTTTAAAGATTAATTTATTTATGCATACAGAAACTGGGGCACAGGCCATATATGTGGGAGGGTGAGAGGATTCACCAGAGATGGAGCAGGGAACAGAACAGGCAGACTGACTGAAATACACTGCTGAGGGGAGCAGCAGGGGAGACAGGAGAGTCTGCTGCGCCATGTGGGAATCTCCCTGGCAGGCCAGGATCAAACCCGCGCTGCAGAGGCTGTGGACAGCTTCACAGCACTGCGCTCAACTGCCTGTGCCACCAGGGAGGCCCTCTTCACTATTTCTTGACTACACTAGTACTATTAATTGGCTTCCCTTTCATATAATTTTAAATAATGAAATCATTTTTGTTACTTCAGAAGTGATCTCTGTATACAGGAAAAGACTTAGGAGGTGCTGATCCTGAACAATTGGCTAAATTACTCATTTGCCAAGCAGCTGTGTATAGTTCATATTAGCATCTTAATATTGTCACATATTTACAAATTTCTACAACTTATGCCTTTAAGGTTCCCAAATAGTCATAAAGGAAATAATCATATAAGATTTTAGAGCCAAGAGAGGATTAGATTTGTTCATCTGGTTTTTATTGTCATAAGTGGAACTATGACTTACTGGGAAAGTTGATACCACTGTTCTGTTTGGCTTCAGTTTCAACTGTAAATTAAGCCAAGCCTATTTGCTAAGAATGAGAGGGGAAAGAGATAAGATATAAGAAAATTTAAAATTTCATAGTTGATATGGTAAGTTACAACAAAGGTAGTAACTGTAGAAATAACTGAAGACTCAAAACATTTGGAAGCTGTAAGCTGCCGATTCTCATCATCAGAGGTAGCTTAACGTAATCAACTTTAAGATTCAATCTAGATAAAATCAAGTGAACAGGAAAAGGGAGTAAAAGATGTAACAAAAAGGAATCCAAGGACAAAGTTTTAATGAGTTTTGAAAAAAAGGCAGCAAGATAGATTGTAGAGTATAAATGGGGTAATGCACAATAAACTATTATTTCCTATATTATTCCTAATCAAAAGTAAAGAACACTTTTAAAATGTTTAATTGAAGCACTGTGTGTATCTTCAGTGGTGTATTTTCCTTTTAAAAATGTACTTTTTTTTTTAAAGATTTATTTATACATACAAGAACCGGGGTACAGGCCAGATATGCGGAAGGGTGAGAGGATTCACCAGAGACAGAATGGGGAACAGAACAGGCAGACTAACTGAAATACACTGCTGAGGGAAGCAGCGGGCAAAACAGGAGGGTCTGCTGCACCATGTAGGTAGTTCCCTGGCCGGCCGGGATCGAACCTGCACTGCAGAGGCAGCGGACAGCTTCAGCACTGCGCTCAACCGCCTGTGCCACCAGGGAGGCCCTGGAAAAATGTACTTTTAAAAGATCCGATACAATTTAATTTTTGCCAATTGCTATTCAACCTGTGGATAAAGGTATGGTCATTAACGTTGACTTGAAATTATTTTGTATTCAAACAGGGATGATTGTGATAAATATGTTTTTCATATGCAAAAAAGACATAAAGGTGGTGTTGTCTGGGGCAATATCAAGAAAAAAATAGTAAGTATTTTTATTCTTCATTTATTCAATGCCAGTCTATTGCACAAAACATGGCAATTTGTGAATTACAACGTAATAGTCCCTGCCCTCAAGATGCTTACAGGGTGATACAAATAAATTATGAGGTCACAAGTGAAGTAAGTATGTAAGTGGTATCCCATTATAGATGGTAGCTCATCTTAACTACTTCTGAGCTTTTGTTCTTCTTAATGGGTTATAATTTGAGCTGTGTACCAAACTATAGTATCTATGATTTAGCCCTATTTTTTCATAGGCTAGTATGTTGTAGCCAATGTGCGAGAGTTTAAACAACAAAGGATTATGGTATGTTGTGGGGATCATGACATTATTGGTTTATCTCACTGAATGATTTTGAGGGCTAAATAATATAAAAATGTTGATTCATTTTACAGGGAAAAATACATATTCACATGATAATCTATAATTTTGAGTTTATATCTCAAATGTTTCAGCAATACTTACCTTTAGTATAGTGGGGATACTGATTCCTTTTCATTTTTAAGATTTTTTTTTTTTTTTCTGCGTATGCTTTTCTTTTCTTTTTTTTTTTTTTAATAGAGGCATGTTTATTTCTTTATTTATTTGTTTTGTTTGTTTGTTCTGTTTACACATGCACTGGGTACAGTCAGAAGCGCGGGAGGGTGAGAGAATCCACCAGAGCCAGAGCGGTGAGCAGAGCAGGCAGAAGGACCGAAGTACACTGCTGAGGGGAGCAGCGGGCGGCAGGAGAGGTCTGCGCACCATGTGGGACCCTCCTCCGGTGGCCGGGGAGCAGCCGGGGATCGAACTGGCGCCGCAGAGGCCGCGGGCAGCTTCGTAACCCAGCGCTCAACCGCTGCGCCACCGGGGAGGCCCCTCATTTTTAAGATTACAAGCCATGGCTAACAGCTTAAAAAAGTTTGATGTACATAAGCATACATTAATCACTCAAAAATTGCCATATAAATTATCATTTTAGCCAAGAATTTAAAATACAGAGAACTTAAATTTTGCTACTGTAAGGTAAAAGAATAAATACTTAATAGATTTTGGCAACTTCTAGAGGTCCATAAACTACCCTTTAAGCACTGTAGCATTCACTTGTAATGTTTTCTTATAGTAACGTTTGCCAGGAGTGAGAAACAACATTAAGTCATGGCTCTTGCCCTGGATAATTAGACATTTCACAGATAATTATAATTGATTAGATGATGGTACAGGCATGTGTTCAAGGTACTCTGGGGCATAAACCATGCTTAAGGTTTGTCTGGATTGGAGGTACTATTTAGCTGTTAATGTGAAATGTGAACTCTTTTGTAGGTTGAAAATGATTTTTCAACTCCAACGTCAAGGAAAAACCCATTTAACAAAGGTAATATGCTTTTGTTTTTCTTTCATAGCTGTTTTATTGTAGGGTCATCTCTTATTAAGATAGTGCTAAAACTAATGGCTCTCAAGTGAGCTGACATACCATTTGGTTTCCTACAGTTATTTCAATTTCACTGAAGTTACTTTTAGAAATGTATTTACCATTCTTACTAAATTCTCTTTACAGAATTAGGAGAAAGCTCTGGTATTGGAAAACTTTTTACTAATGCTATGGAATCTTTAGATGAAGAAGAGAACGATTATTACTTTTCAAACTCGGATTCTACATAGTAAAAATGAGAATATTTCCATGATTTTTCTCAAGAAGCAGTGCATTTATATTTTCATTTGAAGTATATTTCTTTGTAACACGGCTACAGATGAAATTGTGGACTCCTTTTCAAAGGATTTATGTATTTTTATTCAAAGTAAATTATCTTTCCATATAATATTCCTTATTGCTGCAGCTTACTAAAAATGTAAGGAAAGTTATTTTGTTTGTATAGATATTTGTAAATTTCTTTTTTACACTATTAAAATATACAGATAAGACGGTCTTTGTAAGTACCTAAGACTGCTTTTAAAAATCATGTTCCACATAGATTTTTAAGATGTTTTCAAGAAAATGTTACTATCCTTAAGGATGGAGGGGGAAAATAAAAATTAGATTGTACTTGTCAGGAGGCTGCTGAATTCATGAAGACTTTGTTAGCATTTGTCACCACTTGGTATACAAGCCAGTTGATCTAATGGTTAACTTTACATGTTGTTGAAACTGATGTGCTTTCTCCTGATTTTTTTTTCTTAAAGCTTGTGATCAGCATATCTCATAAGTAAATTTAATGTATTGCTTTTTCATTTTCTTAGGTAAAATGGAACTGATTTTGTTGCACTCTTAAGCCCTATTTACATATCTATAGAACTTAAATTTGGTTTCAACACTAGAAAGATTGCATTAGTAATAAACCTACCATTGTAAGACCTCAACTTGATATATCATGTCATAGTAGTCATAGTAAACATTTTCCTTCATAGTAAAAGAAATAAACTTATTTTAGTTTTTTTCTGCTATTATGTTTTAAATTTCGACATGGAATATTTTCCCATCCTCACAGTACTTATTTACTACCCTTTCTCTCCAGCTGGGTTGTCCAAATAAAGTTTGTTTGCCTTTAATATTTGTTTTGAGGTTTTGATTATTTTTTAATTATTGGATCATAAACAAATTTGCATACTAATTCGATTGGTTTCCTCAAGTTACAGAACTTTATAGTAAAAACTGCATTTTGTTTAAGAATTTAGTAATAATCAGCAGTTATATAACTATAGGAATTATAAAACATAAGATTTCAAAAGAATTATACAGTTATATTGAGGTCATTCTCTTAAACTACCGTGATTGTTTATTGTAGAACTTATATTGTCAATATTTAGTATGTAATACTATGCTAGTTATGTTAATGGATGTTTTAGGAGATAAAAAGTGTCATAGACTTGACATAAATCAAGCATGGCCTCACCCCCTTACCACATTCCCTGTGTCATATTGAAACCCCTTCAGAATCTTTCCTCATCTGTTCTATTATATCCCACTTTCCAAGTATGTGGTTGATTTCATTTCTTTCCATTAAGTCAAAAGATATGCTAGTAAGGTTTAAGATAACCTCCAGATGAAACTCAAAATTAGGAAAAAAAATACTTTAAGGGCTCAAAGGCAATAAGATGGCCTGATAATATTGTGTGACAGTTATAAGCTACATAAGAGAATATAGGAGGCGGCTATTACAGCTTACATATGGATAGAGACCTCTCCATGGAGCAAGCGCAAATGAAATCCTCAAGGTTATGTCCCTTACACTTTGTTAATTTATGAAATATGTCATCTGATGGGTAGACACTAAAATCCAATGTGTTGGTGCCTGCATGTAAAATACTACAAGGTGGTCACTGTCCCGGGTTGGTGTGTCGAGGTACTACATGCTTCCGATGTGCAGTTAGGACAGAACACTGCCAGGTGCCCCCACCCACACATGCCACTAACAACATGTAGTAGGAACAAAAAGCAGCAATACATAGCACAGTGAACCCAGAACGAGAAGCCACCTTTTCTCCTACTGACAAAGATTAAATCATATTCCCTATGTATGGGGAATAATGCTCAAAAAGTCCATTATGGCAGGGGCCTCCCCGGTGGCGCAGCGGTTGAGCGCTGGGTTGCGAGGCTGCCCGCTGCCTCTGCGGCGCCGGTTCGATTCCCGGCTGCTCCCCGGCCACCGGAGGAGGGTCCCACATGGCGTGCAGACCTCTCCTGCCGCCCGCTGCTCCCCTCAGCAGTGTACTTCGGTCCTTCTGCCTGCTCTGCTCCCCGCTCTGGCTCTGGTGAATTCTCTCACCCTCCCGCGCTTCTGACTGTACCCAGTGCATGTACAAACAAAACAAACGAACAAACAAATAAATAAATAAATAAAACATGCCTCTATAAAAGAAAAAAAAATTTAAAAAAATAAATAAATAAATAAATAAAGTCCATTATGGCAGAGGCAAGATTCAGAAGGATAAATTTAAACCTAGATAATAAACTGACAACAACACACCAGCCAAAAACTTAAAGAACTTTTCTCTCTGGTTTTGACAGAAATACTGAACAGCAAAAATACGAGCACAGATGCTTTCATAAGAATTAAAAATTTAATACTCTCCAAAGGAGCTAAGTTCACAATTAAAGTAACTGTTTAGTGAAGGAGTTCTCTACTTCTTGAAATAGTTCTGTATCCTGGGTTCTGATCCTAGATTTCCCAGTCTAAACTTGATTAAGTCACTTATTTCTGGGCCTTACTTTTGTCACCTTATAAGGAAAGAGAAAAGCAACTGGAATAAGATGATTTAAGTCCCAACCAAATCTAAGAGAAGCAAAGTTCTCTGCTGTCAGGTTAGTTTACTACCCAACAGAAAAAATAAGGCAACCAAACAATATAAAAGACTATAATTGGGAAAAAATGTCCACCATAAAAAAGACTGCTTTAGCACTAGACTGACTACAAGGGTCTAAGATGTCGCAGATAATATAGAGCCATATTTTGAAAAAAGAATCACAGACACAATGTAAAGGGTCACAGGTTCCACATGCAATAAAGAAATTTTCGAAGTCCCAACCAATATACCACTTCTTTGTATATGATATTTCAACAATAAAAAACTAATGTAGGTTGGAGTTCACACCTACGTTATTTGACTACTTAACTGGGACATATGTGCAGTTAAATTTTCTATCTTCCTATTTACTGGGTCATTTATTTCACAACACACCTACAATCCATATCTTACCCAACATGTATGTAGACTCAGGACATTTGAAAAATTCTACGTAATATAGTGTATATATAGGAAAAATTGTCTGTAATCATCTTCACAGCAGTCAAACATCAATCTATTATGTTAATAATTGAGAGTGACAGCACTTTAATCTTTGGAAAATTCCAAAATACATCTCTAACTCCAACCTTTACTTAGTAGCACCTTCAGAAAACCTTACTTTATTCAATGAAAGTTTCATATCTAAAAGTGATTACTGAACTTCAGATTTTTAAATAACTTATATAAATAAAAATGCATCACACAAAATAATAGGTATGAAGACATAGTTTACATATTTTAAACTCATCATCACAAACCATAGCAGTGATTATTGAAGGGCACTCAGTATTATGAGTTGGAAAGCTGCTCCTTGAACAGTCTGATCATGCATCGAGTTTCAGTCTATCTTGGTTCAAACTATTTGGTAACATTTGCATGTCAAATACATAGTGAATATATCGATAGATTTCCTCGGCCTTTTGATGAGTTACGTGTGCATAGATGGAGATTTCTTGAGGTGAGCTGAAAAAAAAGAAAAACATCACACTAGAACTTAATAATTTTGTTTAAAAAACACCAAGCAGGGGCATCCCTGGTGGCCTAGGGGTTAAGTCTCAGCACTATCACCATGAAGGCCTAACTTTGATCCTCAGCCAGGGAGCTAACCAGCATGGTATAGGAGACCTCTCCTGTCTCACCCGCTGTTCCCCTTAGTAGTCTATTTCAGGAAATCCGACTGTTCTCCCTACTCTCTCTCTGGCAAATTATCTCACCCCCATGGCCTGTGCACATACCCCAATTCTTCTATGCATAATAAATACATAAAACCTTAACAAAAAAACCAAACACAAAAGCTTTAAGAAAATCATCTCTCCCTGAGCATTCCACATCCAATTAACATATCTTTAGTATTAGTTTAAATAAAAAGCATATTCCCTATACTTAAAATCATATATAACAATAATTTCAACATCTTACATGGGCCTTTAATTAAAATTAACCTATTTTCTAAAGCATTCCTTTTCAAATAATATTGTACAACCATAAACTAGAAATATTTTTCAACTTGAACATTTTAGTTAAGAACTAAACAGCCCAGAAATACTAGGATGCAAGTGCTATCTGTCCAGCTCCTGATAAGGCTCTAAGCTCCTCAAAAGCAAAGCCTGTTTTTTTCCCATTAATGTTTTCAGCTTCAAACAGTGACTACTATATGTTGGCAAGCAAACATGAAATAATCAAACATGAACCGTCTATTTTTAAAAAATGCTTATGAAATGTTTCTAAGACTCTTTAAAATAACCATTTAAAAACATCAAAACAGACATACCTGTTAGTCATCTTTTTCACAGAAGAAAACTGGTAACACATATTTAATGCCGTTACATAACTTATATTGGGAATACTTAGGTAAAATTGAAGAGCCTCACATTTATTACTGTTCACCACTGTTGGAACACGAATACCCATATTCTTTCTTCGTTCCACTAAACACAGCTCCTTTAGCAAATTTGCAGTTTCTTCTTGGCAGGAACTGAAAAGAATTCGGATTCCAGCACCAATTAAGGTAGTCAGCAGGCTATCGTAAGTCTTTGTTCTCCTAAACATCCTGGATGAGATTCCTAAATATTTTATATTTAAGAAAATGAAAACCATAGTAACTTACATTAAGTAGAAATATTAATAGCATATATTAAAATCCCAAGATCTATACCATTAGGCAAACTATTGTGTCATATTATACTAAGAAAAACATTACAGCTACAGATTGAAATTGATTCTCAAAATATATGAGAGATAAAATTTGGAGAATTGTCTTGGTGAGAGTCTTGAATTGTAACAGATAGCAAAGATAAGTAGGCAGGAGAGAGCTTATATTTGTAAATAATACTTTCCTGAAGGCCAAGACCTTACCTATTAATAATGTCTAAAATTCTTTAAAAAAAAAAAAAAAAAGAGTTACTTATTTATGCATACAAGAGCTGGGGTGAAGGCCAGAGATGTAGGATGGTGGGGGCAGGGGAATGAGAGGACTCACCAGAGACAGAGTAGGGAGCAGAACAGGCAGATCTACTGAAATACACTGCTGAGGGGAGCAGCGGGCAAGACAGGAGAGGTCTGCTGCAACATGTGGGTCACCTTTCTGGCCAGAGTTCGAACTGGTGCTGCAGTAGCTTCATAGTGCTGAGACTTAACCCCTTGCACCACCAGGGAGGCCCCTAATGTCTAAAATTTTTAATGCACACACAGATGCAGGATTCATTAAGTATCAGTTTAGCTGATATAAAATTACATGTATTTATCCAAAGAATAACTCAATACCCTGCACACGCTTTGTAATATCCTCTTTAACTCATGCCTATTAACTTACTTCCCTACACTTGCCATTCATTTTTTTCCCCTATATTCTACCTATATTCTATTTTGGCACTCTTCACTATGCCAAAAATAAGAATAAAAAATAAAGAACTTTTCCAGAACTTACTATGTTCCTTTCCTCTTTATTCCAAATCTATTTCCTTTATAAAGGATACGTTGGTAAAGAGAAAATTACAAATTTTTTTTCACTGGGAGGCCCCAACACCTAAAGCCCTTATATCAGATTTAAAAAGAAAAAGCTGAAAAAATGATTTATCTATCCCCCACTGACAGCATGAGATAAAAAGATGTGTTGTTCAATTCCCAAACCAATGTTTCACATATACTATATTGTTTCCTTTTACATAATAACTACAAGTTTTGAATTCTTCCATTGTAGCTTTACCTGTATGATTTCACTCTCTCCTCATAACAAATATATAATTAATTCCTCAGGGGAAGGGCTTTGTCAATGGAACATAACAATGCATCATGCCAGATCTCAATGTGACTTCTGATTCTATATTTTTTAATTATTCTCAGGGACTCCTCATACACATTAACCATAAAACCTCCCCAGAAGAAGCTCCAATATTGTACTTCCGAATGCATTTAGGCATCCACTTCAGTGACCATCGAGAACATATTCAAAATTGAAAACCTTGTCCCTCAAAATCTGCTGCTTCTCTTATATACATAATTTCTTTTTTTTAAAGATTTATTTATTAATGCATACAAGAACTGGGGTACAGACCAGGAGTGCAGGGGATAAGAGGATTCACCAAAGACATATTGGGGAACAGAATAGGCAGAATGGCTGAAATACACTGCTGAGGGGAGCAGCTGCCGAGCAGGAGAGGTTCCCTGTGCCATGTGGGCAGTAGAGGTCTGCTGAGCCATGTGGGTTGCTCCCTGGCTGGCCGGGGATCGAACTTGTGCAGCAGAGGCTATGGATAGCTTCACAGTGCTGGGCTTAACCCCTTGCACCACCAGGGAGGCCCTATACATAATTTCAATAGCACTACCACCTAACTGCCCAATGACCAAGAAATTGGTAAAATCAAGAGTGATTTTTGATGCCTTCTCTCAACAGCTTATGCTAACCCTCCTCAACTTCTTGAATCCTGCTCCTTTTCCCCACTGCTGTCTTATTTAAGGCACTTCTCCTTTCTGGGCTCCTGAAAAAGACTAACGATTGGTTCACAAACCTTCAATCTCTCTCCTTTTAATCCTCATAAACTGCATTTACAAAGACTAATGAACAACATGACATTATGTAAATACGAAATGGCATTCATGAATCAGGTAATTTCATTTTAAGAGCTTCTCAAATCCTCACAGGAGGATGAACTAAATAGTCAAGTTCTTTTATAACAGCCTTAAAAACAAAAATATTTTAAAATACAAACCTGTTTTTTCTCTGTCCTTTTCCACAATCACACATATTCTTTCAAACATACTTTGTAGGTGCTGGATCTGATCAATGAACTTGTTCTTATTGGCACCATTTAACATCTTGGAATGAGACCTCCTTTCTACCACCATGCGATTACTCACAATGTAATCACAACCATTAAGAGGACAAACCTCTACCTGTAGGCCATGAATTGCTCTTAGGGAAGAAATTACTTCTGAACCAGAAGTGATTTCACGAGAATCTACAAGAATACAAGTTCTTTGGTCTTCCTGTGGAAGACTAAGAGAAGCATGTGCGCTGGCCAAATGTGGTCTTGAGTTGGAACAAGAGGCCACTGAAGTGCTAGACTCCTCAGGAACACTACCAACCTGAAGAAATGGAAAATAGCAATCACGATCAGGTTAAAACTATATTAGCATCATACACTTCTAACATCTGAAAGGGATTTTTTTCTCTCCTGATACATTTTTTTTTCATTTTTAAATAATCTTACTTCAACATGAACATGACTATGTAGACAAAGGACTAAGACCACTTCATACATAGTAGTATAGCTTCAATTAAAAAAAAATAGAGAAAGAAATGTTGGTGAGGATATAAAAACAAAACTGGGACACCCATTGTTGTGGAATGTACGATGGTGTGGCCACTAGAAAACAGTGGTGATTCCTCAAAAAGTTAACTACAGAATTACCATATGACCAAGATTTCTAGTGCTAAGTATATGCCCAAATGAAAGTGATTGAGGTATTTGTATGACACTAAAACATAAAATTATAGAGAAAATAATTAGAACTGAATTTAAAAATAACCTTTTTCTGTATCAAAAATTACAATAAATAAAATTAAAAGGCAAAGGACAGACAAGGAATACCATTAGCAATAGACAAGCCAAGTAGACATTAACATTTTTAATACCTGAGGGTTTTTGACAGGATAGTTATTTTCTGTCTTCTCAAATTAACTCAAATTTTTTCCTCTCCTAATTTTAAGTGAGAAAAATCATACTGTATGGAATTGTAGGATTAGCTAACAGACCTTTAAATACACTTCTCTTAAAATCTATTTACCTTTTTCACAGTCCTCAAGGTATTACATACATGACCTATTTTTCAGTGAGAGCATGTCAAAGTGGAAATGTAAATAGTGCTTACTGGTTTTCAAAGTACTGTACATACATCACCTACCTTGACCTTTGGAATTACTATCTTTATAGTACGAATGAGTACAAAGGCTCTAAGAAATTAAGTACTTTTCTGTCCTCCAATCTATTATAAAAGTTAATTTAACCAATTTTATGTTACTTGTGTCTTGAGAAATAACTGAGCCAAAAATGATTAGGGACAATTTAAATCTGAAAACACAAATTTGAGAACCATTGTGTGAAAATTAGAGGTTGTTACTGAGGCAGAAAGGACTGAAACAACTGGAATAAAAGAAAAATAGAAATATAGGTCTTGGGGGCCTCCCTGGCGGCATAAGGGGTTAAGTATCAGCACTATGAAGCTAACGGCAGCAACTGCAGAACCAGTTCAATCCCCAACCAGAGAGCTGAACCACATTGCGCAGCAGACCTCTCCTGTCTCACCCCCTGCTCCCCTCAGCAGTGTATGTCTGTCAATATGCCTGTTCTGCTTCCCACTCTGTCTCTGGTGAAGCCTCTCACCCCCCGTACCTCTGGCCTACACCCCAAATCTCATATGCATAAATAAATAAATCTTGGGAAAAAAAGAATATAGGTCTAGATCTTACTCCAAGATAACAAAGAAATGAGCCAACATTACTACAACTTTAATTAAACCCTATTTTTAGCAAATTTACTGTAACTATAAGCTCTTAACAACTGAAAATGGCTTTAGGGATTATTTCAGCTATAGCGAGGTAGGAAGAAGCTGAAAACTGAACTTCTTAGCCATTCTGGAAGGAAAGAAATTAAAAGGAAATATATGAGGTGGTGGCCCTATACTCCTGTCCCCCAAAAAAGAGATTATGTATCTGAAGTCTTTAGCAGGGAAAAGAAAAGTCAATCTAGGAACTAGGTCTGGGTATGTCATTTCTGTCATTTTACCTTGCAAAAGTACATTTTCCTACATTCTTTTTATAAGAAAGGAATGCAAACTAAAAAAAAAAAAAGCTTTTAGTAAAGATATGAAGATTTTTCACAATAATTTAATCCATACCTTCAAGTGAACTGGATATTTTCTATAATCTTTCTGTAAATCAACAGTAGTGAGTGATGGTAAAGTAGTTTTGATTTTATTACAGCTCTCAGCTTTGAAATCCAAGACATCAGAAATTGTATCCTTTAAATTAAGTGGTATATGTTGTTTCTGCTTTGGCAGTTGATTGGTATTTGGATCAGAATGGTCCCTGGATTGCAAAGCAGACTCAGAAGGCACTAAATTCAAACAATGATTTTGCTGTTTGCACTTATCATCAGTGCTAGGATTAACCACAATACTGTATTCCTGTTTATCATTTACATCATTTTCTTCCTCACTTGAATCATCTGCTAAAATAATCCTGGATAATTTCTTTTTAGAAGGAACATAATTTTGTCTCATCTTCATTTGTTTTATCTTTACTGCACGTCGCGTTTCATATTTTTTACGCCCATTTACAGAGCAATCTTCAGTTATTATGTTAAAATCAACACAGACTTCTTCTTCACTTGATTGGCTTTTGCAAGACTCTTCTTCATCAACACAAAAACTGTCTTCTAAATAGGTTTCATCTTGCTCAGGAATCTATTAAAAATAGAAATATTATAATTTTTTCAGAAAATCAGCATGTAATTTTTCTTTTAAGTGCATGAGATTTTTGTGAACACTTATTTGACACACCTTATTAATCCAGGCACCTATTCACAAAAAATATACATTTATGGAAGATAATGGGAACTCGAGGGATTAAAAAGGAAAGATTTACCCTCTAGAAATTTACATTCTAGTGTAGAGAGCCATAAAAATAAATAGTAATAATGTGATAAACAATGTGATTTATTTACAAACAATGTGTTAAGTGCTATTTGATAAACACAGTGGAAATGCAGAAATATGAGTGATCATGTTAGCAAACTGAACATGGCAATTTATAAGCAAGTAAGAACAACATGAAAATGTTATCTATAAAAGAAAAATTACCTGTATTTTAGGATATAACATTTTATTGAAAAAACCACTTTCTTTTTTTTTTTTTAAATATTCTTTTTTTTTTTTAAGATTTATCTATTTGTTTGTTTGTTTGTTTGTTTACACAAACACTGGGTACAGTCAGGAGCGCAGGAGGGTGAGAGAATTCACCAGAGCCAGAGCGGGGAGCAGAGCAGGCAGAAGGACCGAAGTACACTGCTGAGGGGAGCAGCGGGCGGCAGGAGAGGTCTGCGCGCCATGTGGGACCCTCCTCTGGGGGCCAGGGAGCAGCCGGGGATCTAACCGGCGCTGCAGAGGCTGCGGCCAGCTTCGCAACCCAGCGCTCAACCGCTGCGCCACTGGGGAGGCCCAAAAACCACTTTCTTATTAAAAAAATATAAGAAGTAAAAATTTAGTGGATGATGTTCTATTTACTTCCTTTAAACATTCTCCTAACTGTAAAATAATTCAGTAGTGTATTCTAATTAAGTCAAATTTTTAAATGAATAATTTGATCAAATTAGGACTGGGAGGGATTTTTAGAATTTATTTAGTCTACCTTCCTGACTGAGCAGAAATTATCCCAAATAGCTCTAATAGAAAAATTTTAGAAATAAAATGAAGATTTCATTAATAAGAACACAGTAAAACATCATGATCAGGAAATTATCCACGACATTTCTTTAGTTCATACCTGTGAGAAAATGTTTATGTTGTTATGATTCTTACGTATAATTTGACATTTATTCCTCATCAGTGGACTATGTAAGGATTTCAGGTAAACAGCTCTCATTTCAGAATCTGCGTAAAGATAATAAGTATTTCAAGTAGCAAAATTATTTAAATGAAAACGAGCATTTAACTCTAACCTATTCCAAATTCACGTAATTCAAACCTTGTGGAATTAATACACAGAAGAAATTTAATATATGTTGAAACATCTAAAAATTATTCAAAACACAAAGCTAGGACATTGCATTTGAAATGAACTATATATAGTTGTGTTGTTATTGACAATTTATTTAGGTCTCTGACTTAGCTATCTCCCTCCTCTGAAAGTGAGGATTAGGATAGTGCCTTTTTTCTTTTTAAAGATTTATTTTATTTATTTATACATACAAGAGCTGGGGTGCAGGCCAGAGATTGGGGAGAGAGGGTTGGTGAGTATGATACAGTTAACAAGTTTGTCTTTCCCCCATTTCTTGCAATTCCCCTTATCTAGCATTAACAGGATTGATGACTTGTCTTTCCCATTTGTTGCAGCTTCCCCTCCCCTTGGGAAGAAAAAAAAAAGCTGGCGCCCACCGGTTTCCCTGTAGACCCTTCCCCCTTGCCCTAAGGAAAACAAGTTGGCGATCACCCGTCTCTGTGCCTTGACACCTTCCCCTTCCCTTAAGATGAATGAGCTGACACCCATCCATCTCCCTGTTGAGCTGGCGCCCACTTGTCTCTGTGCAGACCCCTTCCCCCTCCCCTTTGCGGACCCCTACCCATCTCCCCCTGTATAAATACCCCTGCCCACTGCCAAAGAGGAGGACGGTGGTTTTTCGGACATGAGTCTGCCGCCCTCCTCATTTGTCGACAAATAAAACCGCTTTCCTTTTCCTCAAACTTAGTTTCCTTTTATTGGCTGAGGGAAACTGAGGCCGGCGTTCGGTAACAAGTAGATTCACCAGAGAAAGAGTGGGGAGCAGAAGAGTCAGATTTACTGAAACACACTGCTGAGGGGAGCAGCGGGCAAGACAGGAGAGGTCTGCTGCACCATGTGGGTTAGCTCCCTGGCTGAGGATGAACTAGTGCTGCAGTGGAGTGGCAGCGGATAGCAACTTAACTCTTTGCGCTACCAGGGAGGCCCTAGAATAGCGCCTTTTCATGAAAAATAAATGCATGAAGACCTTTGGACTGTACCTGGTTTGTAAAAAGTATTCAATAAAACATAAGAAATCCAGGCAAAAAGAAAACAAGCTTAAAAAATACTAAAGGCAGTAGTCAACAGTACTTATGCTCCCTAATTTTCAGGGAAGTAGAAACTGGGAAACACACAGGTTTTTATTTATGCCTCTATTATTTTGAAAAGTTATAATACAGAAAAGAGAACAAAAGAAAGACATAAAGAAAGATTATATGGACTTGAGAAAGATTAAAAAAAAATCTTTGAAATTCTACATATTTCAAACATACAGTATCTAAAATGCAATTTCAGATATCCCTTCTCTCCATCTTAACTGCTCCACCTGCAGGCTCCCAATGTGAGATAAAACCAACTAAGTCCAGGGCCTACCCTGGTGGCGCAGTGGTTGAGCGCTAGGCTGTGAGGCTGCCCGCAGCCTCTGCAGTGCAGGTTCAATCCCCGGCAGCTGGGTGAGAGTCTCGCATGGCGCACAGACCTCTCCTGCCGCCTGCTGCTTTGGTCCTTCTGCCTGTTCTGCTCCCCGCTCTGGCTCTGGTGAATTCTCTCACCCTCCCACGCTTCTGGCTGTGCCCAGTGCTTGTATAAATAAATAAATAAAATTAAAAAAAAAAAAAAAAAGCAACTAAGTCCAGTAGGCCCAAGCCCAGATTCTTCTTTTCCTCTTTGAAACTTCAGAAAATTCTGTCCACTACAATATGTAGATTCCAATCATTCTCACCTTCTCATTATTACCACCTTGTTAAAAGTATCATTCCTTGATTTGATTACTACAGTAGCCTCTTAAGTGGTCTCTTCTACCTTTGATGACCTTTAGGCCTTTCTCAAAAAAGTTAAGAGAGTAAGCCAAATCATGAGCTGGCTGCTCACTTCTTACAATTCCCCTTCTCCCTTATTTAATTTCAGTCACAGTTCAATTCTTTGAACACTCCCAGGCATGCTCCTGCCTCAGGGCCTTTATATAGGTTGTCATCTTTATATCAACATTCTCCCACCAGATTATTCTATGAACAGGCAAAACTGCTTCTGTTAATGAACATCAAGAGCATAACACAGGGCCTCCCTGGTGGCGCAAGGGGTTAAGACACACCCTGCGAAGCTGTCCGCAGCTACTGCAGCGTGAGTTCAATCCCCAGCATGCCAGGGAGCAGTCCACATGGCGCAGCAGACCTCTCCTGACTCGCCCACTGCTCCCCTCAGCAGTATACTTCAGTTGATCTACTTATTCTGTTCCCCGCTCTGTCTCTGGTGAATCCTCTCACCCCCCAACATCTCTGGCCTGTACCCCCGCTCTTGTATGCATAAATATATAAATCTTTTAAAAAAAAGCATAACACTAAGAAAACTTATTCTGCAAATCATATCAGTATCAATAACATAGTACTAAGAACTTTGGTTTCATAAAGTCATGGACCTTAGGAAACTGCATTTTAAATCAAGTCAGGTACTACAGGAACAGAAGAAATAGCAAGCTCTGTGAAAGATCAAAATATTGAACCCACCAGAATCATTCCTTTTTCTATTACAGCCATTCTGAGCCATCTGCTCTTAATGTACTATAGATCTATTCAAGCATTGCTTGGAATGACAATTTTCCAAAAGTAGGTTGCACATAGTTGGCAAACTTAATAATCTGGCTTTGAGTTTCAGCTGGTTGTAATAATTTGCCTAGCTAAACTCCTGTCTCCTCTTAGTCTTGGTCACCTTCTCAAGGAGACTTACCCCTAATTGCCTTATTTAAGATTGCAACTTGTCTTTTATTAATCCTCCAAACCTACCACTCCAAATATTCACCTTATTCAATTTTTTTTATTTTTCTGTAATTTTAATTTTTTTGTGTAGAACTGGGGTGTAGGCCAGAGGCACGGGGGTGAGAAGATTCACCAGAGACAGAGTGGGGAGCAGAACAGGAGATTTACTGAAATACACTGATAAGGGAACCAGTGGGTGAGACAGGAGAGGTCTGCTGTACCTTATGTGGGTTAGCTCCCTGGCCAGGGATCAAACCTAGGCCTTGGCAATGATAGCGCTGAGACTTATTCTCTAGGACACCAAGGAGACCCCTCTGTAACTTTTTCATCTTAAAATATATTCAATAATTTGGTTATTAGTGTATTGCCTCTTTCCATTCAGATGGAAGTGTCTTAAGGACTGGGACTTTTGTCAGTTTCATTCACTGAATTTCAAGATGTATTCATTTATTTTTTTTTTTTTAAAGATTTATCTTTTTTTTTTTTTTTGAAAGGAAATTTGTACTCCTTTATTTATTACAGCATTATTTACTATAGCTAGACTATGGAAACAAACTAAAAGGTCCAGAACAGATAAGTGGCTCAAGATGATACATTCTTGTCCATGTTTTCTGGAGTACATGTGCAAGAGTCTCCCAGAATCGCAAAACTTCAGGAGCAGGAAGCACACATATTCCAATTGACTAGGTAATGACAGATTATTTTCCTACCAAGATGGTTGCACCATTTTATACTTCTGCCTACTGTATGTAGGAGTTCTGATTGCTCTGCATTCTCTTCAATTTTGCATCTAGTGAGAGCAAAATAGTCGCTATTTTAATTTCCATTCTCCCTTTTGATGAGGTTGAATATATTTGCATATGTTTATTGATCCTGCATCTTTCTTCTTCCATGAAATAACCAATGTATATAAGATTGTTAATTATTCAGATTATGTGAATATCCAACATATTAATTCTTTGTCAATTGTAGTATGCATCACGTGCTTCCTACTAGTTGTGAGTTACATTTTAATTGCTTTATAAAATTGGGCTAATATTTTCACCATTTGTTTTTTTTTTTTTTCAAAATTATTTCGTTTATTTCTAGACATTGCCAAATTGTCTTTTTAACCTTTCAAAATCAGTAGATATCATAGTATACAGACATTTTGCTTTTCAAATAAACCTATAATGAGTTCTCTAATTTTTATAACTATAAATTTTGTTATTTTTCATTGATATTTAGGAATTTTGTTATGAATATTCATTATTTTTTTTAAAATAATAAATTTTATTTTTATATTCCCCATACAGTTACAACCCCCCCATTCTGATCCCAATCCCTCCCCTCCCGCAAGATTTATCTATTTATGCATACAAGAGCTGGGGTACAGGACAGAGATGCAGGGGGACAAGAGGATTCACCAGAGACAGAGTGGGGAACAGACAGGCAGACTGACTAAAATACACTGATGAGGGGAGCGTGGGCAAGACAGGAGAGGCCCATGGCGCCATGTGGGTTGCTCCCTGGTAGGCTGAGGATCAAACTCGTGCTGTAGAGGCTGTGGACTGCCTCACAGTGCGTTGCTCAACCCCTTATGCCACCATGGAGGCCCTAGATGTGTTCACTTTCTAAAGAACCTAACATAGTAATAGGCATATAAGCACTAAATATTTGTTAATAAATAAACGTTTGACACTGAATCAATCAGGACATTCGGGAAAGAAATAGTCAAAGACAACGACTTTAAACAACCAAGCCTAATTTAAAGCACATATGACAGAATTTAAATGAAGATGAATAGTTACACATACCATATTTAATTCCTTTTGAAGTCAAGGCTCTTTGAAAACTGACTTAATCATTAAAAGCATTGAAGTAAAAAGAAGCATCATTACATCATTTACCATTTACAGCCTGTGAAAGTTGAGTCTCATCATTTAAGAAGTCAAGTAATGAGGAATCTTTTTCATTTTCCGACTCATTTTCATCAGATGAAACACATTCTGCATCTTCTTGGGAAAGTTCTGCTTCATCGTCTAAAAATTTCCTAGCCACAAGCTAAGACAAATTAGAAAACATAAAGATACCCTTAGGAAAATCATTTTACTTCCTTTAAGTAATTGGAAATAGTTCTGGAAAATGAAGCTCTCGCCAATGCTATTAAGACCAAGACTAATAAAAACAGAAAACTGATAAAGTAGCATAAGTATTTAAAATTTCTTGTGTTAATACTTGTGTTATAATAAAGTGTAAGCAAAATAAAATACAAATCTGCAAGTCAGCTTGCTAAATATTTCTTAATAAGAATGAAGTCTTTTGAGTCTTGTGGCTAATTTTTCCAGGAAAAATACTGTACTACATAGAGACTGATTAAAAATAAATAATGTGCTGGGCCTCCCCGGTGGCACAGTGGTTGAGTGCTGGGCTGCAAAGCTGCCTGCAGCCTCTGCAGAGCCAGTTCAAAAACCGGACTCCAGGTGAGGGTCCCACATGCCATGCAGACCTCTCCTGCTGCACCCACTGCTCCCCTCAGCAGTGTACTTCGTCAGTCTGCCTGTTCTGCTCCCCACTCTGACTGATGAATTCCCTCACCCTCCCACACTTCTGACCATACCCAGTGCTTGTATAAATGTATAAATAAATAAACAAATAAATAAGTCTTTTAAAAATAAATAAATAATGTGCTATAAATTATTTTCCAAAGATTTAAATATGAGTTATGAAAATATGTGATTATAAAAGCAAGTATAATAAAACTCAGCTTTTTTTTGTTTTCTTCATTTTGAATCCTTTAGTCATTCAAAATAGCACATTAGATAGTTCCAAAACATAAAGAGGAAAAAAATTACACATCTTAAGATCTTAATTCCAGAAAATAAAGTAAAACTGGGGTGAAATAATTTTTAATTTGGGGGGTAACGTTTTTCTACAAAGAAATTTAGAGGGGTCTACTGCACACAATCTAATATTCTTTACGAATAGAAAAATATGTAGTTTATATATGAAAATAAACTAAAAAGAGCTTACTTTTAGGTGACGCTGTCTCTTTTGGACTTTGAAGACTCTTTTGGCATTCCTGACACAGTCCTTGAAGTCTTCTAATTGTGGATGTTGTTCATGACAATTCTCACTTTCATCACTGGATGATAAGTCTAACTATAACAATTCAATAAGATTCTTGCCTTAAAAGATGTATTTGGATTGTTGTATCTTAACATATTTCTCAAGGGCACTGCTTTTATTTCATTTTAAATACATGGTCTACATTTTCTTATTAGAAAAATAAAATGTTCTCACAACTCAGTTATATTACAAATACATAAAACTTGAGCCTATAAAATTAGGTAAGACTGGCCTCCGTGGTGGTGCAGTGGTTAAAGTCTTAGTGCTATCAAGCTATCACCAGCCACTATGGCATGAGTTCACTCCTTGGCCAGGGAGCTAACCCACATGGCACAGTAGACCTCTCCTGTCTCACCCGCTGCTCCCTTCAGCAGTGCATTTCAGTGGATCCACCTGTTCTGCTACCCACTCTGTTTCTGGTGAATCCTCTCACCCTTCCTCTCCCCTGCACTTCTGGACTACACCCCAGTTCTTGTATATACAAAAAAACAAAAAGACAAAAACATAACCTTCCAGCTCTAGATAAAAGAATACCTGTGGACTTAGAAGCCTACATACCTTGAATAAAATTCTGATGCTGACCCAAATCAAATATGCATGTTAAGATTATATGTGCAGGGCCTCCCCTGGTGGCGTAGCGGTTGAGCGCTGGGCTGCAAAGCTGCCCTCAGCCTCTGCAGCGCCGGTTCAATCCCCGGCTGCCGGCGAGGGTCCTACATGGCGTAACAGATCTCTCCTGCCATGCCCGCTGCTCCCCTCAGCAGTGTATTTTGTCAGTCTGCCTGTTCTGTTCCTTGCTCTGGCTCTGGTGAATTCTCTCACCCTCCTGTGCTTCTGACTATACCCAGTGCTTATATAAATAAATAAATAAATCTTAAAAAAAAAAAAAAAAAAAAAGATTATATGTGCATCCAGTCTTGGAAATTTTGATTCTACTACTGGTTGCTATAAATTTCTACAGCATGAATAATTTTAAATCATATTGATGATAAGCATTATTAATATTTTAGTTCACTTCTGATAAATTAAACATATATTAAAGTAGATAGTAAACTTTTTGAATGAAGCTTGAATATACAAAGTTAATATGGCCTGATTGCATTTTTAATTAACTTTGCACAAATTGTCCCACAATGTATTAGAAAATTAAATCAAACACGACTTTCTGATCTCAAAATTTTGCTATCATCTATATAAGCTAATGACAAATGAATATCATTAGCCTTAAGAACTGTTTCCCTATCCAAATTTCAGATTCTCATGTTAATCAAAGCTTCCCTGACAGTGTTACTTTACTTCCCCACAAGAACCTCAAAATTAAACATGTCAACACTGAAATTAACATCTCTTGTTCTCTCAATTTGTGACACATCTGCCAAAGAGCTCAAGCCAAAAACCAGAGTCATCTTGAATCCTTCCTTTCTTTTAACCCCATTTGGTAAACAAATCAGAGAAAAAGGCCTTCCAAATACAACCTAAATGGACCCCTGATTTTACTTCTTAGTAGTCTTTGTCCTTAAAATCCAATAATTAAAATATGCTATTTCCCACTCAGTGTCATTCTTTAAGCTGTTAACTCTCTTGGTAATGCCTTACTTCTCTTGCCTAACCACCACATGTTTTAAGGAAGATATCCTCAAGAAGCTTGCCAGAACTCTGAAGATCTAAACTAAGCGCTTACCTGACTCTTCTATAGATTGTAGATGATCTAAAACAGCACACACTAAGTAGGTATTTAATGACAATTCGCTACATTGCTGAGGTATACTGACAAAAGTAGGAATAGATTTTTAAAGGAATATAAAATTAAAACAGAAATGCCAATTACGTAGAAGTTACTATTTTTCTGTTAATCATATACCCGTAAAACCAAATATACCCACATTCATCTACCTACATATTTTTCTTGTAATATAAATTCCAAAAGAATTTGAACTACTATACATTATCTGTAATTTACTTACTCTATTTCGCGGAAGCCTGCGATTTCTGACAGCATGAAGTGGAGAATCAACTTCACTATCTTTCTGATCCTAGATAAAGTAGGTAAGTAGATAAAGTAAAATATAAAAAAAAAGACTTAAGGGGTAAAATAGATTATTGTAGGATCATATACTGGTGATTGCTGAATGACTCACCTCTGGGGATTCTAAAAGATTTCCTTTTGGTTTTTTACTTTTTCTTCTGAAAATCTCATCATCTTCACTTTCATTGCTTATTAATTGTTCATCTACAATTTATTTAAAAATAAATTGGTAAATAGATTTAAGTTTATTCAACCACAACTATCTACTTTATTGATGAGTACAATAAAAATTATTTCTGTCATTCTCATTTTTTACTCTCAAAGACAGCTTTTCTGAAGTTTAACAAAAAAAAAAAATCAGCATGGAAGAGACAGACCAACACAACAGTGAAAGTGAGAAAATGAAGAAATGATAACTTGTGCTAATAAGACTGTTTTTCTCTGGCACAGTTTTACAAGTTAATTGAAAAGAGGCCAGAATAGTGCAAATATAATTTTATTAGTTAATGGTTCTAGAATCCATCTCTAAAGTCTACTATTTTGTGTGCCATTTGTGTCTTATTCTCTTTCTCATTAGTTACAGCATAAAATGCAGGCTAACAAAAATAAATTGAAAAAGTGTTTTTGGGGCCTCCCCGGTGGCGCAGCGGTTGAGCGCTGGGTTGCGAAGCCGCCAGCAGCTTCTGCAGCGCCGGTTCGATCCCCGGCTGCTCCCCAGCCATCGGAGGAGGGTCCCGCATGGCGCGCAGACATCTCCTGCCGCCCGCTGCTCCCCTCAGCAGTGTACCTCGGTCCTTCTGCCTGCTCTGCTCCCTGCTCTGGCTCTGGTGAATTCTCTCACCCTCCCGCGCTTCTGACTGTACCCAGTGCTTGTATAAATAAATAAATAAATCTTTAAAAAAAAAAAAGAAAAAAGAAAAAGTGTTTTTGTACTTATCTACAAGTTGTGTTTGTACACAAGCATGAGATACAAATTATAAGATATTCATCAAAATGTTGTAACTAAACACACTGAGGGAGTAAAGAGAATGCTAAAAACAAAATCATTCTGCATGAAATCAACTGCTTCAAATTTTCACATATTCAAAAAACGTCCCAGTTCTGCATTTACCTACAATTTTGATTGAAGACACCTTTTCATGTCATTACAAAACCTTCTCTAAGACCCTATGATTATCTTATGTTCATATCTTTGACATTTCTCCCTTCAAAGGGTGTATCATAACTCCTCTCCCCTTGAGTGTGTGCTAGACTTAATCACTTTATTCTAATGAAATAAATAATAATTCCCTAAAATATATGTGCCTAATAATTTTATGTCCCATGGAAAGTAAATCCAAAGCTTGAAAAAAAGTCTCAATGACAGAGACCAAAAAATGATCTCCCCCAGTAACAAGAACTTTCAAGTGTTAAAACAAATGTTGAAGGCTCACAGGAAACATACACTAGTAAAAATATGTATGTCAAAATATATACAAAGCTGTGTCACATTTGAAAACTAAATATATTTCCACAATTTACTTTAAGTAAGCTATTATCTTTTTTTTAAAGATTTATTTATTTATGCATACAAGAGCTGGGGTACAGGCCAGATGTGTGGGCGAGGGTTGAGAGGATTCACCAGAGACAGAGCGGGGAACAGAACAGGCAGACTGACTGAAACACACTGCTGAAGGGAACAGCGGGCGAGGCAGGAGAGGTCTGCTGCGCCATGTGGGTTTCTCCCTGGCCAGCCGGGGATGGAACTCGTGCTGCAGAGGCTTTGGATTGCTTCACAGTGTGGTGCTTAACCCCTTGCACCACCAGGGAGGCCCCATAGTAAGCTATTATCTTAAACAAAGGATTCATCAGTCATGCTCTGAATGCTAAGACAAGAAAAGGACGTACTGAGTAAACTCATTTTTATCCTACAACTACTTTTTTCTCAACCTTAAGAATAAAATTCATAGGGCCTCCCTGGTGGCATAAGGGGTTAAGCACCGCACTATGAAGCAATCCGCAGCCTCTGCAGCATGAGTTCGATCCCCGGCTGACCAGGGAGAAACCCACATGGCGCAGCAGATCTCTTCTGTCTCGCCCGCTGTTTCCCTCAGCAGTGTATTTCAGTCAGTCTGCCTGTTCTGTTCCCCACTCTGTCTCTGGTGGATCTTCTCACCCCCCGCATCTCTGGCCTGTACCCTAGCTACTGTATGCATAAATAAATAAATCTTTAAAAATAAAAGAATAAAATTCATAGGCTGTTATAACAATCTATAAACTAAAGTTGTTTTTAACAAGATTAAAAGAGACTAAAATCATTTTAATTCCAAATATCCATCATATTTTCTCTTTAATATTTTCAATATACCCAAATTGTAAATATTCCTGAAAAGCCAAAATGAAAAACTACATTAAAAAACATACATGTCCAGCAGCAGTCCTGCCCACCTGTGCCTATGCAGATGCCCCTTTTTGCCAAATCGCTGTCCCTCTACAGGGCAGCAGCCTTCCTGCCTGCCCATGACTTGTGCCATGCTGGGGCTTCTCTTTACTGACCCCCTCAGCAGAGGCAGCACCTTAAGGTCATCTGCCTGCAACCATGCAGGCCTCTCTGTTAGCAAACCTGTTGTTTTCAGAGCAGCACTTTCTGTCCATTTGTGTCTATGCAAGTGCCTTTTGTTCTCCTCTTCCTTTTATAATAAACCTGCCCTTTAGATATTAAAAAAAAATACATGTCCAATCTAATCCACTTCAAAATTTTGTCACCTTCTGAACCTCCTAAACACCCATTCATTTAGGTAGTTATTTCTACATTCTACTGGTATCTTTCCAAATGTATGTGTCATATAGTTTTTTGTGTTTCACACTCAGGGGGAAGGTCAGATCTTATACTTCTATTTCAGTGTCCAGCATGCCACCTTAACCAAGGCATGCCTGCCACAAATATATATATAGATAAAATAATACTTTTATCAGTTAAGTATCAACATAAGAAATATGTAATTCATAAATTATCTAATTCCATGTACCATACATTGAAAAATTACAATTTGAAAAATTACATAATTCATCTAATTATTCTTAAAAGATATGTTTTATATAGATGGAATCTTACCTTCAACAGAATGACAGGATTGATGCAAACTGATCTGTTCCTTGTTTTTAGTCTTTTCCACAGAAAAGTCTGAATCAAAAGTTGAATTCAATGTTTCTTTGAAACTTCGTAGATTTACTTTTTCATTGTTAGAATCTGGTATCGTGGGTATTTCCTTTTTCTTCTTATAAGATGAGTTTAATGTGTTTGATTCAAAAAGTGGTGTACTCACATTTTTTTCTTTTACTGGCAAAGAAAACTGAGAATAACCAGGAGACGTACATTCTTTATTTTGTGCTGCACTCAGTTGGAAACATGCGGAAGTTGAACTCCTCTTATTTTCGCTTGATGGGATAGTAATGGTTCTACTTGTAGAACCATCCATAGATTTTCCTGGTATTACTGCTTGATATGAAACATAATTTGTATCACTTATCTCTTTACTATCTAAACACCTTCCAGACAGATTGCCTAAAGTTCTATCCTTATTTGTGTCTGATGTATGTTCTAATATTTCATCATCAGAATCTGGACTACAAAATCCTAAATCAAAGGTAACAGAAAATAGATCCATAGAATAATCAAAAACATACTCATCAGTCTTTAAGTTGTCCTCACATACACCTTTTATATCTTCATGAGATTTCCAACCATTATTATCACTTGATATGTGATCTTGAGATTCAGAATTATTGTCTAACAAAAGTTCATCAGAAATTAAGAAATGAGAGACCAGTGCCATTTCACTTAAAGCAGTTTTGTCTGATACACATAAAGATTTGCATTTATTGTTTGTGGGAGAAAGGCTCACATCATCAATCTCTTCATCATCATCATCAAATAATGGTAAACTCTCATTCTGATCATTGAGCAATGTTGGGAGGTCATTGTTATCAACATCATGATTCTTTTCACCAAGAAATTTTGGAGGGTCAAAGTTTATTTGAATATGATCGTTGGATCCTAAATTTTCATTCATATCTTTGTGTACTTTATCATAGTCACAGAAACTTGGCTCATCAGAAATCTGATCATTAGTTGGACCATCGAGGCACATTTTTTCAGAAGGATGATTAATAAGTTTAAGTGAATTCTGTTGAGAATTTATTGCTGAACATGACATCAAATAGGTGGATTTATTGTTTTGTAAATACTCTGTATAGGGTAGAATAAACAAATTCTCAAGCACAGAACCCTTAGCAATTTCATATTCCAAACTTGAGAGTCCACTGAGAGGTGGAGGAGAATGAGATAACAATCTCTCCACATTAGCTAGTACCTCTTTTGTTAAATGACAATCATAAAATTGTTTATCTATATAAAGCTCTTCCTCAAATGGAAAAAGTAAGTTAGATGAGACAGATTTATCGTCACCAAAACTGTGATAACCAGAATCGAAAAAAGTTTCAGCACATGAACTAGTAAATTTATCTGTAAACTGACAATCCATTAATAATCCACATGGTTGATTAGCAATGTTTTCATTGATAGCACATGAGGCAGACACTTCATCTGTATCTGATGCCCTTTTATCATTTAAGTCTACCTGGAAAATACTTTCAACGGAATTGCCATCATTCTTTAAATAATCCATATTACTGTTTTCTTTTTCAGACTGATGTTTTTTTAGTTCTTTAGAAGCTTTTTTCTCTAGAGAATTAATTTTTGCAAGTTTGATACCAGTTTGTTTAACATCTTTTGTACATTCTTCATTAGATTCTATCACTGAAAATAAACTGCCTTGCTTTATATTCTTTGTACATGAAGATTTCTTGTTACTAGGAAAGGTGTAATTTGCAAGACGATTACACTTGTTTCTAGGAGCATTAAATGTTGAGCTAACATCTTCCATTTGTAAATAAGATTTAATTTCCAATTCATAGCTGCATTCTCCCTATAAAAAAGAAAAATTAGAAGAAACAGGAAAACTAAATAAAAAAACCAATTCTAAGGGATAAGTTTTACTGTGTTAAAATATTTTCTAAATATTACATTGTTGAAATTATTTTATTTTAAAAAATTATTCTGATTAATCAAAATATAAATGACTATGATATTATCACAAATTAGCTTTAATCAATTAATATTTTTGTATCTCTAGTTAGTATTCAATACATGGAAGACCTTTAACTATTTGTAGAAAGAATAAATTTAATGTATACATAAAAATATAATCAGCATTAAGTATTTTCACTTCCAACATTCAACTGATCAGTTTAACTTTCTAAAAATAGATTAAAAAATTAACATATATAAGTAAAAAACAGAAATATATGCTAAATTTACTCTTGATGAAGGTAAACTAAGAACAACTTTTAGAACATCTCTCAAGTAATGATGTATAGGCTAGAATATATAGTTGATCCTTGAACCACACCAGTTTGATCTGCACAGGTCCACTTATCTGTGGATTTTCTTATAAACTAACAATGTAAACTTATTGTACTGATACAGTACAGTGCTATAAGGGTTTATTCTCTTCCTTGTGATTTTAATAATGTTTTATTTTATTTAGCTTGCTTACTTTATTCTAAGAATATAGTATATAATACATATGACAAAGTACATATTAATCAACTGTTCATGTTATTGGTAAGTCTACCAGTAAATTGTTTTGGGAAGTCAAAGTTTAATGCCTATTTTTGACTGCATGGTGGTTTGAGCCTCTAACTCCCATGTCATTCAAGGATCAAGTTATAGTAGTATTTCTAACAAATTTCTCAAGGAAGAATTCTTTCTTACTTATCTCTAAATCTAGAACTATAGTCCATACTACCCTCCACTTATCTCCATGAAAGAACTACTTTAATCAGATTCCTCATTAGGGATTCAAGCAGTTAGCTCTCCATCTTTTGAAAAATAAGTAAAATTCATATTAATGTGAGGATGTCTGTCTCCCTGCTAGTTCCCCACACACAGCATATTTTATTTGGCTTCTTCATTGATAAAGCTGCAGGATCACAGAGAATGACATATGGAAGTCACCACCTTAGTATGTGTTAATTTGATGGCAGAGGTTTCCTGAAATCCACAACTAATTATTTACATGTATTTAAGGAGATAGTTAAAAATAAAAATGTCAGCTGCAATCTATTGCATACTTAGTATATGTCAGTTACTAGCCTAGGTGTTTTACATGTACTAAGTCATTTAATCCTCACAACCAATGAAAAAGGTGTTATCATTATCACCATTTTACAGATGACTGAGGTGTGACGAGGTTAAGTAATTTCCTGAGGGAAGATTAGTAAGAGGTAAAATTGGGATTCTAACTCTGGCATTTTGGATTTCACAATCATAATACGTTCATTATTCACTCTGTCAAGACAGAATAACCAAAAAACTACTCTAGGAATCAATAATTCTCCAAACTACCACCAGGATATAAGATACATTACAAAGATAACAAAATACTTCGATAAATCCTCGTCTAATAAAAATACTAAATTAGTTGTACAGTTTATAAGTCATTAAGTATATTTACAGATGACAGTCTTCTGATTAATTAAGTCTACTTCTCCTAAGGCAGGAAACCGGTTTCTTACTGATATCACAAGGAGCTACTGAGAAAAACATAATATTCTACCTAAAATTATTTATAGGGCCTCCCCGGTGGCACAGCGGTTGAGCGCTGGGTTGCGAAGCTGCCTGCAGCCTCAGCAGCGCCCGTTCGATCCCCAGCCCCTGGGGCGAGGGTCCCACAAGGCACGCAGACCTCTCCTGCCGCCCACTGCTCCCCTCAGCAGTGTACTTCCGTCCTTCTGCCTGCTCTGCTCTCCGCTCTGGCTCTAGTGAATTCTCTCACCTTCCTGCGCCTCTGACTGTACCCCAGTGCTTTCATAAATAAATAAATAAATAAATCTTTAAAAAAATTATTTATAATACTGTTTCTTATAAATTAAAATTAAGATAAAGTATTCTACTTTCACTATCATACAAACAAGGGAAAATTACAATAAAATCCTACCTCTTCGCGTCTCATTTCTTCTATCATTTGCATAATGCTTATAAAATGATGACATCGATCTGAATGATCGACTTGATAGGTCGGAAAAGGACGATCCTGCCACACTCTCCATTCAGAGAGAGAGAGTTGATGAACTCCACTGCATGGTTCTTGAGTCTTCATTAGTGATTTTAAAAAAGAAAAAACACACATATTCAGACTTCACAAAGTGACTTACATAAAACTTAAAATACAGATAATTTACTTCATTTAGGTACTTTCAACTAAAATCTCAGGGTAAAAACTTCAAAACGTACAAAGATATCCTTTTAAGTATACTATTTTATTTTTTATGGATATACCATTTATTTATTTATTTATTTATTTATTAAAGATTTATTTATTTATACAAGCACTGGGTACAGTCAGAAGCGCGGGAGGGTGAGAGAATTCACCAGAGCCAGAGTGGGGAGCAGAGCAGGCAGAAGGACCGAAGTACACTGCTGAGGGGAGCAGCGGGGGGCAGGAGAGGTCTGCGCGCCATGTGGGACCCTCCTCTGGTGGCCGGGGAGCAGCCAGGGATCCAACCGGTGCTGCAGAGGCTGCGGGCAGCTTCACAACCCAGCGCTCAACCGCTGCGCCACTGGGGAGGCCCTATACCATATTTTTAAAATAACTGTTATATGAGCTACGAACTGACCATATTCTTGTTTTTCTGCTCCATTTTAAAAGGAAATATTTAAGGGCCTCCCTGGTGGTGCAGGGGTTAAATACACAGCGCTATCAAGCTATCACCAGCCACTGTGGCCTGAGTTAGATTCTCAGCCAGGGACCTAACGCACAGTGCAGCAGACCTCTCCTGTCTCACCCACTGCTTTCCTCAGCAGTGTATTTCAGTAGATCTGCCTGCTCTGCTCCCCACTCTGTCTCTAGAGGGTAAATCTTCTCACCCCCCTGCCTTCCACACCTCTGACCTACACCCCAGTTCTTGTATGCATAAATAAATAAATTTAAGAAAAACAATATAAGCAAATATTTAAGAAAATGTGTTTCAAAACTATTTTGCTAAGTTTATATTTCACATTTTAATATGGAGGTCTTCATAATTATTCATTATTACTGATCCAACTCTTCGTGCCTGCTGTCATTCCTCATTTTTCCTGTTAGTGAATAAAATTCTGAATCATCATTTATTTCAAGCCCTATAAAACTTCTAAAATTAATCTTTCCTGAGTTTGTTTTTCCAGCTTTCTAGGCACATACATAACTTTTGATCAATTCCCTTGACTTTCATTAGGTTTATAAATAATTTACTCATAATAAAATAAACAATGTCCAGTTTAAAGTTTTACTATAATTTCAAAACAAAAAATAAAAACAAATTTATAAAAATTTGCTCATACCAACATAATTTTATGTTAGCAATATATAGAAAAGAATCCCAAAACACAATAGGTAAAAGTTGTCAAACAAACTCCAGTATTCTGCAGAGTACCATGATAACCATATAAATTATGCCTATATAAAAATATACATATAGTAGAAAATAATGGAAAAAAGACAAAACTTAAACATATTATGGTTATGCAAAAAAATATATAATAAAGAGTATAAGAAAGTAACTTTACAAACTTAAGTGTTTAATATTTTTTAAACTGTTTACTTAAATTTTTAAGTAACTTGACATTCTAATCATGACCATTCACTTAACTCCCAAAGGTATTGTACAATCACTGCAAAATGCATATGAAAACATGTTCAACTTACAGGTATATTTTCTTCATTCTGAAAAGACAGAAACTGAACTTGAGGCAATGTTATTCCCTTAATTTCATCATTCTCTCTTAATCTATAAAGTCTACTCCATAATTTAAATTCTTCTTCTGATAATAACCAATCCTTCTTTGAATTACTTTGCCTCGTTCCTATGAATTGAGAAAATAATGGAAAAGAAGTTAAATAATCTTCTAGGCAAACACAAAATATACAATATCAACTTAGACTTTACCTGTTAATGTCTACCCATCTCTGCTAAACTGTTCATTCTGTTTCTCAAAACAAGTATTTGTCACATAAAATATTCTGGCTATAACTTCCTGCTTCTACATATCTCCTAAACTTCTCTCACCTCTTTGAAAGTACTAGTGAACCCTCTATCTAGGAGCTACTCTTTGGTGATGACTTCGTTATTGAAAAAACACAGTCAGGTGCCTAAGCTCTCAGTCCTGTCTTCTTTTGGACTCTCCCCATTGGACATTTGAGGTCTAAGACCTGACACAACACAGTCAGATAACTTACAAATGAAAATTAGTATCATTATTCTATCATGGCAATATTGGAAAGGTTATCTGAAGCTTGGCAAGGAGAGAGTAGTAGGGTATTGCCAAGTGTAAAAAAAGGGTTTTAGTTTTAGCTTAAGTCTTGAGTTGGAAGGAGCAAAATCAGTGAAGGCAGACAGAAAAGATCTACTTAGGGCTTTAAGAAAATAACATAAGAATACACTTTTTGAAAAATGTATGGCTAATTAACCCCTTTTGACTTCCAAAGTCTACATAAAGGAAAACAATCAGCAAACTGGAAAGGTTAATAGTACAAAGCAGAAATTCTGGTCCAATACAAATGAAGGCAGAAACTACTAAATTAGGAATCAAGAAACTTCTGTATAACTAGTTTTTGCAAAACAAGGGATTTGATCTAAGTAATCTCTTAGGTTCCTTTCAGGTCTTCTAATCTGAGGCTCTAAGATGTAAAATTTTGGAAATTGGAGGCATTCCACTCTGTGAGTCACTTTAAATCAGTTCAGGCCTGTAAATCAAGATGAATTACATAGTAAAGTATAAAACATTACATTTACACATGCAATCTTGGTAATAAGAATCACTGAAACTTCAAAAATTAGGGAGAACAGAAGAAAAAAGTACAGAAAAATGTACATGCAACAAGATTATCTCCATTTTTAATAAAGGACAGATTTCAGAATTCTACTAAAGAGATTATTCATGTGACAAAGGGAAGGAAAAACTGGCAAGAGAGTAATAGAAACTCAGTGCTGGGAAACTTTAAAATACCCTTTTCAAAAAGAACAACTATAACATTCTACAATATACCTTGAGTCTCCAAGAAGAAATATTATATCAAAATATGACTTGCTAGCTAACAACAGGGTGGGGGTGGGAGAAGAGGATGCTTATCTAAATGCAAAATTTTTTAATTTACCATTCCTATAGGAAAAGATGGATGACTTTTGCTTCAAGGTCCGAGAAGACGTCTCTGATTCATAGACACCATGTGTGATGAACATTTTATGTAACTGTGGATTGATTCCATCAGGAACCATTCGTGGACTTCTTTGGTAAAAATGAAGGACCTGCCTGTTACTTGAAATAGCTCTATAAATACTTCTTTTATTGGACTGACTTTGATTATAGGTCTGCAAAACAAATAAATATCAAATTACATTATTTCTATAATAATTCTGTAATCATAAAAAATAACTATATTAGTTTGGGTTTATTTTAAACAGTAAATTAAACTCTGATCCACTTAAATACTTAGGGAGGAGGATTTCTGTTGTCTTGAGTTTTAAATTTGTTCAATTAAATCGTGATAAAAACTATTTCAAAATCTAACACTATTGTTAAAGAGAAATCAACAGGCCTAACTGGAGTCACTTACACTGAACCCCACTCAGAGAGATTAAAATCTTAGCCTCTCCCAGAGTAGAATTTTAATTCAATCAGTCCAGAATTTCCTTCTCAACATCAGTAAGGTGATCTTGACTGAAACAATCGTTTCTTTTCTTTTGTTAATAACCTTGTTCTGCCCATTTCTGACTACAAATTCTTTCATTTTGTGTAGCTCCTTGCAGCACCTTTCTACTTGATAGAGAGGAATGCTGCCAATTCATGCATTATTTAATAAAAAGCCAATTAGACCTCCAAATTTACTGGTTTGTCCTTAACATTAAAAAAGCCTACCGTAGAACTGATCACAAAAATCTACAAAGAGCTGATGAGACTCAACAAAAACAAAGAAAATGATCCAGTCAAAAAAATGGGCAGAAGAGCTAAAAAGAAACTTCTCCAAAGAGGAAATGCAAATGGCCAACAGGCATATGAAAAAATGTTCAACATCACTTGTAATCAAGGAAATGCAAATCAAAACTACAATGAGATACCATCTTACACCAGTGAGAGTGGTACATGTTAAAAAAACTAGTAACAACAAATGTTAGCGAGGTTGTGGAGAAAAAGGAACTCTCTTGCACTGCTGTTGGGAGTGCAAACTGGTCCAACCACTATGGAAAGCTGTGTGGAGATTTCTTGACCTACTAAACATAGAGCTTCCATATGACTCAGCAATTCCACTCCTAGGTATTTACCCAAATGACACAGAAACATTAATTCCAAAGGGCACCTGCACCCCTATGTTTATAGCAGCACTATTTACAATAGCTAAGCTATGGAAACAACCCAAATGCCCAAAAATAGATGACTGGATCAAGAAGATGTGGTACATATACACAATGGAATATTACTCAGCAATCAAAAAAGATAAACACATGCAGTTTGCAGCAACATGGATGGAGCTAGAGGGGATCATGCTCAGCGAAATAAGTCAGAAAGAAAAAGAAAAATACCGGATGGTCTCACTCATAGCAGGAATTTAGAAAACCCAAATAAGGGACCAGGAAAAAGATTAATTAATATAAAGTAAAAATCAAAATCAACAAGCAACTATGGGGCCTCCCCTGGTGGCGCAGCAGTTGGGCGCTGGGCTGCAGAGCTGCCCGCAGCCTCTACAGCGCCGGTTCAATCCCCGACCGCCAGCAAGCGTCCCACATGGTGCGCAGACCTCTCCTGCCGCGCCCGCTGCTCCCCTCGGCAGTGTATTTCGTCTGTTCTGTTCTGTTCCCCACGCTGGCTCTGGTCAATTTTCTCACCCTCCCGCGGTTCTGACTGTACCCAGTGCTTGTATAAATAAATAAATAAATCTTAAAAATAAAAAAAAAAAAAAAAACCAATAACAAGCAACTATGGACCAGAGACACACTGCGGAGGGGAGGGGGGAGAGGAAAGATTAAATTATTAAATTATTTTATTAAAAAATAAGGGGGGGTGCAATTGTATGGGGAATATAACCAAAATGAAAATGCATACATTGTGCAAAAATGAAAAATGATGTAATAATTATATAAAATAAAATATTTTAAAAAAAGGAAAATACAAAGATAAGTTACATACTGGGAGAAACTGTTTGCAAATCATATGTTTAATAAAGAACATGTATCAAGAATATAAAAAAAAGTCTACCTTAGAAATCTTACATTTACCATATTGCTCTTTTTTAATAAGGTTGCTACTTCTAGTGCTCGCTTAGGCAGCACATATACTAAGGTTGCTACTTCTATAAAAGATACTTTTATGGAGCTTCCACACAGCCCAGCAATTCCACTCCTGGGTATCTACCCAAAAACACTATTTGAAAGGAAACCTGCACTCATGTTTGCAGCAGCACTACTGACAACAGACAAGAAATGAAAACAAACTAAGTGCCCCAAAACAGATGAGTGGATCAAGAAAACGTGATAGATACATAATGGAATACTATTCAGCAAACAAAAAAAGATAAACTCATGATGCCAGATAGTGTCACTTAACGTGGAATATAGAAAAGCCCGACAAAGACAAATTTTAAAACCAGTGCTTAAAAGCTGATGTTGAGGGGGAGAAGGGCTAGCACACGACTATGATGCAGGACTATGGGTCCTGCAGTGGTGGGAGTGCTAAGGTGACTACACCTGCAGGAGGAAATTATATACTGTGAAACAGTGGCAAGGATGTGGAGCAACAACAATTTTGCTTTAAAAAATTGCTTTTAAAGGATACATAAACATTTTAAGTAATTTTTTAAACTATCATAGTTAATGAAAAAATCTTTAATGTAAAGCTACATATAAGAGGATAAAAAGTCCTACCCAGTAACAAAAGTTAACACTTAAGTGTAACAAACATTAATATTATGTACATCATATTTAGGAAGGCCTGATACTCAGAACTGTTGCAAGATTTGAATGTGATTCAAGTCTCTTATCACTTATCATTTAGGAAACCTTTCCATAAAGGCCTGGAAAATAACTATTTTAGGCATAAGTCCACACACTATCACTGGCACATATTCTTGCTGATTGGTTGGTTACTTGATGAATTAGTTCACTGAATGACTTAGGCAATCCTTTAAAATGTAAAAAAAAAAAAAAACATTCTCAGCTCACCACAGTTTTAAAACAATGAAACTAAACACAAAAAAACAGGGCTTTGAAGATCAGGGAAATAATAAAACAAAGTAATATGTATTCACTTTTTTATCTAAGTGTCTCTAAATTAATGCTGCAGTACAAAAAATTCATTTCTTAACATGGGTAAACTACGAAATTTAATACAATCAAAAATTCCAGCTGCAAAAAAAAAATATTCAGAATGTAATGAAAAGGGGAGAAATCATCCATAATTACCTACAGGCTATTTGTATTTTGAATTTTAAAAGCTGATATTTGTCTTTGATCTATATTTCTCAAATTTCAATAATGAAATCATATTTCTACATATTTACTTACACGTTCTTCTCGTCCTTCAGCAAGGATAACAACAATTCTGCCTTGACGTTTGCGGCCAGTTCTACCCATTCGTTGTACAAGACGAATTGGGCTCTTCTGGGCATCAAAACATATTATAAGATCAACTTCTCCTATATCCAAACCTTCTTCACCCACACAAGTTGACACCAAGGTATTGTAACCACCACTACGAAATTTTTTCACTACCTAAAGTAAAAATGATTTAAAAATAACTAAATGTAAATGCAAGAGAATTTTAGATCAAATTTCCACTTATCCTAAAATGGTGAATAGCATCCAGGATACTAACAAAATGGAAAACTGACAAAATAGCATATAAGCCAAAAGACATTGTGGTAAAATGCTAGAGCAGTCCTAATTCCTTTGTTTTCATAATAGTTGGAATGTCCAAAGGGTTTGCTAATAATTTATACATAAAAGAGAACCCCCAGATATGATCGTTAGCATCACTAGAAGGACCATAAAGCATCAAAATGACCCAGAGCATTTGTTGCTATTTATCATATCCTAGACCTAACCTTACTGTTAGGCATAACTAAAATATTATTTTATTACTCCTAGAATTCCTATGTTCCCTTTTATATTGCCTTTCCAACAAAGGGTAGCAGGATATGCTATTCCAAAACATGACTGTAGGAGTTGAGGTCATGTTGTTCTAAAATATGCTGCTTTGGTATATTGGTTATTTTGAACTTTAGGTACTTGAAAAACAGATAGTGCAGGGAGAGGCTTTCTCTGAACTCCCCTTATCTTCTAAAAACATCCTCCAAAAGGAACTCAGCTGTCCTCTTCACGAGTTTCATCAGTCAAAGAAAACTCTCTTTTCAGAGGAAAGGAGACTAAAAGTCAATACCACAGTTTTCCTCCTCCAGCAGAATTTCTCTCATCCATTTAATGAAACTACAATAGCATGAAAATGAGTAAATGAAAGTCAATGAAAAATTCTGAAAACTTTCCTTAAGTCTTTAAATGTAATTCTCAACTGCTGTGAGCATCAATTTCTCCAAATATATCAACAGCAACACACTGCAGGTTTGGTGTTATTGGAGTGGCAGTGATGCTAATTAAATAAGATAATATTCAATGAATAGGTAGAGACTAGAAACAAAAATTGAATGATGGTAATTCAGAGGAATCAGTCATGCTTTTGACTAAGGTCTTTATAAATGCCTATTAAAATATAAGAATGTCTAAGTAAAATGACTAGGAAGATGGGCAGTTATCAGACCTTATATACAAAAAGGAAATTTTAGGAAATAAGAACTCTACTAAAGTAGAGTTATAGACCATGACAAAGTCCATTATAGAGAGTTATAGACCATGACAAAGACTGTTCAAGCTCAAAAATACTACTATTCATAAGTATTAATAATCGCCAGTGTTTGACCTTAGGTCTGACTCCAAAATTTTAATCTATAAGCTAGTCATATAGTTGAAAACAACAACCTGAAAAGTAGGATAATAAATACAAACTTAGCAAGTTAAGTCCTTTTATAAACCTTTCCAGTAGCACTGGTCAAAAGTCTCCCTTCAGAGAAAGATAAATATCGGATAGTGTCACTTACTTGTGGAATATAGGAAAACCAAACAAAGGGTCAGACAAAGTCAAAATTTAAAACCAACACTTGAAAACTGACTATCAATCTTAGGCTTTCAGAGGGGTTGAGGGAGGAAAAAGAGTGAAAACTGGGGAACTGGGGGAGAACACAATGGACTACAGTGGACTATGGGTGCTTTGGTAGAGGGAGGGCCACGGTGACTATGCCGGGCAGGAGAAATGGTACCCGACTAATGCAGGAAATAATAATTTTGGGTAATGAAAATGGCCAGAAACCAGATTGGGTGCTATCAATATTTCAAAATGCTTGACTCCATAGGCAAAAGTTCACCTCATTTTTCATATATAAATGTTAAGAGTGGGTAAAAAATCACCCGCTAGATGTCTGAACAATTTAAAGTACTTTTAATCAGACTTGAAGTAAGTAAAGGAATTATCTGTAACTCAGGAACACCTCCTAGATACTTCCCATCAGATTCAGTCATTTTAAACAGACTCTTCTGAATATGGTGAAGACATATAAAAAGTACTCTTCAACTACTAATATTTCAGAATCAAGAAAATCTGTCAAAATGAATTAGACATTAAAGACAGACCTAATTGTCAGTGATTTCTCATGTGTAGACCTACAAATGTGCAAAAATATATAGTGTTTAAAAATGAAGTCTAAAATTTGAAAAAAATCATATCACAGCATTAGAAAATTTCTGACTTCTTATACAGGCATAGTGCTCCCTTAAATACCACCATAGCTCCTTTTCACCACATTTTTAAATAACAAATAGAGATGACCTCATTAATTATTTAGAAAGACTAAAGTAACTTAAAATAAACAAACAGTTAACATTTATTTGAAAGGTCTAGAGCACAATTTCATTTAATGTTTATGACAACTGTAAAAAGTATGTTTACAGATAAGGAAACCTAAAGCAAAAGAAGTTAAGGAAACTTATGGTACAGCCAGGATTTCAATCTAGCTAGTATGATTTCAGAGCTTTTTTACTTAACCATTACACTTTACTATATGTATACAGTAAAGATTACATATAATATATATAACACATATATTAATGTTCTATTATATATAATTTACTATATATATCTATATCTTATAGTAAATATATTTACCATATATGGCAAATGTAGTAAATAGTGTGTGTGTGTATATATATACACACACACATATATATATATGTATATATACACATTTAAAGTTTCAAAACAGCAAAAACATGTGTTTGGTCTTTCAAAATATCCCTGTCTTTACTTAGATGTTCACTATAAAATTATCTTTAGGAAGTAGCTTATTAATCAGTGAGTTGAAACAAAAAAGGTATTAAGAGCAAAGCTAATCAATTTTCTTTTTACTTTAAATATTTCCAAAAATAATTACCTCTAGTTGCTCCTTCTGGGTAAAACCCTTCATGCTTTTCCCTGAGGCATGGCCAACAAAAGTCATTGCTTTAATAACTGGTTGATGTTGTACAAGCATTTCTGCAATTTCTTGAACACTATCTCGAAATGAAGAAAAGATCATAACTCGGGTCTCGTCACATTTCTTTTCAGAGGTGTGTTGAGCTACATGACAAAGAACAATCACAACTTTCTAAAAAGTATATAGACAAGAACCAGTTCAAAAGACAAGTCTAAGAATGTAAACTAATAGTGATTCTTTCAAAAAAATAAATTAAGACATCTTAAACTTTTGCTAGTTTTCCTCCTACCTTATCTAATAACTTTACTAATCTTGGCTACCTATATTTCATTTACTGTCATAAAATAAAATCCCAAACAAATGAAATAAAAATTACCTGAATCATTTTTGACCAATTCTTAATTCAGGCATGATGCCTATTATTACCCTTTACTTTGTAAGTTGAAGGCACAGAACTACGGAGCTCCCATTAATATCATAAATCCTTCGTTTCCAACTTTGATATCTGGCAAATTGTGTGAATTATAATGTAACAGTCCTTGCCCTCAAAGTGCTTACAGCCCATTACAAGTTAATTATGAGGCTATGAGGCAAGAAGTATGTAAGTGCTGCAGGATTATAGATGACGTTTCATCTTTACTACTTCTTGTCTTTTTTCTTATGGCATTATCATTTGAGCTGTCTACCAAAACTATAGTATCTAGGATTAAGCCCCATTTTTTCATAGACTAATATTTTATAGCCAATGTGTAAGGGTAGAAAGAACAAAAGATTTAATTTTTAAAGTACTGATTTCCAGGTCTGACTCCCCATAACAGTTTTACGACAAGGCAAACTACTTGAGCTTTCTAATCTCAGAAGTACCTTCCTTTTCCTAGTAAACACCCTAACTACTCTTTCTTCCCCCAACCTCCCTCCACCCAGCTAAGCTATTTCAGATTGCATGTAAAGCACTCCGACAAGCTGCTTAGTCACTGCTGGGTCTCTCATGCGCATACAAGAGATATACTTATTATTAAACTTCTATATGGCTCTTTGTCTTGGAAAAATAAAATGGATTGAGATAATTATTAAAGGAATTAAAATGTAAAGTATGCAGTCTTGTGTATAGCAATGATTAATAACTGCAAGTTGCAGGGGAATTTTTTTTTTTTACTGTTATTTGTTTTGTCTGTAACCTTGCTTGAAAATTTGAGTCCTTCTTCCCTCCATATGACTTATATTAATCATCACTGGCATACTAAGGACTACAATAAGCATTTTATATATTATTTAATCTTCATAACAACTCCAAGGAGCAAATGACTTAGTGCACACAAAGGTAAAATGTCACAATACATAAGCACTAAAGAAGCAGCTATTGCAAGGAAAACTGTTCTAGATAAACCTCCTTTGAATCACCATAAATTAAGACTCTATTCACTACATCTGACCAACTCATGACCAGCTGCTAATGTCAAGTCTACTTTCTAATGGCCAATGTGCCTTACTACCTCTAGTTCACTGAAGCTCCTCTAACAAAGCCATCGATAATTTCTATATTGCGAAACTCATTGGATGCTTTTTAGTTCATTTCACAACACCTCTCAGCAGTATTTCACAGTCCACTCCTCCCTACTGAAAGTCTCTTCCCTCAGCTTTCTGACATGTCACTTGACTGATTTCTTAGTCTCCTTTATGGTTATTTTTCCTTTGAACTCTAGATGTCAATATTCTTCAAGACTAAATTCTGGGCCGTCTCTTATCTCTAAATTGTATTCCTACTTATGTGACCACATCCACTCCTGAAACTTTAAATATTTCCTTTATACTAAGGACTGCAAAACTTAAGCATCTACATGAAAATACAGTAGACTCTCACTTTATATACAAGTTCATTCTACAGACAAGAATGTATAGTGAAAATATCACAATGTGAACCCAACAACATATTGATAAAAGCATAATTTGTTCAAAGCATAATCTATAAATTTTGGCACATAACCAAACTTAGATGACCTTGATTTATACAGTAAAACAACCAAAATAGTAAAAGAATTTCATTTTTAGGGCCTCCCCGGTGGCGCAGCGGTTGAGCGCTGGGTTGCAAAGCTGCCCGCAGCCTCTGCAGCGCCGGTTCAATCCCCGGCTGCTCCCCGACCACTGGAGGAGGGTCCCGCATGGCGAGCAGATCTCTCCTGCCACCCGCTGCTCCCCACAGCAGTGTACTTCGGTACTTCTGCCTGCTCTGCTCCCCGCTCTGGCTCTGGTGAATTCTCTCACCCTCCTGCGCTTCTGACTGTACCCAGTGCTTGTATAAATAAATAAATAAATCTTAAAAAAAAATAAAAAAAAAAGAATTTCATTTTTATTGACATTAAAAAGATGAAATTAAAAATAAGTTCGCTAACTAAAACTGGAAAAGGTTATGTCAAAATCATTTAAAGTTTGCTAATAGAGTAGGTAGGGATAACAAAATTCTCTTACTAATTCACAAACTTATACCATCATCATGCTTTTTCATAATTTCTTATTCCAATTTAATTAAAATTTTCTTTCTGATACACTCTTTTTTTTAAAAATTTTTTTTAAGATTTATTTATTTATTTTTTTGAGGCATGTTATTTATTTATTTGTTTGTTTGTTTGTTTTGTTGTTTTTGTTTATACATGCACTGGGTATAGTCAGAAGCGCGGGAGGGTGAGAGAATTCACCAGAGCCAGAGCGGGGAGCAGAGCAGGCAGAAGGGTGAAGTACACTGCTGAGGGGAGAAGCGGGTGGCAGAAGAGGTCTGCGCGCCATGTGGGACCCTCCTCCGGTGGCCGGGGAGCAGCCGGGGATCGAACAGGTGCTGCAGAGGCTGCGGGCAGCTTCGCAACCCAGTGCTCAACCGCTGCGCCACCGGGGAGGCCCAGATTTATTTATTTATACAAGCACTGGGTACAGTCAGAAGCGCAGGGGGGTGAGAGAATTCACCAGAACCAGAGCGGGGAGGAGAGCAGGCAGAAGGACCGAAGTACACTGCTGAGGGGAGCAGCAGGCGGCAGGAGAGATCTGCGCGCCACGCGGGACCCTCCTCTGGTGGCCGGGGAGCAGCCGGGGATCAAACCAGCACCGCAGAGGCTGTGGGCAGCTTCGCAACCCAGCGCTCAACCGCTGCGCCACCGGGGAGGCCCTCTGATACACTCTTTAGGAGTCATGGTTACAGTTTAGTACAATATTTTTATATAATTCAAAAACAACCACTTGTATGAAAGGATACATAAAGGCTAAGGAAAAAAAATTCTATAGTTCATAATTGTGAACCCGTGTCATCAATAAGGTAAATATACCGGTGACTGGCTCATGTGCTCACAATTATTCAAAAGCCCTACCCACAAATGCCCCACCCACAAGGACTAGTTGGTAGTAATCTTAAGTGAATATTAAATGATAAAGTGATTCATATTTTAACAGGAAGGATTCATCATTATATAAAGTGGATATACTATAGGTAAAAATAGCCCAGGCCATTCTTCTGAGATTCAGGTTCACTTATCTAATGCCTACACATTTCCATATAGATATCTCAAAAGCAACTTCACCTTTGTTCTTTACCCTTTACACTGTTCTTTGCTCATATAATCATCCACAAGCACACAAGCGCGCGCACACACACACGCACAATTCTCTTTTTTCTCTCATACCCTAAATACAACTGTAAACTGTTGGTTATACATTCAAAATATATCTAGACTCTATAACCACTTCTCAGCACCTCCACTACCAATAACTTGGTACAAACCACCTTACACTATTATCGTCTTACACTATTGCAGTATACTGCTACCTGGTACAAATCTGCTCTCCACAAAACCACCAGAGAGATCTTTATAAATCTAATTCAGATCATGTCATTCTATTATTCTTAATGACTCTGTAATGGTTTCACAAAGCATAAACATCCATAGAATAAAAAACCATCCTGACTTGGCCTACAAGCCCTACATTATCTGGCCCCTGGTCACCCTATATACCACTCTTACGTCATTTCATTACTCCTGCCACATTGTTTTGCTTACTGATCCATAATCACAAACACCATACTGCCTTAGGGCCTTTGAATCTTCTATTCTCTCTACCTGGAATGATCCTCCCCCAAAAAGTCACAAGGTTTGCTCCCTCATTTCTATAAAGTAGAACATCACCTAACAGTCTAACCATCACCCTACAAACAGGTTTTTGCTTACCACCCAACATAAAATGGCACTTCTTCATGACTATTTCCTATCATCATAGCTTTACAAGCTGATATCCTTTCCCACCATTTCCTCTAGCCCAGTCCTCCCAAAATTTCACAGAGCTCTTTCCCATTCATTATCCAAAGTACCAAAAAGTACATCTCCCTAAGAAGTGTTAGGACAAATCAAAATTCAGAATTTTAGCTCTCTCAGTAACATCACCTCACCTTCAAGCTACTAAATATTACCTACCATTCCATGATTTGAAGTGTTCAATTACAACTTCTTCTAATTTCTTTAACTTTGGATGACTATAGAAAAATTTATCTTTACCTCCTGCAAAGAAAAAAAAAATCTGCATTTTTTCCATAATCAATTACATTAATCTAACTTAAACTTTATCAAAATGTCTTTGTTAAAACTTGCTTTTTTAAAATTTTAAACAATAAGTAGTATCTGGATAGCACATAATCCTATTGCAAAATAAACTTTCAATTTTTATGAAAATGTCATTTACAGAATCCAAGCAAGAATCAGCAGCAAAGTAGAAGGAGGAAAATACATATACAGTTAAGTTATAAGTCAGTTTTTGGTAGTTTTGAGAATTTTTACTGTCAGTAGCAATAATATATCTCATGCATTTAAAGTTTATAAACTGCTTGAATATATAGTTATCCTAACTTAGAAAATGCTTAAGCATACTAGGTTTGTTCCTACAAAAATGTAAGTAATTATAGACAAACAAGTGAATCAAGGGAGGAAAATTTCAAAATGACTCTTGATGACAACAAACAACATAAAATCTTAAAAGAAAAACCAGACCTTTTTGGATAGTAGAAATGCCACCTGCTGAAGTATTGTGTGTATATGCAAACATGCACTCTAGATGATTATAGAGTTTCATGAAGTCTTCATTTCGGCTAAGTTCATTTTTTGCCCGAGTCATTCCTACAGAAATTAAGAAAAGATTTTTCAAGTAAATACACTTAAAAGAAAACCTAATCAAATTTATTAAAAAGAAATAAAGCTTTAATAAGGAATCAAATATTTCAAATGTAAATATGAAAAGCAACAACTTTTTCCAGTTCTACTTATGCATTTATATGTATTAATAAATGGCTTGCAATTTATGAAGGAAAAAAAGAGAAACATGGTCACTTCTTACATAACTATTTCACTGCTTTTTAAAATAAAAGTATTTTAGGTAACCCAAAATATTCAAAATATCATCAACTAAAATAATGTCATTTTATCATTATTTCTTTAAATAATTCCATATAACTTACCTTTAGTTCCATCCATAATTCCACAAAGGAATAAATATAATGATCTCATTCCCATTTGCTGTAATAATTCATATCCATGATATAAACTAATACAAATAGCAAACTCTCCCTCAATTATGCCTTGTTGTATTCCCTAGAAATACAAACATACATCAAGTTAATAGCAAAAAGAAATGAAGATACATTTTCCTTGCAGAACTTAATGGTTCTATTAAACATCTTAGGATGTTGCTATGAAAAGGTACCAATGTATTTGCCATATAAAATTTTTCTTTTTCCTTATTCAACAGGAAACTTACATTTTAAAGAGAATAAGTAAAAGGATAAATATTTATCATACACAGTTCCTCTTCATAGGTAAATTATTAGGAGTATATAGGTGCATTTGTTCTCTCAAAATGATTTACAAGCACTATAGGTCAAGCACTGAGCTAGATATTAGGGATATGATGGAAAATAATTTAGATATGGGCCTATCCTCAAAAATGTTACTAGCATAAGGACAAATATATATAATCAGACAGTTTAACCCTAACATTCAACACCAATTACATATTCCATAATAACCTGTGACAATGAGAACCAGACATTGTTCTAAGCATATGCCTCAAGCAAACTCACTTAATACCTATGAGGTAGATACTATTAAAGGCCATTTAGAGATTAAAAAATCTGTAGAGCCAGTATCTGAACCGAAAAATCTGGCCCAGAGTTCTTGTGCGTTTAACCACTAGTCTCAAAGAAAAGTCAAATATACTCTAGATGATTATAGTTTCCTAAGCCACACAGAAAAGAATTAAAATACCAATTCTTTATTAAAAGTTAGAAGAAGGCCTCCCTGGTAGCCTAGGGGTTAAAGTCTCAGGGCTACCACCATGGGGGTAGAAGCAGCCTGATTTCGATCCCTGGGCAGGGAGCTAATCCACGTGGCGCATGATCCACACTCTTCTCTTACAGGAACATGCAGCAGATATATCTAGATAATAGGATAGTTTCAAAAGGAGACTATTGAGAATATATTCTAATTATTTTCCTTTATTCAAAAGGCAGACAATTAGTCTTATATTTTTAGTAGCATTAAGCATTAGTGAAAATCATTTAAAATGTTACCAAAATAGTAAAAAGTATCCTAAAATGGTACCCTAATTACTATAAAGTATAAAACCATCTCTCTGTAAAATATAAACTGTTATCGGTAAGATCAATTTCAACAGCTTTAGATTACCTATTTAAAATTTCAATGAATTTTTAATTCCTACCAGAAATTAAAACATTTCATTAAAATTTAGCTTAATACACTGCAATTTCATAGAAAAGTTTCCATTAGTAGAAAACACAGTCCACATTGCTTAATATCACATTAACAGTCACTGCTAGGGGACCCTCTGGTGGCCTAGGGGTTAAGTCTCAGCACTATCACTGCTACAGCCTGAGTTCCATACCCAGACTGGGAGCTAATCCACATATGGCACAGCAGACCTCTCCAGTCTTGCCCACTGCTCCCTTTAGCAGTGTATTCCAGTAAATCTGCCTGTTCTCCTCCACACTCTGTCTCTGGTGAATTCTCTAACTCCCCGCACCTTTGGCCTATACCCCAGGTCTTCTATGGATAAATAAATGAATGAATCTTTAAAAAAAAATAAAATGAAGTATAAAAACCATTCACCTGTTGTTACAACCTATATTAACTATCACATCTGACTTTACCTCAACCAAACTGGCAAATTTCACTACCTCCTTCACATCTTCATTCAGTTGCCTCTATTCTTTTGCACATGCATTCCCTCTCAATTCTAAGAAAGGCTCAGTGCATTTTTGTGCTTGTGAGCATCTCTTCTGACTTTGGGCCTAGCTTGATGGGTATGTTGCTATACAGCTATTTTTTTTCCTATGAAGATTAGAAATCAGAAGCTTACTATGATACTTTATGCAACCTCAGAATCGAGAATTAAGATAAATGCTCTAGATCTAAAATGTTAATTATAATCTACTCTATCATGTTCTTTGACTAAGCCACACAGCAAAGAATTAAAATATCAATTCTTTATTAAAAGTTAGAAGAGGGCCTCCCTGGTGGCCTAGGGGTTAAAGTCTCAGGGCGACCACCATGGGGGTCAAAGCGTCCTCATTTCGATCCCTGGACAGGGAGCTAATCCACATGGCACAGCAGACCTCTCCTGTTTTGCCTGCTGCTCCCTTCAGCTCTTCTATGCATTTTATAAACAAAAATCTTACAATAAAGGAATAAGTCTTTAAAAAAAATTAGAAGATAAATTTATTTTAATTCAATCATTGAAGTGCATTCTTGCTAGTTTTTTCATGCTTTCATAAATTATATAAACCGTATCTGAACTCTTAAGTTAATTAATACCAAAAAACAATTATTATTTACATTTCATTCTAGCTGTAGGTAAAGCATAATCTTAGTCATCAAAATGTGCTTCAAAATACCTACCACTGGCATGACAGACCTCTCCTGCCACGCCCGCTGCTCCCCTCAGCAGTGTATTTCGTCAGTCTGCCTGTTCTGTTCCCGGCTCTGGCTCTGGTGAATTCTCTCACCCTCCCGCGCTTCTGACTGCACCCAGTGCTTGTAGAAATAAATAAATAAATCTTAAAAAAAAAAAAAATACCTACCACAATATTAGGAGATGGGTTTTTCCTAAATTGATCTCTTGCCAGAATTATCTGATATTTTGTTAGATTAGGGATATCTCTTCTCATCAAAACATTTCTCTGAATCAAGGAACTAGCAAATGCTTCCAAAATCTGTAAATTTCAAAGAAATTTAGTTTAACCTAGTTTTATTAAAGATCTTTATCAGATACAATAATTTCCTCACTTAAAACAAGAATTATGGGCCTCCCCAGTGGCGCAGTGGGTTGAGCACAGTGCTGTGAAGCTGTCCGCAGCCTCTGCAGCGCCAGTTCAATTCCCAGCCAGCCAGGGAGATTCCCACATGGAGCAGCAGACCTCTCCTGCCTTGCCCGCTGCTCCCCTCAACAGTGTATTTCGGTCCTTCTGCCTGTTCTGCTCCCTGCTCTGTCTCTGGTGAAATCTCTCACCCTCCTGCACCTCTGGCCTGTACCCCAAATAAATAAACAAATAAACAAACAAATAAATAAAACCAGGTGTTAGAAAGCAGCATTCTCTAAAAAAAAATCAAGAATTATATATTAAATTTGTCTTAAAATGAATTAACAGAAAAGATAACAGTGAAATTCAGAAGTACCTGAGATTAATCCCCATGTAACATATAGATGAGTCAATACAAGCAATTATTAGATTTAACTAATAAGGTGGACAAAGACAGTCTCTTTAAAGAGGTAAGATTTGAACTGACATCTAATGATGAGGTATGTCTAGCACGAGAGGTTCTGAAGACATCTCAGTTACAAGAAGTAACAGACAAAAGGTTGTGATGCAGGAATTAGATTGATGGCTCACTGAATACATCCAAATGAATGTATTTAATGTATAATTAAATTTTGCCTAGTTTTATTTTCTAAATAGGACTATTTTTGTACATTTTCCCTCTCTTACCGCTTTGCTAATCACAATGCCTAAAGAAGCACTATAAAAATATCAACAAAATTATATTGTTATACATGAGATTATACAAATTATAATTTTTAGATTCTTGTAAAGAATAATTTAATGATGACAAGTTAATTAGTATTAAGTAGATGATTACTGAGAAGTTGTTGTCATACCTTAAATTAGTAATGTTGAGACTTTTGTTACAAATAATAAAAACAAAAAAATGTCATAGTCCTATAAAACTTCTCTTTAAGAAAGACTTATTAAAGATTTAATGATAGATGCATATTTTAGCTATCTATTTTTGTATAACAAATTAGCTGCAAACATTACAGATTAAAACAATGATTTTCTTTGCTCATGATTCTGATTCTGATTCTGTGGGTAAGAATTCAAGGTTACTGATTGGGGCTAGATGCAGTCACACCACAGAAGCACTGAGCATACCAAATACTGAATGCATACAAATGTTGGCTTCTAAATATCATTCTTCTGTAAAGGAAAGATGGATACCTTAAATAATGATTAATTCCATGACTGGGACACAAAAAGTATTTAATGGGTATAAAATATTTTGTGGTGCCAGAAAGTTAAGGAAAGCTTAAAAAAAGAAAAAGATGCAAGAGCCATCTTAAAGGAGTTTCCAACGGTCAAAAGTTTGAACAATCTGAACAATAAAATTAGCAATAATAGTACTTGATTGTAACCCATGGGGAAAAAAATATCCATAGTCTATGGTGATATAAAGAATTGAATTAATAAATGAGGGGAAGAATAGCTCTTAATTATAGAAGAATTAAAATTAAAAAATGTAAAAGGAAAGAAATAATAATTAGGTAAACATCACAGAAATTATTGTTGCAGGCAAGAACTAACATTGCATGTAATAGTGGCGTACCTGAATATATGCCTTTTGGATGGCCTCAAGTTCTTCACCAAGAGGAACAACTAACTTTTCAACACTTCTTTCATGAGAGTATGGCAAAATATCTGGAGAATCTTCAGCACGAAGTTCTATCTGCCCAATTAGCAGGTTAGTAATAACTTGTTGCACAGCCTACACAAAAATCAGTTAAGTATGATATTACAAGTTAAATTTTTCAGTTTAAGTCATTAACAAATAAAACCAGTAAAATTTCAAAGCAGTAGAATTCATATTTAATATTAAAAAAACTGTTACACTGAAGTGACACAGTAAAGAATAAGATTTTGAAACATCTCTCTTCCACACAGTCTTTCCAAGGAGGTGAAAGAACTATGCACTGAAAGCTTTAAGACACTACTGCAGAAATTGAAGAAGATACCAAAAAAGAGAAAAAATGGAGATATCCAATGCTCATGGATTTAAAGACTTAATATTGCTAAAACTGCCATTTTGCCTAACTAAAGGAACACATACAATTATATAGCAACGCCTAACAAAATCCCAATGGTATTTTTTTTTTTTTTTTTTTGTAGGACCCTCGCTGGTGGCCGGGGATCGAGCCCGCGCTGCAGAGGCTGTGGGCAGCCTCACAACCCAGCGCTCAACCTCTGAGCCACCAGGGGAGGCCCGAAATCCCAATGGCATTTTTTCACAGAAATAGAACAAAAAAATCATAAAATTTATTTGAAATTACAAAAGATTCTGAATAGCCAAAACAACACTATGGAAAAATACAAAAATGAGCTATCATGCTTCTTGGCTTAAAATTATACTACTAAGACATGGTAATCAAAAGAACATGGTATTGGAATAAAAACAGACACACAAATCAATGGAACAGAATTGGGAGTCCAGAATTAAAGCAAAAATAAACCCAAATGAATTTAGGACAAAGGAACCAAGAGCAAACAATGCAAAATGAAAGTCTCTTTAATAAATGATGCTGGGAAAACTGAACAGCCACATGCAAAAGAAAGAAACTGTACTACTTCATAGCATACACCAAAATTAACTCTATAAGTATTAAAGCCTCAAATATAATACATGAAATCATGAAATACATAGAAAACACAGGTGATAAGCTCTTTGACATTAGCCTTAGTGATACCTTTGTGGATATGACTTCACTGCTAGGGAAACAAAAGCAAAAGTAAACAAGTGAGATTATTTCAGTTTTTAAAAATTCTGTACAATGAAAGAAACCATAGTTTAAATGAAAAGTCAATCCACTGCATGAAAAGACACTTGTAAATCATATCAGACAAGGAGTTAATATCCATATATCAAAAACTCATAAAACTCAACAACAAAATAATAAACAACCTAATTAAAAAGATGGGCAGAGAATCTGAATAGATGCTCTACAAAGATGTAACATTGTCAGTAGGCACATGAAAAGGTGCTCATCAGCTTTTATTCTTAGCGAAATGCAATCAAACCACAGAATCCTGGCCTCCCTGGTGACGCAAGGGTTAAGACACAACCTATGAAGCTATCTGCAGCCACTGCAGCATGAGTTCAATTCCCAGCCAGCCAGGGAGCAACTCACACAGTGCAGCAAACCTCTCCTGACTTGCCCCGCTGCTCCCCTAGCAGTGTACTTTGGTCAATCTGCCTGTTCTGTTCCCCGCTGTCTCCAGTGAATCCTCTCACCCACCCCCCAATACCTCTGGCCTGTACCCCAGCTCTTTTATGCATAAATAAATAAATCTTAAAAAAAAACACAATATCACTTTACACCCCTTAGAAATTATTCAAAGGACAAGAAAAAAATAAATTTTGGTGAAGATCTAGAGAAAAAAAGAACCTAATACATTATCGGTGGGAATGTAAAATGATGCAACCATTATGGAAAGAGTGGCTTCCTCACACTTTCCATTTACAATCTCCATTGTAAAATTACTGTTTCCTCATTGTAACTGTTGTTTTGTGGGCAAGATATTTTGAGACTATGTAAATATTCTATTTTAGCATCCCATGATTGTGCTTGCTTACAATTATTTCTATGGTGTTTGCCTAATCATTGTTTCTTCTTTCTCTTAAATCCTTATATGTTAAAATGGGTTCTTCTGTAATGGGTTCTTCCAAAACAGTCATTTTCCAATATGGAGATGTCTCAAAAAATTGAGAAGAGAAATAACATGTAACCCAGTTACCTCTCTTTTGTGTATTTATCCAAAGCACGCAACAGCACAAATTCAAAGAGATATGTTAGCCCATGTTCATCACAACATTATTTGCAATAGCCAAAAGTTGGAATAAACTAATAAACTCATGAGCAAATGAGTAGATAAAGGAGATATGGCATATATACACAACAGAATACTATTCAGCTATAAAAAGGTAAAATCCTGACATTTGCAACATGTATAGGCGTAGAATGTATTATACTAAGTGAAATCTTAGACAGAGAAACACTATAATTTCACTCATGTGGTAAATAAACAAACCAAACCAAAACCAAACTCTTAGAATAAAAGAGTTACCAGAAGGAAAAGAGAAGCAGGGCGGGTAAATTGGATACAAGGAATTGACTTTATAATGATGGATAGAAACTAGACTTTCGGTGAAGAGCCTAATGCAGTATATACAGAGTCTGATTCATAAGTCTATGCATCTGCAGCCTATATGTAATAAGGTTATTACATCAATGAAGTAAGTCTTTTTAGTCTCTAAAATAAAATAAAATAAAGGTTACAGGAGCCATCTTCAAGGTACTCCCAATGTCAAAACTAAAACAATCTGAGCAGCAATATTATTAATATTGCTAATATTAATTAATAGACCATAGAAAAATATAAATATCTAGTAGTCCACATTAATACAAAGAATTGAATTAATCAATGAGGGAGAAGAGACAGCTCTTTATTACAGAAAACACATATTAACATGTGAAGATTTGAAAGAAAGAAGCAATGATTAGGGAAACACCATAGAAATAATTGTAAGCAAGAACAATCACAGGATGCTGAAACAGCACATTTACATAGTCTCAAAATATCTTGCCCATAAAACACTTAATAATTACAATGAGGAAAACACTAATTTTACAAAGGAGAAACCAGGAAGACAGCACCTTAACCAAGTCTAGGTTAATAGCATCAGTAAAAGACAAATCAACATTATGTTTTCTCTGATACAATGCTCTGAGAAAAGTATAGCTCCACTTCTAGGGTATTCTTGCCAAAAATGTATAACCTCACTCCAATTGTGAGAAAACATCCAGACAAACCCAAACTGAGGCATATTCCACAAAATAAATGGCATCTACTCTTCAAAAATATTAGGTCATGAAAGAAAAAAAAATACACGGAGGAACTGTCATAGACTGAAAGAGAGTAAAGGAGACAGGACAACAAAATGTAAGGTAGGCTTCTAGATTAGCTCATAGAGCAGAAAAAGAAAATGGTGGGGGCCTCCCCGGTGGCGCAGCGGTTGAGCGCTGGGTTGCGAAGCTGCCCGCGGCCTCTGCGGTGCCGGTTCGATCCCTGGCTGCTCCCCGGCCACTGGAGGAGGGTCCCACATGGTGTGCAGGCCTCTCCTGCCGCCCGCTGCTCCCCTCAGCAGTGTACTTCGGTCCTTCTGCCTGCTCTGCTCCCCGCTCTGGCTCTGGTGAATTCTCTCACCCTCCCGTGCTTCTGACTGTACCCAGTGCATGTATAAACAAAAACAAACAAACAAACCAGCAAACAAATAAATAAAGCATGCCTCTATAAAAAAAAAAAAAAAAAAAAAAAAAAAGAAAATGGTGGGAAAACAGTTAAAATTCAGTTAAGATCTGCAGATCAGTTACTAGCACAGTATCAATGTTAATTTCCTAGATCATTTTACTGTGATTGTATGAAATGTTAACACAAGGGAAAGCTGAGCAAAGGATATATAGAAACTTCAATTTTTGGAAATTTAAAGTTACTTTAAAATAAAACTTAGAACTGAAAACAGGAACAATTTAAAAAACACCTGTTATTCAAAAAATTTAGTACTTTTAACAAACAGCTATAGGTTATTCTTATGCACACTGAAGTCAAAAAACTACAATGCAGTAAAACTCCTGCAACCATAAAAGAAAAGTTAGGCATGTTGCAGGAAATGCTGTAGTCCTAATGTGCAACTAAATACTAAAATGAAAAATTGATCTGGCCATATACAAGAGTTATTTTCTCAGATGTTAATAAGTGGAAAGACATTTTACTTACCTTTATATCGCTTCCAGGTGTAGCACTTAGAGCCAAGATTCTAAAGTGATTTGTATATTTGACTAGTTCTTTTACAACCTTAAAAAAAAAAAAAACATTAATTTCATGTATACAATACAAAAACATTGTATTGTTTGTAGTGTGTATAACAAAGCTATTAAACAAGCTATTAGAGGGACTCCCTGATGGCGCTAGGGTTTAAGCACCACACTATGAAGGCTAGCGGTTAAGAACCACACTATGAAGCAATCTGCAGCTTCTGCAGCAGGAGTTTGATCCCCAGCTGGCCAGCGAGCAGCCGACATGGCACAGCAGATTTTTCCTGACTTGCCTGCTGCTCCCCTCAGCAGTGTATTTCAGTGGAGCTGCCTGTTCTGTTCCCTGCTCTGTCTCTGGTGAATCCTCTCACCCCTGCATCTCTGGCCTGTACCCCAGCTCTTGTACGCATAAATAAATCTTTTTAAAAAAATATACAAGCTGTTAGATTTGGTACACTATCATTATTCCTTATTCAGAGCATTGATGGTGTAGTGGATAAAACTATTATTAGACATATATGAGGAGCAAATGATTTAGGTTTATACGCTATACCAATCAAAAACACCTGAGGATTTCGTCTATATGTAGACCCACAATATCAAGGCCTAATACAGAGGCAAATGAAAACATTCAGAGGGTTAATTCAAGGGCAACTGAAAAAAGATAGTCCACTCTCCATTGCATTGTCACAGTGTAGAGTCACAGCTATATTATCCATATGCACATTTGCCAGATTAATCATAACATAAAAAATAGGAGAAGATTAAATACAGTATGAAATTATATTTGAAAAGGAAGAAATTATTTTAGGAAAGATTTTTTTTTTTTTTCCCTAGAGGCATGTTATTTATTTATTTATTTGTTTGTTTGTTTGTTTATACAAGCACTGGGTACAGTCAGAAGCGCGGGAGGGTGAGAGAATTCACCAGAGACAGAGCAGGGAGCAGAGCAGGCAGAAGGACCGAAGTACACTGCTGAGGGGAGCAGCGGGCGGCAGGAGAGGTCTGCGCGCCATGTGGGACCCTCCTCCGGTGGCCGGGGAGCAGCCGGGGATCGAACCGGCACCACAGAGGCCGCGGGCAGCTTCGCAACCCAGTGCTCAACCGCTGCGCCACCGGGGAGGCCCTAGGAAAGATTTTAATGAAGTTATATTTTAAGTGGAAGGCTCGCAATTTTTAAATTTTTTTTAATTAATTCATTTATTTATACAAGAACCGGGGTAGAGGCCAGATGCGTGGGAGGGTGAGAGGATTCACCAGAGACAGAGTGGGGAACAGAACAGGCAGACTGACGAAATACACTGCTGAGGGGAGCAGCTGGGGTGACAGGAGAGGTCTGTCACACCTTGTGGGACCCTTGCCAGCCGGCCAGGATTGAACTGGCGCTGCAGAGGCTGCGGACAGCTTCACAGCGCTGCACTCAACAGCCTGCACCACCAGGGGAGGCCCTAATTAATTTTTTTTTTTTTTTTAATAGAGGCATGCTTTATTTATTTATTTATTTGTTTGTTTGTTTTGTTTATACATGCACTGGGTACAGTCAGAAGCGCGGGAGGGTGAGAGAATTCACCAGAGCCAGAGCGGGGAGCAGAGCAGGCAGAAGGGCCGAAGTACACTGCTGAGGGGAGCAGCGGGCGGCAGGAGAGGTCTGCGCGCCATGTGGGACCCTCCTCCAGTGGCCGGGGAGCAGCCGGGGATCGAACCGGCGCCACAGAGGCTGCGGGCAGCTTCGCAACCCAGCGCTCAACCACTGCGCCACCGGGGAGGCCCCCCTAATTAATTTTTAAAAAAGATTTTTTAATTTATGCATACAAGAGCTGGGGTAGAGGCCAGTGATGCGGTGGTGAGAGGATTCACCAGAGACAGAGTGGGGAACAGAACAGGCAGACTGACTGAAATACACTGCTGAGGGGAGCAGCAGGCAAGTCAGGAGAGGTCTGTTGTGCCATGTGGGCTGCTCCCTGGCTGGCCGGGGATGGAACTCACGCATCAGAGGCTGAGGATTGCTTCACAGTGCGGTGCTTAACTCCTTGCGCCACCAGGGAGACCCTTTTTAATTAATTTTATTCAAAAATATTAGGCTACAAATCTGAAGAACTACTTTTTTTTTTTTAAGGATTTATTTATTCATACATACAAGAACTGGGGTACAGGCCAGATGTGCGGGAGGGTGAGAGGATTCACCAGAGACAGAGCAGGGAACAGAACAGCAGACTGACTGAAATACACTGCTGAGGGGAGCAGAGGGTGAGAGAGGAGAGGTCTGATGTGCCATGTGGGTATCTCCCCGGCCCGCAGGGATCAGCCTCACAGCACTACACTCAATTAAATTTCAACCCATATCAAGGGTGAATTCATTGAGACCCACACACAAAATCTTGATTAATATTCAAAAGATATTATTTATGAAGCTTTTTTTTAACATGATACAGAATGCATATAAAGATAAACCATTAGAGACTTAAGTAGAACTGTTCTAATTAAAAACTTATGAAACACAAAATGTCCTTAATGCATTACTTCTTTTCAAGAGGGATTCTCAAGGAGGGATTTTATGGAAGAGGAAAAGAAATAGTGGTTTGTAACCCAGGAAACACATTGAACTGGTATGCCTGGTGGAAACTGAATATGTAATACTCAATGCAGAGTTAAGCTCTCTGAGTTGTTTGAATATTAATGAAACCAATGCATGTCTCATTATACTCAATAAAAGTTTTTTAGTTAAAAAAAAAAATCACCTAATGCTGAGAAAGTTTTTGAAAATAAGAAAAACTAGCTAAAGTTGCTAATGTTAAGCTAAATCCATAAAATTGATTCCACATAGTTGGAATAAAATATTTTAAAGGTTTCTCTCAAAATAAACTTTAACATATTGCATATTAATTTAACTTTGAAAGATACAAAGAAATGAAAATATATATGCTGGCCAAGATAAATTATAAGAAAGATGGCAATTCTTCAGAAGATAAAATGGAGATATAATGCCATTGATCTCAATGGAGAGCTCTGGGCAGGTGATATAGATTCGGAAATCATCCTCAGATAGATGGCAGGTAGTTAAAAGTCTACTAGTTGGTGATACTATGGAGTGGGTATAGAGTGACTGATGGCAAAGTCTATTTCATTTATTGCAAAGGGATGAATTTCACTACCTGTTTGTGACTTTGTAGTTTTCTTTGCAACTTAAAGTGAAATCCAGCTCTCCAGTGAGATCTATATTCCTTACTGGATATCTATAGCTAGATTCCTCATAGACACCTCAACTGTCCAAAACTGTACTCACTATCTTTCCATTATCCCCCAGAACTCTCTACCTTAACTAATAGCATCAACATTCCCACAACCTCCCGATTCAGAAACACTGAAGTCCCAAAGTTCTCCTATCCCTAATTGTACACACTGTCATTAGCATCCCTCAATCTCTTCTAAATCTCAAGTATTATCTCCACCATCTATATGCCCTACAAGCTTACAAAGAGTATTCAAAATGCTAAACATAAAATTACTAATGCCTTCATGACCCCACCCTTAAGTACCTCTCCAGTCATATCCCACCTCTTCACCTTTGTAATTTCTGACTATAATACTTAATTCAAAGACACTGTGTTAGGTATTTTGCATATATTATGTCATTTGAAACCCATAACAATGCTGAGAGTTAAGTATAATTTTACCTAGCTGCCAAGGAATGACACTGCACATCCACTACCAACCTTTGGATTATTATCTTAGTTACAAAACTCTACCCATACCCTACTTTGAATCACTATTTAAAGCATAACTAAGATCTCATCATCCACAGCTGACACTAATGGTCAGATGTAGTAATATGGTCAGATGTAACTAATGTTAAGCTTTAAAAGAAAAACAAAACACATGATTTGAATGAAGGAATTTCTTATCACCATCTGTTCTGAGGTAATAAAGTATTCACAATGATAATACCATCCTATCTTCCATCACAAATAGCTGTTCCTCAGAATGTTAAGACTGTTTATAAAAGAAAAATACATTTTAAACAAAATATTACCTGGCAATAAGCATAGTTTCCAAGAGCTTTATGAGCTTCATCAATAACTAGACACTTTATTTCAGCCGCAGGACATGCTCCTCTAGAAAGATCATTTACCATGACTTGAGGTGTAAGGAAAAGGACTCTCTTACTGCTCCATATTTCCTTCCTGGTGAAAGCTTGAGTAGATCCTGTAAATAAAAGTGACATTCTACAGTCTAAACTTCAGACTGTTATCTGTAAATAAATAAGGGCCTATTTTCAGAATGCATTCCAGAATTATTTGCCAAATCATCAAGACGCTATATTCTAAAGCTTTGTTGGGGCCCAAATGTCAAAGCAGTCTCTGAAGACCACAACTAAGCTAACTCTACAGAATTCCTACAATATGCTATATTTGAAGAGAAGCAAATTCTTTTTCTGGGAATTCTCGGGAAGAAATTGAGGAAACCGAACATAAGTACATAGATGTAATCATTTCAAAATGCTCTGACAACTGTGGCGATCCTCTGAAGATTTAAAACAAGTCTATCTAGGCCTGGATTGCTAGAAGCAGAATATGCTTTAAGGAAGAGGTCAGACGCATATAGCCACATGGGGACTATTCTACATGGGTCAGAAACTCCTTTAACTCAATTTCTACCTAAACATGCGCTTTCTCCTGGGTATTTCAATTAGCTCATTCCTTATTTAGCTCATTCTTTCTCAAATACCTGTCATTTCGGCCATGTGGGACTGCGGAATACCCATTACCCTGTAGCAAGCCTCGATCTGCTGTGTCACCAAAGGTTTCGTGGGTGCCATGAAGACCACCTTGCCGGAAGGGAACCAACGGTAGAAATTGTACATGACCACTGCGGCAATAAAGGTCTTTCCCAGCCCGGTGGGCAGACACACCAGCGTGTTGCAGAACAGAGCGGTCCGGGAGATGTGCAGCTGGTAGTCCCGCACTGGGCAATTAGTTGGATAAATCCACAGAGCTCCCGCTGAAGTGCAAAAACCACCATTCTCAAGACCCAGCTGCCGCTCTGCCTCGTACACGGCGACCAGCAACACATCATCGTCAGACTCCGGCTGAGCTTCAGGAGCTTCGGGAGCTGCAGAAAAACGCTGCCTGGAGGTGCCAGGGTGAGGCCGCTTAGTTCCAGAGCTGCAACCCGGAGCCTCTGCGGATCGGGAAATGCTTGAACCCCACGTCTGGAAAAGCGTTCTTTGCCGTGCGCTCATTAGTCTAACAACCATCACAGGCTTCCTTTAGAGGTCAGCAACTGCAGCAGCTCAACCGCCACCGTTCCGATCCCCATCGGTTTCTTCCACAGGAACTGTAGAACCAGAGGGCGGGACCGCAGTCTGTTTCAGTCGAAAATGCCGCCACAATCTTCCTGCTGAGTACATGATTGGCTGACTTCCCGGAAACTGGAGACGCATGCGCATTGTGATGGAGTCACTCTAAATCTCGTCCCCGTTTCCGCTATTTACAAACTCTACATTAGAGTTCCGTTTGCTATACTTAAAGGATAAAATAAAAATAAGTAACATTGAGATCCCTGGGACAATGAAGAACCATGCTTTTGTGAATTAGGTCAGCGAGTATGTAATGTGTCTCATTCATTTTGTATTGTATTTTAAAATCAGAAGATAACAATGAAAAGGGGCCTTCCCGGTGGCATTGAGGTTCTCATTGCTATCACCAACACCACAGGAGCTTGATTCCCATCAAGAGAGCAACCCACATGGCGCAGCAGACCTCTCCTGGCTCGGCCGCTGCTCCCCTTGTTAGGAGAAAAAAAATGTCCTAAAGCTAATTCCATACAGGCTTTGTGGACTCCACCCCCACCCCAGGCCAAAGCCAAAGACACTGGGAACTCCAAATCCCATCACCACCAAAGGGAAGGTAGCTGGGACCTGAGGGTGGGGTTAAACAGCCAAGTTGATATAAAAGACAGACAAGTGGGCTTTGGGGGCTCCCCATTTTGGCTCTCCGCCAACTCACAGGTCAGGCCAGCTCTGAAAGTGATTTTGGGTTTCCAGGTCGTCGGATCGGGTAGGACGCATTAAAGACTTTATTTCCCTATTTTCTCCCTGAGTTGTACATTTTCCTTATTTCCTTTTCCCTTGTAAATAAACCTTTTATTAACCTTTTGTGTGTGTCTGTGGTAGAGTATTAATAAGTCCCTTTTTAAACACACGGGTGAGAACCCACAGCCAGGAACCCTTTCAATATCGGGGCTGCTCTATAACACCCTCAGCAGTGCATTTCAGTAAATCCACCCGTTCTGCTCCCCATTCTGTCTCTAGCGAATCCTCCCACTACATCCCTCCCCCCAACTCTAGTCTACACCCTTTCCTCTATGCATGAATAGATAAATCTTAAAAAAAAAAAAAAAAGTGAAATTCATTGGAAAATTCGAAAGAAAGAAAGGGCATTCTGAGAGGTGCTCTATCATATCTTTATAAATTATCTAGAGCCGTAAGCATAGATGTAGTATTAATTTGCTCTAGCCATAGCTTTTACTTCAGACTTGAAGTCTCCACTTTAAACTGCTGACTTTGAGTAAGCTCTGTAAATTTGCTTCCTTGTGCATGAAAAAAGGGTATAACACACCTCATGAGTTTGTTTTGAGCATTAGTAATGGCACCCTCATCACCATCAGCAAGTGGCATCTTGCGTGTATCTTCTTTATACTACTTTATTTCATTACGTTTCTGAGTTTTAGTCAGTATCATATGTTCATTCTTTTTTTTTAAGATTTATTTTTATTTATACAAGAACTGGGGTACAGCCAGAGGTGTGGGAGGGTGAGAGGTTTCACCAGAGACAGAGTGGGGAACAGAACAGGCAGACTGACAAAATACACTGCTGAGGGGAGCAGCGGGCAGGACAGGAGAGGTCTGCCGCGCCATGCGGGTATCTCCCTGGCCAAGTGGGAATCGAACCCGCGCTGCAGAGGCCACGGACAGCTTCACAGCGCTGTGCTCAACCTGCTGCGCCACCGGGGAAGCCCTAATGTGTTTATGTTTTGAGGGAGGAGGGGGCAGTTATTCTCATTTGTGTGCTTTAAAAGACATAGTGGGATACAGGTTGATCTGATGCACACGGACTGAGCCAATTCAACCAGTTCATTCGTACTCGAGACAATTTTAGGTTAGAACTAGATAATATTGGCTACCTGAAAGCGCTGTCTTCTTTACACTTTAAAGGCATAGCCGCCCTTTGGTAATAGGCAAGTAGGAATACATCACCCCAACAGCGGCCTCCTCCCAGGGTTGCAACAGCTTGCGTAATCAGCCAGCCACCCGGCCACAAGGGGGTTATTTTCCCCAGGCTCCCCAAACCCCTTGGCGCACCGGCTTGACGTCACTGGAGGACCAGTCCGCGTCCAGCAGTGCGACGCAGGTCCCCGCCCCCAGCTCCTGCGGGCCGGCCACGCCCCTGGGCGGGGCGATGTCCAACCCGGGCGGGCCGGCTCAGTAAAGCAGAGGCAGCGGGGGAAGATGGCGGCGGCCGTTCCGCAGCGGGCCTGGACCGTGGAGCAGCTGCGCAGCGAGCAGCTACCCAAGAAGGACATTATCAAGTTTCTACAGGACCACGGTTCAGATTCGGTACTAGAGGCAGCGGGGCGGCAGGGCTGGTGCGGCAGAGGGATGCCTCACCCCCCCCTGGAGTTGGCCGTACATTCCGTATTCCTCCGTGCCCCCGCCCTCGTCCTCCCGCGGCCCGTGGCCTGGAAGGCCCGCGCGGCCCGCGTGCGCTGGGGAGCCACGCTCCCGCCCCCGGGGCCGGCCCTACGCGAGCTGGGGGAGTAGCTTTACCTCCCGGGGTTCGCTTGCTGCAATCGCAAAATAAGAGACTCAATGAGAGCCTTAAGTGAGGGTGGGGGGCCTTGGGAAAAAGGGAAACGAAATATTGGGCGTTGAGCGGGCCAGCCTAGGACTAGGGGCTTGGATGAAACCCCCGAAGGGGAATGCGGCATGTTAAAGAAATGAGAAGGGACAGGAACATTTCTATGGGATTTGCTTTTCTCATTTTCAATATTGAGCATTAATGCGTGTGATTTTAAATCCATAGGTTGCGTTTTAAAATTAACCACCTTTTAATTAAATGGCCTTTTCATTTTCATACTTAGGCCATTTCTTGTACGGTGGTCTCCCGTATTTATGAACTAAGAAATCTGTTTGTCATTCTTTGTACTGTATACTCCTTATTTTTTAGGATAGTCTCCATCTTAACCTTACGTATTTAGGCACAAGTTATTTTTTTTTATTTTAATAATAAATTTAATTTTTATATTCCCCATACAATTGCAGCCCCCCCATTCTGACCCCAATCTCTCCCCTCCCACCCCCGCCCCCTTAAAAGTGTCTCTGGTTCGTAGTTTTTTGTTGATTTTGATTTTCACTTTCTTATAGTTATTCGTTTTCCTGGTCCCTTATTTAAGTTTTCTAGATTACTACTATGAGTGAGACCATCCGGTATTTTTCTTTTTCTTTTTGGCTTATTTCGCTGAGCATGATCCCTTCCAGTTAGGCACAAGTTATTTTTGTCATACTTTTTGCCTTCAGAAATTAAAACCGTTCATAACTCTTTAAATCGCCGAACGATTGTACAATTTGCCGTGTATGTGGCCTCATCCACTTAATGGGAATAGAAGCTGCCCTCTGTATGTGGTTTTTCTACCATTTTTTATTTAAGTTCTTAATTTGCATTTGGAAAAATTGTTATTGGGTTCTAATGAGGGGATTGTAATTTATTTTCATTTTGAAGGGTCTTGGCAGAGGTGATAATAATTCTCCAACATCTAGTTCCATACTCCTGTATAATTATTCTGAAATCAGCAAATATTTATACAACACCTTTAGCAAGAACTGCGCTCACTGACGGAAACAAGAATGAAAGATCATGTCTCAGGAATACTGTTTTATACCATTTTAGTGAAATTATTTTCAACTAGGCAATTCATGTTTCAACTACAATAGTCATATTATTTTTTTTTTTTTAATTTTTTTTTTTTTTAATTTTTTTTTAATTTTCTAGAGGCATGTCTTATTTATTTATTTATTTGTTTGTTTGTTTTTTTGTTTATACATGCACTGGGTACAGTCAGAAGCGCGGGAGGGTGAGAGAATTCACCAGAGCCAGAGCGGGGAGCAGAGCAGGCAGAAGGACCGAAGTACACTGCTGCGGGGAGCAGCGGGCGGCAGGAGAGGTCTGCGCGCCATGTGGGACCCTCCTCTGGTGGCCGGGGAGCAGCCGGGGATCGAACCGGCGCCACAGAGGATGCAGGCAGCTTTGCAACCCAGAGCTCAACCGCTGCGCCACCGGGGAGGCCCTACAATAGTCATATTATTAATGAATGCTTTCACCACTGTACTTCATCAGATTCTTATGAAATAAATAATCCCATGTGGACTCTAAAGCTGACTCAGGTGGTTCAGTTTCAGGAGACTTGGGTTAGCAAAATATTTTTATAGCATATTAATCTTTAAAGTGCATTTTTCCAGTATTCATTCCTTATTTCAGCCTTTATTTAAAAAGCATTATCTTATTGATCCTAAATTATCAAAGAGATGTTTATATTTTGAATCTTCTTATGAAACTTTGCTAAAGAAATCATAGGTGTGGCAAAGCAACTGATTACTTCTGTTTAATCCAAATATCCTTTATCATTTTTCTCTGTAGAGTTAAAAAGTAGAATAGTGATAGTGTTTGGAAAAACTGCTGTTTCAAAAAGCTGGAAAATGCCAGAGAACAAATTTGAGAAAGTAGCAAAATGAGGAATCAATCAAGGACCACAAGGCAGAAAAGAAGCATATTAAAATAAGGAAGACAAAGTAGTTTTTTAAAATCCCCACATTATACAGTTTTGAGATCAAGTTACATGATTTTGGTGACTTGATATTTCAATAGTAGTATTTTGATGACCATCTGCCAAATTAGTCTTCTACTTGGAATTCTGTTATTCGGAATTATTAAATTATTTTATTAATCATGATAGCTATATTGAGGTCTTAATGTGTGACAGGATCGCTGCAAAGTACACTAAATAAACTTGGATTATAACAATCCTCTGACATAGATTACTCTTGCACTATGATAGGGAAACCGAGTCTTTGGGAACGCTTAGTCCTTGTCAAAGATTAGACAACTACGACTTTAACCCAGATGATCTGACTTCACAGCCATGACACAGAATCACTATATATCCAGCATTGTATAATAGTGCTTCCCATTGTGCTAAGTCTGGGTTACAAATATGTCAAGATATGTCCACCATGGCTAGAGGCTTCAGGGCCAGGGTGAGGTAACATCCTGCCAGGAGCTGTTTCATCCAGTTATGAGTATTCTTGCTATATGTAAACATTCTTTTCTGTATGTTCCATGATGGGAAAAAGGGCTAGCATGCATCATTGTAACCCTTGCATAATTCCATACTGGTCTTGTGGATAATTCCTGTAAATGCCCAATATATATATATTTTTAAGATTTATTTATTTTTATACAAGAACTGGGTGGGGTACAGATCAGAGGCTTGGGAGGGTGAGAGGATTCACCAGAGACAGAGCGGGGAGCAGAACAGACAGACAGACCGAAAGCACTGCTAAGCTGTGGGCTAGACAGGAGAGGTCTGCCACACCTTGTGGGAATCTCCCTGGCTGGCCGGGAATGGGACCTGCGAGGCAGAGGCTGTGGACAGTTTCACAGTGCTGTGCTCAACCCGCTGTGCCACCGGAGAGGCCCAATATATTTTTTGAACCTTCCTTAAATCTTTTTTTTTGTTATGAAGTAAGGCATAAATAATTATTTAATTTCTTTTATCATTAATAGTTCTATTGAAAACAATTATTAACAATAAAAGGCCATTTTATAATTTTAGACCCTATAACATGGGGGAAATTATGTTGACTAGCTGGCTTTTTTCCTTATAGTTTCTTGCAGAACATAAATTATTAGGAAACATTAAAAATGTGGCCAAGACAGCTAACAAGGACCATTTGGTTACAGCCTATAACCATCTTTTTGAAAGTAAGGTAAGTATCGTTGCATTTTGTTACGAAAATATCATTTTTTATTATCTTTTTTTGTTTTTATTTATGCATACAAGAGCTGGGGTATAGGCCAGAGGTGTGGCAGGGTTGGGGTGGAGGTGAGATGATTTACCAGAAACAGAGTGGGGAACAGAACATGCAGATCTACTGAAATATACTGCTGAGGGGAAGCAGTGGGCGAGACAGGAGAGGTCTGTTGTGCCACATGGTTTAGCTCCCTGGCTGGGGATTGAACTTGTGCTGCAGTGGCTGCTCATAGCTTTCTCGTGCTGAGACTTAACTCCTTGTGCCACCTGGGAGGCCCCAGAATATCATTTTATATTTTTTACTTCCAGAAAGAAGTTCCTTTCAAAGGAACCAGATTTTTGAAAATGATTCTTAATAGCATGAATTAAATTAAGGTGACAAATTTCTAAAGGCACTGAAAAGTTACAAATCTAAAATATGTTATATTTCATAGAATTAGACTGATTGAGCCTTTAGAAAAACAAATAGAAAGAAACTCCCTAATTTTTATTCACTATGAAATCACCATCTTCAACAGGAAAAAATTTTATTAAGGAGTTGTTTGAATAGTATTCATCTCTCTGCATCAGCCTTTCTAAACATCATGTTTCTTGTTTCAGAATTATATTGAGATGGTTTGAGGGTGATAAATTGTTGATTAAAATGCTTAACATAAGATTCTTAATTTGTTCTCAGGCAGTTTCCATATATTTACGTTTGAATTATATCGCTTATATTCATGGTGAGATACTCACTTGGTAGGCTAAAATCCACGTGCCTTCTAGCTCTTTAGCCTGTCCTGAATATGATAAACATTAGCACATTTTCCTTACAGCGTTTCAAGGGTACTGAAAGTATAAGTAAAGTGTCTGAGCAGGTGAAAAATGTGAAGCTTAATGAAGATAAACCCAAAGAAACCAAATCTGAAGAGACTCTGGATGAGGTTTGTATATGATATTTTCTTATTTTACTTCTGTTGTGAATTTGAGAGAAGTATTTATGATGCTGGTTTTACATAGCAAAGAGTAGTTGAGTATGGCCACTCTCAAGAGAGCCAAGATTTGGGCTGTGTTATAGCTCAGAAAAAAAAAAATTCTAAGAATAAGCGCTGTACAGTTAGTAAGTCTTTCATATGAAATACCTCTAGCTTTATATTTTATATTGCATCTGTGCCTCACCAGACCTGGGCTTTCAAAGCTATTTTTAAGACTCAATTCTATGGCCAAGTTGGACAGTGTGAAGGAAATTTCCTTTTGATTATTTTTAGCGTTTTCTAATGTACATGGTGTCC